GACCTCGGCCATTCCCTATGCTCTACCTACGACATGGTTCTGAATGGGTTGACTGGCGAAGGAGACGATATCCCCCTCGAAGAAACACAAAAACCATGCATCGGCGTGCGCGTCGTCGACTACAAGAATTGCGTTGTGCATCTTTGGAGTCTGGAGAAGCTGCACGACCGGGTGCGGCAAATGCGGCAAATGCACCAGTATCTTGACCAGCCAGAGTATGCTCAACATCTGAGTCTTGACAACCCATTCATCGAGACTTGCATGCCGCAGTATACGCTTGTAGGAGAGGTCGACGTTCCACTGAAGGCTGTCTTTGAAAGCAGGGTTCAAGACTTCGCCCTGGATATTCTCTCCCCCCATACATCCCATGCCATTGGCATGATCAAGCTTTCACTGGAGCCATCACATGCCAGAGCACCATCCAACACGCTGAAATTCAATGTTGTGATGCACGAAATGGTCGGGTTTGCCGAAAGAGAGGGTACGGAGGTTCATGCTCAATTATTCATCCCTGGGGTCTCGGAGGAAGACGGCATCACCACCACGCAGTGGGTCAAGGATTTCGACGAAGGACCCATTCGCTTTGAGAGCGTGCATAGCATGAGCGTTCCTCTTTTCAGTCCGCAAACTGTCACCCTCAGAGCAGCCATTTTCGCAAAAGTTTCAGCAATGCACCTGGACAAACTACTGAGCTGGGACGACATGCGTGATGCTGTACCATTGTCCAGAGGGAAAGGCAAAGGAGCGCGCATCGCCGAGTCGCAATTTTTCACTGAAGAGAAGCACGACGTACTGTCGAGGGTACAGATTCTCGAATTGAACGAGGAGGGAGAGTACGCACCCGTTGAAGTAGCACAAACGAGTGAGATGGACGGTGGTACATTCCAACTTCACCAAGGACTCCAACGCCGCATTGCCATCAATATCACGCATAGTTCTGGAGATGCTCTGCCCTGGGACGACGCGATGAACTTGAGGGTGGGTAAGGTTCAGCTTCTCGATCAGTCAGGAAAGTCGCCAGACATGACCTCAACGTCACCTACCATCGCCCTCAAGCTTGCCAACAAGCCAGCCTTCCGTGATAATGCCAACGGTACTCGAAGCATCACGCTGACCGGCCAATGGGATTCGAGCTTGCACAACTCCCTGCTCCTGGATAGAGTCACCGCGGATAAGTACCGTGTTCAGATGACGGTAGCTTGGGAGATCAGCTCCAGCAAGTTCGCGGAGCCGATGAAGTTCGCAATGCATGTCTGCTGCCAGATCATGTCAAGATCATGGATACGGCAGACGTCAATGTTCTCCTCGCTGTGGCAAAGCGTCCGTTTCGTTCATGCAACGAGTGCCATCTTTACGCTGTCGATGCGACCAGCTCCTATCAAGAGAATAGGTGACTTATGGCGGATGAGCAGCCAGCATGACTATGTGAAGGGAGAAGAGCAGCTCACCACCTGGACCCCTCGTGGAGTCTCCTTAGTCAGCGACTTCATTCTTTCTCGTAAGAAAAGGAAGCGGATTGCGGAAATCGGAGCAGTGCAGACCCTTCTCAAGAAGATTGGTCTGCCAGAGCCAAAGTTGAAGGCGGCGGAAGAGGAGACACCAGAAGAAGACCTGCCGCCCCAACCCACGTATCAAAACGACGATGACGATCTGTTGAATGACACACCGGAGAGCTCGCAGGTGCCAGAGGACGACGAACTTCTCAACGGAGACGGGCAAGAAACGCCGCAACCAGAGGAGGAGACTGCGGCAGTGCAAGCACCTCAAGAACCAGAGATACCCGAGCGAGAGAAGCAGATCCTTGAGAAATGCATCAAGCTCTGGAACAAGTACCCTGATCCGCTGCTGCAGATTCTCAGCCCAACAAACACTTATCCGCCGATGGACGGCTCTGCACCGGAGGCTTCCGCTCCGCCGAGCCTGATCCCTACAATTATTCGAGTTCCGAAGAACCCCAAGGTGCTCAAGGGTGGCTACCTGTTGATTCCTAACAGTAGCTCCACAAGATGGGTCAAAAGATTTGTGGAACTGCGACGGCCGTACCTGCACATCCATTCTGTCACTGATGGAGATGAAGTGGCCATTGTCAGCCTGCGAAACTCACGCGTCGACAGCCAACCTGGCGTTATCGGGCTCTTATCTGGTGACGACGATGACACGGGCTCACAGACCAACGGCAGCGTAGAAGAATTCCGCCCAAGCCATCGACGAACTGCTTCTGGACGTGTCATCTCAACCATTTGGACTGGCACTGGAACAGGAGGCGCAGCCAATGGACCTGGTGGTGGCTTGCAGAGGCTGAGTGAGCGACTGCAAGCTGGTGTTTTTGCGATTTACGGCACGGACAACACTTGGCTGTTCGCTGCACGTAGCGAGCGGGACAAGATGGACTGGATCTTCCGCATCGACCAGAGCTACTTCTCGAGTAGCGACAGCGCCAACGGCAGCGGATCGGGCACCCCCGATAGGTATGATGATTCTCTCATCGGCGGGTACTAATCAGGGAACCTGCCACGAGCATCAACGAACCTCTTTTTTCCTATCTTTCCAGTCTAGAAAGACGAAACCCCAATATGAAACGACGGCACCGCATGAGTGTTTGGGCTCATGCTCATTTCAACCACATTTTCTCTTTGTTCCGTTTGTATAACGCACGACACGAATTGCAGTATACCCTCTATGGCTTGGAAAATAGGAGCGCGGAGGGGAGAGAGAGCAGGAGGAAGAGCTGAGACGGAAGACGGCCGATAATTATCTTTTGGTTTGGGAGAGGTTGGCTATAGACCAGGTGGACGGACGCACAGGAAAAGGAGACTGTGGTCCAACGAATGATACAAAAATCTAGACACAGACAGAGACCTGCCCTTGGGAAAAAGAAGGGGAGTGCAAATGGGGCCAGCCTGGGGCAATGTGCGCTCGCTCTTCTTGGCTCCCACGCTTGGAGTCCTCCTGGCTTGTGGCTAGGCGAAAGAGGGCTTTGCACGATAATGTTCTCCAGTCATGCTGCTTGGCGATTGCATATAGTTTTACGAAGGTATATCTAATGATTAAACGGTTCGAAAACACGATCAAGGAATTTACGGAGGAAATATTTTCGGAATGTGGGGGATAAACATCTATTCTGGCGCGCGCACCTGGCTTCAAAGCCGTGTTTAGATGTCTACGTCTACCGTCTTTCGCCAATGCGTCGCGGCATAGCCATTGAGACTCTCCTTCACGCTGTTCATACGTTCTCATGCTGTTCCGTCGGTTGCGGGAAATCAAAGGTGTTGTCATTCATCGTGAGGTCGGTCGCATCACCCTCCGGAACCAAAAACAGGTGTCCAGGACGCCCCAGGACGCAGAGGTTTCGCGTTCCTCATCCCGACAAGTTTTGATTCTCCCCGGATCGGTTGAACCCACAACCTGACAAATGCCCCGATGTAAATCAGGAAGAGCCGTTGGTTTCCAAACAGGATAGATCCCCATGGCGCTACGAAAGAAGATTTGAAAACAAATAAATGCTGAAGGTACAAAAAACCCAGTTACAATACAACAGACCTGAAAGTGATCAAGAGAAGATTCTACAACTTTGCGCTCTCGGCGACTGTGCCAATCTTGAGTTTGCCGCCGTACTTTTCGAGCACCTTTTCGTTGTGGTACTTCCAAAACACCTTTGTCGCGTTCTTGCCGGCGAAGCGCTTGAGGATCTTTTCGCCGCCGGGGTGCTCTGATTGGAAGGCTAGGGTAGGGGGGGTGTCAGCATCACGGTTGGGATGAGGAAAGAGAAAGGCAGGCGGGTTCTGGTGGTCAGCAAGTGAGAGTCGGCAGTGAAGAGTCTTGGCGTAGATTTTGGGCCCCTCGACTGGGGGACTGGGGTGATAGTGAGGAAAGAAGGGGGGGAAGGTGTGAGTTACTGCCGTACCTGTGATGTCGTAGACACCGTTCTCGACAATGAGCCACATGTCCTTGTCGGTCTTGTGCTGGGCGACCTCTTGGGTGGTGAACGTCTTGGACATTTTGGCGGTGTTTTGAAAGGGTTGAGATGGACGGGTGTTGTTTTCCGTGAGGGGTTCGGTAGATTGCGTTATTGTAGGCCGAAGGTTGCTGGTGGTATTATAGTTGTTGGATGTGAGTTGTGTGGTGAGATTCGTGGTCAGGTTGATGGGAGGAAGTTGAGGTTCGAGAAGGAAACGATGGAAAACGGGTCGAGAATGGGGGAGGCAACGGGGGTTGGGTTCGCGTTTATTCGGTGTCGTTGCAGCGGCAATGCACTGCACTCACCGGTCCGGGAGTCCAGGTAGGTAGGTAACGTGCGGTGCTGGGCGCGCGTGGTTGTGGTCGTCTCACCTCTCGAGTCAAACTTACCTCGGCTCATCTAGGCGCGAACGGGGCGACGTCATTCGATTCGTCCGCTGCTGATTGGGGGTGGGCGAACTCCGCCGGCACTAAGAAGGGAGGGGAGCACGGGAGGAAAAACCTGGAGACTGGAGTAGCGAAATGCGGGAGCAAATCACGAGACTCGCATTTCTCATCGGCACAGCTGTGAAAGATCCGAGGCTCCGCTGGACCTTGTACCACCCTTGGATACCTAGCAATGCTACGGAGGAGTAATGCTGGGCTTTTGGGTGTGTCTTCTTTGAAGGCTTGATCTGATTACGAAGTACGGATACTTACCGGTTGTCAAGGATGTCCGGGGCAATGCTGGGGTTGATCAGGCACGTGGGATTGCGGAAACGATGCCGAGGGCAAACAGCCTCAATCGTCAAAGTAGAGTACACGGTCCAGGCATTTCTTCTCTCTTCAATACATGCACACACCTACGAAGATGATAAGCGGCGTTGTTAGTACAGTGTATAGGGGAGTTCTCGGAAAAAAGAAGCGAGCCAAAAAAAAAAAAGGAAAAAAAGGTAAATCCACGGGGCATCATGAACATGGCCCATCCCGTCCAAACCCCAACGCCAAAAACACCTAGCTAGCTATGCAAATGTGCTCGCATGCCGATGTGTGGGGAACCTATTCTAAAATTCTACAATCATGCTGCCTCGATCCAGCGCCCGTCTAAACATGTTGGCGAAGCCGGCGGTTCCCTTGCAGTCGCTTGCCTCGAACTTTTCAATGGCTTTGGGCATCCACTTTTGGTAATCCTCGATTCGATGCTCGTTCTAATGTTGAGCTGTTAGTAATGGCCAATATAGAGAGGGAAAGCTTGCGGCCCAAAAGGAAAGTAGAGATCGAGATAAAGGGGGATGGAACATACCGACGGATGCGTGCTCAAAAACTCTGGAATCTCCTCTACATGCGCCTGCTTGGTTGCCATGTCCATGCGCTTCCAAAACGCCATTGCCTCGCGCGGGTCGTAACACGCCTCCGCCATGAGCATCAGCCCAATATAGTCCGCTTCGCTCTCCTGCATCCGCCCCATCGGCCGCGTGAACATGAGGTCCATGACCCCGCGGCCCAGCCATTGCGTGAGGACAATGGCCCCCGGGTAAATGCCAGTCAAGATCATGATGCTGTAGAGGAGGATGTTGGGCCCGATTGCCTGTGTCCAGCGCTCGCCGTTGTGCTGCGCGAGGTTATGCGCAATCTCGTGGCCCAGCACCGCGGCCAACCCGTCCTCGGTGCGCGTCAGGCGCAGGATGCCGCTGTACACAAAGACCTTGCCGCCGGGGAGCACAAACGCGTTGAGGGTGCTCGGGTCGTCAATCACCCTCACCTCCCACTCCTGGTCCTCGAGCCCGGACACGGGGATCAGCCGGCGCATGACGCGCTGGACCATCCGCACGCGCGGGTCCCACGAGGGGAGGAACCGGCCGCCCTGAGACTCGACCTCGTAGATGACGCGTTTTTCCTGCTCGCTCGACATGCTCTCGACCTGGGCCTCGGAGTAGCAGTTGAAGCGCTTGCGGCCCGAGACGGGGACGGTCTGGATGTTGAGATATACAAAGGCGATGCCCGCGAGGACGGCGGCGACGGCTATGCCGGCGAAGGTGCGGGACCTGAAGAAGCGCCCAATGTCGTCGACCGTCGTGAGGGGTCGGGCGGTCCGGAGGTTGTGTTCTCTGAGGACTTCGCGATGGGCGGGGTTGCGGGGGTCATAGCCATCGTGCCCCCTCCCCCAGATCGGGCGCCGGATCGTCCGGGAGAAGAGTCGGGGGTATTGGTTTTGTGAAGGGAGGCTGCTTCGTATTATCGGAAATGGAGGGGTTCGGGCTTGTTGTTGCGTAGGGAGAGAAAGGCCGGCGATGTGACGAGGCGCGGCGCGGAAGGCCGGCGGCCGCAGGACAGCGCGGAGGGGGAGCATGGCTGCGGGCGCAAGGGCTCGCGCCGGAGGAGCGGGCTAGATCGGAGGCTGGTAGTTCTGCCGTTGTATCGGCGCAAGTGCCTTTTTGTAGCTTTGAGGGCGCACACGGCTGCAGCGAGCGGAGTTCGAGCGTGGGATTGTGCGATGTCGAGAGCTTCGTTGATGCTGTCATCATCTCGGACTTCTGGGAAAGAGCTTATGACGGCGATGACGGCGATAACGATAAGAGGTGTGGCGTTGAGAACCCACACCAGCCACAGCGGGCTCAATTCTTCAGCGTCCCCGCCAGGTTAGGGTATGTTGTCAACAAGGATTACAATCCCGTCAACTTTTGACTTTTTGAGTTTGTAAGTTGAAAGCATTCAACCGTCGCGCAAAGTCTTGACAAACCTGAGCATTATGTGTAACTACATCCGTTTTTCAGCCCATCATCGACCCCATGAGATTCCTGCAGATGCCATCCTCTGTTAACACCCCGTCTCAAACTAGAGTCCTTACTAGGGATGACGACTTGTGAATTATCATTGGCTTGGTTTTGTGATTGACGCAGTACACATGGTTGGCTGCTTCTTATCCTACGGGTAGTTATCGTGAGGATTGCTCTAATTGCTGACCTGCTAGAATGGGCCCTTCATCCGCTTCTTGTGATCAAGCATCCCGGCTCCCGACTAGGGTCAGTAGCTTAGACTGTCAGCTTATGGGGGCAATTCCCTCATGCTTAGAAAGAAAATCTCAATGGTCTGAGATATTTTGATGATGGTTCACTTCTCGAGTTCAGCATCAACCTTGTTCTGCTTTATTCGAGACGCTTTAGAATAGTCTGTCTTGAGTCTTGTTCTCTCATATTCCAAAGTCTCTGAACAGTAACGACCTTGAAACATCAACAATGGGCTCCATCCCTCCTCCAGATATCTCCCACCTTTCCCCCTCAGCCCTACCCACCCCTCACGATTCCCCCTCCACCGCAAAGATCGTCTCAGCCCTCTCCCTCCACCGCCACTACGAAGGCGGCTTCTACAGAGAGACAGACCGCGCCCCGACCTCGATCCCCTCCCCGTTTCCAGCAACGCCCGCCTCCTCAGACGAGGCAGCACCCTCCGACAACGACTCAGACTGCCCTCCGCAGACGACCGAGCCTCAGAGACGCGCCCTCTCGTCCGCGATATTTTACTACCTCACCCCGTCCTCACCCATAGGCCACTTCCACCGCAACCGCTCGCGCATAACGCACTCTCTCCACCGCGGCCGCGGCCGCTACGTCGTCCTCCACCCGGACGGCGGCGTCGAGAATTTCGTCGTGGGCGGTAACGTCGCCGCGGGCGAGAGGTCGCAGTGGACTGTCGAGGGGGGCGATTACAAGGCCAGCTTCGTGTTGCCGGACGAGGACGGGGACGGGGACGCGTCGTCGACGAGTAAGGGGCTGCTGATTACCGAGTTCGCTGTGCCCGGGTGGGAGCCGTGTGATCAGAACTTCTTGACGCGAGAGAAGTTGGGTGAGTTGGTGGGCGAGGGAAAGGCGCGAGGGCTGGAGTGGTTGATCAAGAAGGAGTAAATCAAACAAGAAAAATAGACAAGGGAATTCAACAGCAGATTAACAGCTTGGAAGAGGTTGGAAGAACAAGTATGGTATCTTTTTGTGCTATGCAATATGTTTCTAAAGTCATGATCGTACAGGCCCACGGTGCGCCGCTGAAAATGTTGATTCGCATCGCCTTTGGATTCTCTCGCCTTCCTGGATGCATCCAAAAGATCGTGACGAGTTTCTTTGGCCTCTTGTTGCACGCTTGTCGGTGTTTCTCATCGGAAGCACGGCCTGGTCTAAGTCGTCTTATGACAAGTTTGTCGTGGAAAAATGTGGGGAAAAAAAAGAGAACAAATGATAATTAAGACTCCTGCTTCGCCATATGCAGAGAACGCCCCATCTATTAGAGAGTTCGTTAGATCGTGTAATTCGTTTTAGTCGGTCATGTTCTTGTCCTCTGGCGGACTTTGCGCAGGAACAGCTTCATCCGGGTATGGTTTGCGACCCCATACAACCCAGACGTGCTGATAAGCGTGTATTTGCATGTTGGAGATGTCTCTGCGGACATCGACCAGAGACACCTACGCCGAACGCAGCGTGTCAGAAAAGAATATCCATCATCGAATTGTCGAGGATGACTTACCTGCACCTCTTCCTGCTGCCGTTCCAACACCTGCGTAAAGAGGGCCATGCTGAAGCCGCTTAAGCCGTCCAGAAAATTCTGTTCCCAAAGCCTTCCGACATGCTTGTGCCTTGGGTGCTTGGCCCAGCCGTTGATCGGGATCTTGAAGACGCGCTGGTGGACGTCGACGAAGCCCACCTCCTCATACCACTCTCGCAGCATGTGTGCTCTAGATAAGGGGCGCCCGATCATCTCACTGGCGAGGTTCATGTCGTCTACCCAGCGAGACAAAGGAGAGTCGGGCGCGAGTGTGTCGTCGTCGCTCGTGGCCTCGAGATTGAAGTCCTGGGACTCTAGCCAGCCGCCTGGGCGGAGGGAGTCAAACGCCTGCTGTATGACTTCGTTCTTGAAGTCACCAAAGGAGCCGAGCAGGACGCGGGTGTGGATGTAGTCGAAGGGGTCCTCCCATTGCCACGATTGTGCGCTGCCGGCAGAGTCAGAACGGTTGTTTACGGGGAGTCGTGTGTCTGGGTCAAGTCACAAACTCACGCGTCTTCGATATAAAAGTGGACGTTTGGTGGAACGGCATTGCTCTGGATCGGTGACAGGTCGATACCGACTATCTTGGCTTCCGGGTATACATCTCCCATATCCATAGCCCAGGCGCCCGTTCCTGTGCCGACATCAAGAATTCGTTTAGGAGTTCCTTGGACGGCGATCGGGGCGAAGTGTAACCTGCCGCTGAACAGTTCTGTGAGTGCAAGCGATTGAAGGTCTAAACGCTCCTGCTCTGCAGGGTCGTTGGGGAAGACATAGGCTGTATGAAATTGTGTGAGTTTCCCGAATAAGAGCCGAGGGGGGAAAGCATTGAATATACTTACAGCCTGCTCGGTATGCATGATACGTCCTGCCGAAATGTCTGGGAAAACACTCGACGTCGTCGGGTAGTGATTCAGTCTCCCTGCACGAAGGGTTGTTAGTCGGTGTAGGTGAAGCTAAAGTAGTCCGCGTTGGCAGGCATTACCCCTCATGAGGATCGGGCTGGTGGAGTTTGTTAGTGACATCGGATGAACAGTAGGCCTAGTTTTTAAGAGATTAAAATAAGGGGTCCAAGTCAAAACGTACGTCAACTTCAATGTGGCTGTCGTGCAGGGATGACTTGTCGGGAATTGCCTCAAACGTGAACTCGAAACCATGAAGACGACCATCGGCGACACCTGGCGGGAGAAAGGACATGACTGTGGTCTGCGACATGAACAAGGTGACACAAGAGGAGGTGCGAAGCTCGAAAGGCGGGCTCTCGCTAGATACTTTAGCAGCACGCTATGTATCTGTATGCCGGAGCTTTTTTTTTTTACGAGCTAACGTTGACGGATTCGGAACTGAGGGCTGTTCGATTGCGGTTGAGCGCCAGCCTCATGGAAGACTCGATGGAACGAGTGGATGCGATTGTGTCAGTTGCTCGCGATTGCAGTCGACAAGATGTTGGGAACAAAGGAAGAAGATGCTTCTGGCGTTGTTCTTGTAACGCTGCCGTGGAAATACGCGCCCGTGTTGCGGGGAGTCGAGGCGTTTTGGTGCTGATGATGATGATGATGATGATGACGATGCATTCGCCTCCCTCCTGACAGCTATTCAGACAGTTGCGAACCTAGTGCGGACGAGCGGGGGATGAGTTGGGCATCAAAGACGGACGGCGAAGGATCGAACGACCGAGTAAATGATAAGAGAACCGGAGCCGAGAAGGTTCGCAAGAGCGGCGGCAAATGAGGCAGACGAAGCACCAGACCAGATCCCGACGGAAAACAAAGTTTGGATTATTGAGGTTCAAGGTCGAGGTTGTTGAGGTAGGTGGAGGATGGGAGGGGGGGAACTGTATGACCTTTGTGTGTGAGAGAGTGAGTGTGTGAGAGAGTGAGTGTGTGAGAATGAGTGAGTGGGTGGATGAGTGGATGAGGTGAGAGTGTCAGAGAGACTCAGAGCGAGCGAGCGATGGACCCAGACAGCTGGGTCGGCCTTGGTCGGTCTAAATCCGCGAGGGCGGGAAAGGCGGGCACGAAAACACGGGGAGACCCAGACACTCAGACTTGCCAGACCCAACGGGTTGGAACTTGGGACTTGGGTTAGTGTGGTTGTTTGGAATATTGATCGTGGTTGTTTGCTCGACTGAGTCCTCCATTTACTGCCTTGTCTGACTGACACGATAGGTACCCACGAACCCGGGGACCCTGGACCCTGGGACCTGGGAATTCTGGTTCGGCGCCCCCCCCTCCCCCTCGCCTCCCCCTCCTGCTAATTGATTTAGTGTCTACCTTAGTTATTTATTGGAGCACATGGGAGACTAAGCTCCCGAGGTCACTCACTGGCCAAAAGTCTGCGTGGGATTGACAGAAAAGAAACCCCTTTTAGAAGTGTTTAACTTTGGAGCCTGGCGCTTTCTTCCCCGATTTGCTACCGGATGTCGGGACGTTCTCGAGGAGGGGGGAGCGGCAGGGGTGGAGAATGGAAGACGGCGAGTGGCCTTTTTATCGGCCGATAAAGGGGAGGGGAGGGGTCACCGAATCACCGGGACTGGGTACTACTCCCAAGAACTCTCTTTTTTTTTTCTTTTCTACCATCATCTCTCGAACCTCTAGTCTGGTTTCTTCTTTTTTCTGTTGTAATCTCTTGCGCGTTCTTTTCCAGGTCCTTCTATTTAGTGGTGTGGGCTGCTGCATATGAGTAGGGGTAAAAGTAGCGGATATGCACAATGTAATCAGAAGTTTTGAACCAACGAAGTTTCCTGGTTCAGCCATATGCAAACGGCTGCAGAAAAAAGAGGGTGCCACAGCTGCGGGATGATAGAAAAAAAGGACCAAACGTGGATCGTGGTTCAAGAAGGAAAATAAGCCGAAGTTCCCAATTGACCAACCGAGCCATTGTTACCTCATTCATCACTAACTGGAAGCCTTTAAAAGAAAAGAGACAAACAGATGCCAATGTGACATCTGACACGAGGGTGAGAGGGGGGAAAGAAACGCTCTCATGTGGCTTCGGAAGCGACAACCTAGACATACATGTCCAACACCACCATAGCGGACCCCTCCCAAGCATGACGACTTTTATGCAGCCATGCGGACCACCACATGCGGTAGGAAGCTGCACAAGTCAGTTGTTTGGTGCCGAGCCAAAGAAGACTTGATAGAGTGCCAGAACGTAATTGCCTATAACAGGTGGGAACAACTCAGGTAGCATCCGCTTACATACGAAGAAACCACTTTCATATCCCCTTATCCTAACTTTCGTTGCGCCAGCATTATCCACAGCCTCGCAAACCAACTTTGGAACCGCACCGAAAGACGGTGTGACGGACGGGGGCCTACGGAAGGGAAAGGCCAAATCTAGGCAAATGCAGTAGGGCGTGATGTGCATATGCACTACACCAACAACAAGCCAACCCGCATGGTTCTGCTCGCCCCTCGGAATTTGAATGGGCGGCCGGATTTGGCACTAACTTACTGTGCCGCACAGGGAAACCAGAGGTGAGGGCTGTCCCCGGTTCTCGGGCCCTGCTCCCAGCTTTTTTTTCGCTCCCGTTGAGTCGTCGTCGTTGTCCTTCGTTGGATGAGAGAGGAAGAGACGGAGATGTAGGAGATAAGTAAGAGCGGGATTGTGTGAACCAACTGCCCAACCATGGTCCAAGGCAGATTCTCTGCCTCTTCCATCTGGCACAACATTTCTCTAGCTGTTTCTCTAGTTTCGTTTTAACCCAAGACATGAGAAATTCCACTCCCGGTGAAGACATAAGCCGGCCCCCCGTCCCAGAGGGCTGGGTCGTCGTATCGTGCTGTGTCGTGTACACTATGTGTGTATGCGTCCGTGTTCTGTGGTCTGTGTGCCCTGCCTGCAGTGCATGGCTCAAGCTGATATGTCACAAATTTTGTCTTCTTTGGCCTAGGTTACAGTTACACACGCAGGCTTTTTTCTGTATTACCTTGTCAGCACTCAGCACTCAGCAGCCCGCGCGCATTCCCTCGACCGTGTTTGTCGAGATGCATCGACGTAGAGGTCCATTCGCTTCCCACGAGACCTGGCTTTCACGGGGCGAGGTGGGTAGTCTTGGTGAGGAGGGAGGGGGGGCGGGAGATACCGAGGTCCGGACACACCATCATCGGCAAACAAACTTGTCTGTTTTTCTTATTTCCTGCTTCACATGTTGCTCACGGTAATCGTTCATTGGAAAAAGCCAGTGGGCGTTTGGAAAAGGATCTAGATCGGGTTCCGGCACGGAAACTTTTCTCTAGGTCCGTTCATTGGCATTCCAGTGATGGAATCATGCTTTCGATATCCGGTCACGTTTTTGCATGTTGCTGCCGCTGCTTGCTGTTCCGGCTCTCAAGATACAACAACTTCTCAAGACTCTCGCTAATTTTCCGCTGCCGATCACACGTACGGATGAGCTTGAATAAGAAACCTTGCGCAACCCTGTCAGGCCCCATAGATATCCCTGAGTCACCAACCTGTTGGTTCCAAACTTCCAACATACTTTGGGAAACGTCGCCCGCGTATAACAAGAGCTGCGGCAAACTCCGTTTCTCGCCAGCAAGGGGGGGGGGGTTCGTCTGCTCGAATCCCAGGATATCGGAACCGCGGGCACCAGAACGGAATGGAAACCTGGCGTGCCTGGGCAATTTACCCCCACCATACATAACCCGTCACCCTGTACGTCGGGGCGGTTGTCATCAAATTTCCCAGGTTCGCTTTGATGATTTTCCTTCCGCCAAGTGAATACTCCGGCAGGCAAGGACTTTGAAGAAGCAAATGTACCTGCTCGTCTAGGCAACTCATCCTCCCCCCCCCCCCGCCCCAAATTCCCAAAATCTAAACCAGGCAATGGGTAGGAGCCGGAGCGCGTTTGCGCCGAGGCGCTATGCGTCTATTGCGTGCCGAGAACCACGCAAGCGTCGTTGGTGCAGAGATTCTCTGCTCTTTTTTTTTTTTTTTTTTTTGCTCCCCGCCAAAGTACGGTCATGTTCATATCCGTCTTGGCCAACGGAGTCTCGTCGTGATGTTTTACTCATGGCCAAAGAAGAAAGGACTTTCAATCTCCCCTCCCACGAGTGACAACGGGCCTAGAGCCAGAGGTTGAGGTTCCGACGATAATCCAGACTCAGATCCAAAGATGACGAGTCAAAGATTTCGCGGATTCCCATCGAAAATACCAGCTTTTCCTTCTTCCTGGCCGGATGCTTTTCCCTGCCGTAATGCCAAATCTCCGTATTCAAGTCTACTACGTTGGCTTCCTCTGTTCTTTTCCAAGTCCACGTCGTTGGTATATGTGCTGTTTTCCCGCCGTCCTTTCAAAAGCACTCGGCGGGATCAACAAGGCCGCATGAGGCAAGTCAAGAAAAAAGGACAGACTTTGAGTGAACACGCTATCCCTCGATGAGGTTCCTGCGAATAGGCACACCACCTAATTACCAGACTCCAGAGCTCTCAAGCGAAGCATGGATATTGTGTCCAAACCCCAGCCAAGGCTCTGTCGATATTCAAAGCTGCCTTGGCTGATGAAGTTTCGTCATAATATCTGACTCAGGGTCAAGCGTGCCTTGATCTCCGTTTCGGGTTTTCCTTCGTGTCGGGCTCGGAGCCAAAGTTCATCAAGTTGTTCGCGACATAATTCGGATCCAGCAATAATGGTCTTTGGAGCCCGAAACCTCACGGCTCCTGTTGGACTCTCCGCGAGAAGCATACCGACTTCTTTTCTTCCCATTTGCGTGTTTTCTCCCGACCGCACGGCCAAACTCGGTGATTAGTCGCGCGAGCGCACAGAGTAAGATCCAGGCGAAAGACGCCAGTACCTCGTCCTTTCTCCATGCTTTCCGCTGTCGTTCTCGCAGGCGCCTCGCCCGACTGCCAGTCTCAAGAGATATACATATCTCAACGACCTCTCCTCGTCTTTCCATATCGCACAATGAACTCCTCAAAGCTCACCGCGCCAGCGCTCTTCCGAACAACATCATCATCGACACGTACAACCCGGCTCCAGCTCCTCACAAGAGCCCGCCAGTAACATACCTCCGCCGCAGGACTCAGATACCCGCGACCAGAGAACAACGCCCGCTGCCGTCGGGCGATCCCGCGCGCCACGTCCGGATGATCCTCCAACCAGCGCACCGTCACCTCCAGGTCCGACCAGTCCGCCTTGACGAAGACCATGTTCGCTTCCTCTGGGCGGAGTGTCGTCGGCCACTGCTCCCGTGTTCTCGGTAGAGCTTGATGATGTTTCTCGTCCGGCTGCTTAGCCTGGGAGGGAGACCCGGATCCTGCCTGGCCTTGTAGCAGAGTCCTGGAATACACCGGCTCAACAAGATGCGTCGTATGCTGCATCCACTCCAGCGGCGGACTCACTACCACGCTCTCACAAAGCTGATGAAACTGCAACCGCCCGGAATACGACACACCCTCGGTGTGGATGATATACTTGTACCTGCAAAAATCCTCAATCGCCAGCGCGTTCGTCGCGTTTTCCCCGTTATCGAGCCACTCCAGCGCCTGCACGTCAGCCCAAGCCCCCGCATCCTTTGTGAGCTTGATGAGATCCTGTCGGGACCGGGGGTTCGCGCTCGCGCCGTTATTGAACCACGCCGTGCCGCGCCATACCGCCCGGGCATCCTTTTGGGCGAATGGCAGGCTGGCTTCGATGCCGGTGATGGCGGCGGCTGCGTGGGGCAGGGAGCGGATGAAGGGTTGGGTCCAGGCCCAGAAGGAGAAGTGGGGGATGGGGAAGATGTGTCGAGGGGTTGATGACGACGAGGATCGCCGTGCTGGACGGCTGTGGGACCAGGTGTGTTTGATGGGTGTGTCTTGGATGTAGAGGTTGAAGTAGGTGTCTGGTAGAGGGGTTGGCGAGGTGAGGACGGCGCGGTGTAGCTGGTGGAGGGCTGCGCTTTGTCGCTGGTCTTTTGTGTTAGTTTTTGGAGCGTATCATGGAATCTTTGGGTCTTGGTTCCTGCTGGAGGTGGGAAGTGTTTAGTGTTGAGGTGGACCAACCTCCATCCATTGATCTGACATGTCTACAGGTCTCGGCGCTTGCAGTATCAGTATCCTGTTATCCTTGATCTGCCCCAGAAGCGAGACGGACGCATCGACGAGTCCGAGCTGGAATGCGCCCTCTGCAGCGGCCAGATCTATCTCGTTCGTCAGGCCAGGGAATGTCCTCTGGCATTGTTCCTCGTCCAAGTGGAGGTTGTCAAAGCCGGACGCCGCCCCATTCGGAAGGCCAGCGTTCTTTCCCAAGTCAAAGGACACCGTGGACGGACGTCCTGTCAGGGGATTCCGGAACCTATCTCGTGGATAGAATAGGAAGTAAATGATAAGAACGAAAGTGACCGCCACGAGGACTGGTCCTACTCGCCGCGCGGCCTTTCTTTGGCGCATGGCTTGTTCTTTCTCTTCTGAAACGCCGGACTAGACTGTCATCTCAAAGTGTCGTGAACATGTAAATGGGGGCAAAGGTAGGTACAGCGAAAAGCTCAAGCAACGTGGTTTGAAGGCTGTATTTCAGATGGTCTGACAGGTCACCTGGAAACGAGGATTACCCTGCTCTTTACATGCGACATTGCCGGGGAGCGGGGTTTCCCGCGAAAGAGAGTTTTGCAGCAAATAGACGAACCCCAAGTGACAAGAGAGCAACTCATGGTAGCTTTACCGGAGACTCGAGCGCCGTCCTCTGAACTCCTGACAAACAGTATGCTCAAGATCATTGGATGTACCGGGCGGGGCCGGTTATTCGGCATGTGAAGCGATTCGAAGGAGGGCCCAGAGTTACAACTCGAAGTTCCCTGACATTGTACCGCGACGAAAGAAAGAATCAGCAAAGACTTCCGTACGAGGAAACCAGGAGCTTTCGGAGCCGAACGTAAAATCATGGCCTGATTCATCTTCCGCCAAGCCCGTCAGTGAATGCATGGCGGGAGATTGGATGGCAGGTCCCTACTCCCTCAAAGGATATGCCTTGAAGAGAGAGTGTGCTGAGTTCGGGGCGGGGGATCTTGACGCGGATTGGCTTGAAAGTCAACTTCCCCAAACGTGTGTCCGTCCTAGTCCACCAATCATCTTACACATTGTTATTGATCCGTTGCAACGTCCCCCAGATTTCCGCTAGACTGCCGTATTCCCGGAGAAAATGATATCCCAGTGGAAAAGCCAGGGTAGGAAGGGTCTTGGGATCAAACGACTGTGGTGGCGGTGTCATCCTCTCGAGTCACGTGCTAAGACCAGCTATGTCGCAAGTAAGCAGAGGTTGTGGCACCTAACCCCGTGCCGTGCTCTGGTAACTACGCCATAGCCGGCCACTAGCGGAAGCTACGGCGCATTCTCCACTTTTGCCGTAGCAGTCCTCGGCGTCCTTCTGGTCGACCCAACGCATAACATGCCCTGGCCCCGACTAGGTGTCGACTCAAAAGCTTGTCCAATTCTCTGATCCAGAGGTGAGTTCCGAGGCCCCTGGGCTCTGTGAAATCATAAAACAGCAGTTCATGATCTCCGCGGGCCTCCAAAGCCTGGCGGATATCGATGTGGAACAGCGCCCACAACACTACGACAAGACAATAACGGCTCCTGACACTCAAAATAAGAGGCGTGCTTGCTTTGGTGACACAGTGTCTGCGTTGCTCAACATCGATTCGACAACTGTAACAATCGTCTGAAGGCTTGAACTTTGAGCTAGCTCACAGACCATCGCGAAGTCCCGTGCCGCATTCTGTAGCGCTCGAGCTCCAACGTCGACTACAATTTCAACTTCATTTGAACTCCAATTTCAGATTCAGCTGAACATCGAGGTTTACTGCAACTCAAACACAGCAACTCAAGCATCATCAAGTCAAGTTAAGTCAACCAACTCAACACAACAGACGGGGCACATACTTTTGGTCTAAGTAGATGACTACGCATCTAGGCAGAGACTGGGTGGTCACGCAAATGGAGACAATGAACAAACCACACCATAATCAAACAAATGAATTACAATCGTCGTTGCTTTTTCGCAACAATACATACAAATGCGCCTGCATAGAAAAGGATTCATGGTCCTTTGTGGCTTTTATAAAGCAGCACGGCCAGTACCAAGACTCAACTCCAAGGGAAACCGTTTCCATGCCGTGTTATTCACTGTTCCAGTAGCCGGGGACGCCCGTACCCTGGGTGTCATTGATAAACTAACGAAATAGCGGCCAAGCCGTACATCAAATCTAGTGCTTCATGCGAATTAAGAGCAAATGCCCTTTGGATATCGTTTGTACATCCAGCAATAGCTGGGCCATCTTCATGGCTTCAGTTTCTTACAACAGGAGAGCACCGAACATGGTGAACATGGCGGCCAGACCGGCAACAGCCAAAGGAGCCTTCTCGATGGGGCTGCCGAAGGTCAAGCCAGGGGCAGCGTTGGAGGAGCCAGTGGCAGAAGCGCCGCCGGAAGCAGTGGCAGAAGCAACACCTCCAGTGGTCTCGCCATCGGAAGCGGAGTCACCAGAAGTCTGGGAGCCATCGCCGTCCAGACCGGGGCCGTCACCAGCACCAGCAGTCATGTACTGATGACTTGTTAGCAGATGATTCCTCAGAAATAAGATGGGGTGCAAATTACCTTCTCGGCAGCGGAGGGAAGGGTGGGAATCTTAGTGGGGTCGACCATCCAGTTGGAGTCAGAGGTAGGGCAGGCGACAGAGTGGGAGGTGGTGGCGGCACCACCATCACCAGTGGGGGCGGGGTACTTGGAAAGGGCGCTCTTGAAGTTGGCGTACTCGTCAAGCTCGGAGACGGTGGTACCGCTGATCTCGACAATACCGTACTTGTTGGCCTCCTGGGAGTACTCGTACATGAGACCACCAGAGTAGACACCGGTCATCTCGGAGTTCATGAGGGCCTCCATCTCGTCGAAGGTACGGGTGTTGGTGTTGCAACCGTACTCAGACAGGCTATGTCATTGGTCAGCGTGGACAAAGCAAAGCAGGTGTTTGCGTTGCTTACAAAATGGGAATACCGTAGTCGGTGAAGTTCTTAACCTTGACATCCCAGCCGGACTGCTTGAAGCTGGAGCTGCACCAGGAGTAGTCGTTGAAGGCGAAGAAGTCGGAGCGGGCATCATCGCTACCGCAGTTGAAGTACTCAGCGGACTGCATACGGTTGTCGGCGACATCAGCGGCAGAGTAGCCGACGGGGACGTGGCGAAGGCCGCGGGAAGCCATGTAGTTCTTGATGTCACGAGTGACAGCCTTGACGTAGGGGGCGGTCAAGGTGGTGTTGGCCTCATCGTGGATGACCTCGTTTCCGGAGAAGAAGGCGAGGGTGTTGTCGTACTGGGCGAACTCCTCGACGGTGGCGAAGACGCTCTGGAGGTAGACGGCGTTGTATGAGGGGTGGGGGTCGGCACGGTTGATAGAGTACTTGGGGTTGTTGACATCGGCAACGAGGTAGATGCCAGCGTCGGCAAGCTTCTGCATGCACTCCTTATGGTCCTTGGAGTTGTCGACGGAGTAGACACGGATAGTGTTCACACCGAGGTCCTTGAACTTGGGAATGTCACGACCGCAGATGGTGGTATCGGCCAGGGGGTCGACGTTCTCGGACGAGCCACCGGGCTGGTAGTCGATACCACGGACGTAGAAGCGGGTGCCATCAGCGTAGAAAGCTAGGAGGGGAAATGTTAGTCGATTGGGTCAAGACGAGATAATATTGGTGATTCATACCATTGCCGGAGGCGGAGACTGCAGGCAGGGAGCGGGCCTTGATGGGGGCCTCGCGCTCAGTAGCAGTAGGCTTGGCCGAGACGACGGACAGGGCCGCGAGGGCTCCAAGGGCAGCGACAGACTTCATTGTGAAGATGTGTGTGAAGGACCAAAGTGAAATCCCAAAAACCAAGGTGATGATCGGATAGTGCCAAGCGATAGAATGTTCCGAAAGAGTGAGGAACAGTTGGATGTGAGCTGCGAAAGGGGTGAGATTTCGGAGTCCAAAAGGGTTGTTGATTAAAAGGGTTGGTCGGTGTAGTGAAAGGTAGATGAGGAAAAAAAAAGTCAACCAAAGCGAGGGAGTTGACTGTGTGGATTTATTGAAGGGGAAAAGGGTTGGCGCACTCGAGACCCGGGGAAACGGCAACGAGAGGTCGGATGATGATTTTGGGAGAGAATGACGAGAGAGAGGGAAAGTCAGAGGTCGGGTGGGAAGGAGGGACGTGGATGATTAAAAAACGGCGTGGTTGACGGTGGTTAGTGCTGGGGATCCGTACATTACCACATTGCCTGGTAGGTTGGCTGTTAGTGTACTCGTACACTACGCAGTGTTGTTCGTAACTTCGTACGAGTTAAACCAAGAAGGAGGAGCAGGGCAAGCCGCAAAGTGGAATTCGTTCTTTTGCAACCCACACCCCCCAGACTCTGGGAGGTGAAGGTCTCCACCGCGCGCCCTCTTTTCCCAGTGCTCCCAGACTCGGTGGCTCTGCGGCCCTGGTCCAGATTTCCCTTGCCTTGCGGCTTGCCAGCTTGCCAAGGAAAGGACCGACAGGAGACGTGGACGGTGGACCACTCGACGCCGGGGAGGAAAGGAAGGGAAGGGGGGGGGGGATAGGAGTACCTAGCAGACAGCCGTTCATTCGCCTAGTGGATTCTAGTGTCTCCTTGTGTCTGTCAGACAACCGCACCATCGTACTTGACTGGCTGGATGGCAGCTGTTCTTTCCTGCTTGGACGTTTCTCCTGGGAAGACATTTGCGAGCCTACGAGTCCAATTCAGGGGACGGGAAGGCGTGGGTCACTACCTACACAGTAGGTACCTTACAGTATGTACGGAGTATTCCTGATAGGTAACGAACCCAAGAGGAAAGAGGGGTGTGGCTGCAGACAGCGGGAAGGTGGGATGGAGCTAAATCGGGTTCCCGGCAAGCAAGAGCAAAACTCAATTGGTTGTTGGGCAGGTGCTCAGCTGGAGAGTCCGTTTAAACCCACCCCAGGCTGCCCCCTTCCTTGCTCCCAAATTTGTTCAGGTTGTGTATTGTAAACACGGGCAGAAAGATTATTGGTGATGTAATATCGTCATGTCGTCCAGCGTCCGTCTCTGGGCGCGTTGCACCGGCGCGTCTGGGCACAGACTTTTCGTCCACGTCGTCAACAACCATCGCCTTGCCCGTTTGGCTCTACTGTGTAAGAAGTACCTACTGTCCATGCACACAAGTTGTGTAGGTACACACTTTGCTTTATCCCCCCATCTGTCGCACTTGAAAACAATCCTATTATCCATCCCCATTGCTTCAAGTCGCCTGGTCGAATCCGCTGAAACGCAACAAAAACGACGATCGACTTTGGAATCAGCCGTTTTCGAGGCACCGAGACGCTACGAAGGAGTAGCACCGCCCATCAGCATGCCTCACAATGCCGCCGAGCCGCCTCCCCAGCGCCAGTCTCACTCAGCAATCCGTACCGTACCTAATCTTTTTCTTTCAGGTTTGGCTCGTATCGAGAAAAAACTCTTGTTGATTATCTGTGCCTTTTTAAATCGCCACAGCCATGAACACGCCTCTGGACGAAAAAAGAACACGAGTTTCCCCACACACCATCGAAACACCATTGCATTTCGCCGCTGCTGGCCTGCCACTACTAGAGCTTCCAACTTCAATCAGCAGGGCATCACGCATACCCATCTGGCAGCAGTCACGATAACAATACTCCGTACCCACCGACCAGAATTCAACTTTCAAGGTGGTACTTGATTGCGGTACTTGGTCAATCCCATGTGCAGATGCAATAGGTGCAAGGTCGTCCGTCTCACGGTCTCACCCACCCTCCACCCCTTTTTTTGCATGCCGAAAGAGATATTACGGCCCAGCCGCCAGTCAGAAGGTGGAGATCAATCCCCATTCTTTGCCCCAGTCAAAAACGACATTCCATGCACTGCCACAGCGATCAATGGAGGCAAGGAGGGCCCCTGCCAGTCCCTGTCTTCCGATTCCGCGTCCTCTCGTCACCTCACCACCATTGGCACCACACCTGCACTCACAGTAGGTAGTTTTCGACCTTCCATCCAGTTTCCTCCACATCGGCCACCGAGAAATCCTCAAAGACCTCGTTCAATTGGCCAAGACCGGCCTCCCACGCGCGAGAAATGGTCCCAAGAAAGCTCCAAGAAAAACACCATGCAGCTAAGAAATGGCAATGGCAAGACTCACCTCGCTTCGCCAGCGATCTAAAGAATGCCGCGCCGCGAAGTCCACGTCAACACTGCCACCGCCCACCGAGACCCAACCTCCACCTCGGCCCGGTCTGGTCTCATTCTCAGGTCTACCGCAACTCTGCTTCCGTCTGATGCCGAGTAAAATGTAGAGTAGGCGTCGAACGGCGTACCAGCCTGCTCAAGTCCAATCTCTATCGTCTACGTACGAAGTACGGAGTACAACCACCAGCATCCGTACGTCTACTCCATAAGAGATAAGTCTCCCTTGGGACCACGACCGCTAGGCTCTGAACACTCCATGAGTCCATGCACTGATGCAGACGAGAAATTATCCGATCGATCCTCATATTCCGAGTCCAACATCGTCGGTTCCACTACGTCAGTCCCGCCCATTTCAATGTGCCCAGTTTCAGACCAACGTCGACGTACCATCGGGTAGATTGAACTTTTGCCTGGGTCCTTGCCTGTCGGTTGTTCCTAGAAAAAGAACAAATATCGCGGCCAACTAATCCAGGACTGGATACAAATAAACAGAATCTCTCTGTTTCTCCCTCTTCGGACCGTCTGCCCATTTCCCCCGGAAAAGACGCTGGTCACTTATCGAAGTTGAGAAACGGCCGCCTCTTTTGATGAAACGGCTTGCGATCAGCTGCCACCATTTTGTCGCCTCGTTCGTCATCCCTGCTTGGAACTCTAGAGGCGAACTCTGTCCGACCTTGCCCTACAGCTTGCAGGCATATCCGTACGGATACAGCGTCCAACCTGCCAAAAGTTCGCAGGAAAAATATATGCAGCCCTTGGGCACAAGAAATTGCATCCCCAATTCATCCCAAATTACCCCCCCTTCACCCCTCCATCTGCTGCACGCAACGCCCATTCTGTGTGACACCCTTCAGCGGGTTTATCAGGGGTTATCCGCCCTCGACTGTCATCTGATTGGCGCTTGGCCAGTGCTTGGCCCGTTCTTGGAACAGTCCTTTTCACCTTGCGCCTGACCTTGGCCCTCGAACTGTTTGCTTTGCTTTTGCTTTTGGGAGACTCGAATCCATGCCATTGCCAAGTTGCCAACTTGGCTCTACAGTCTATCCGTACAGTCTATGGAGTACACTTCCAAGCGGCACAGAAGAAGTAAAATCTCTCAAGAGATTACTCTCTACAGAAGCGACGCTTGGCGGATTCTTTGTGTAAAAAATTACTGTAGTCTACCATCTGAGGTCTCTTCTCTCCAAATCTGAACATCGACTCCAGCGCACGATCAGCCAGGCACTTCCCTCTTCCTTTGCCCTCGACAGGACTCGTCATCCTCCAGGTCCCCACCCCGCAAAAGGCCCGTGGGCTCTTGCAACGAACTGGAATGGCGGGCATGGCGCGGGTGCCCGCGTTGCTGGCAGCGGGAGGGCCGGGTTGGGATCTCCCCGATCCTTTTCTCCCTCCCTCCTGTGGCCTGCCTGCCGCTCCAGGTCGCTCTGCCCAATGGGCCCCCTTTTGCCGTTTGGCCGCAAAAGGTAAGGGGCCACCATCTCAAGTCCTGGTAGGGAAGACGATGCCACTAAAGGCTTGCAGGGGGCAGTCGATATTGTTTTTGACATTTGGAGACACTGACAGATAACTTTGACGTTTAACTTTGCCACGAACAATGCCATCACTGTCGAACCTCGCACACACACACACACACACACACACACACACACACACACACACACACACTTGAACACCATGTGTATCAACTCTTGATGGGGGGGGGGGGAGGGGGGGGGCGAAAAACAAGAATGCTTTGCTATTTTCAACTACTTCAAAAGCTACCGGCACCGCCTCCTGATGCTCCAACTTCGTTCGATGCCCTCCAACCTATATGTAAAAGACCAGCGTTGAATGCATGCACGCACCTTAACCTATACTACTTCGTTCTCTTGACCTCCGCCACGCAGCAACATCGTCGAGCTTCGACTTCCGCCGCTCTCTCTGGCTCTGGTTCCGCTTCACCAGCCGGACGCTGGTCACAGGCTCCTTCGTGTCAACCATTGCCGCAAGACTCCCTGCTCGAGGCGGCTCTTGGTAGCCGTTCCTCTCCGTTTCAAACCCCTTTTGCTGCGTAACGTGCTTCTGCGGCACCTGTGAGATGTCTCGCAGCACAATGTGCGTCAACGCTGCCGCCACAGTGAGCGACTCCGACTTCCTGTGACTTCTCCGCCTCCGTACACACGACTCCTAGACTGCCTGGACGTAGCTCGCGGGCACGCTCTTCGTCACCCCGCCCTTTTCGACCTCGGCCCAACCGTCGCCCGGGTCGTCCTTGATGAGGACAAATCTCTCACCCTCCGTCATGCTGTGCTCTGCGTCGCTTTGCGCCGCGTACTCGTACAAGGCCTCCACGTACTTGAGCTTCTTGGCCCCGCGCTTCGGAGCGACCGCCGGTCCCTTCTTCTTCGGTCCCGCTGTTCCTATCGAGGAGCCTGAATTGGAGTAGGTCGACTCGGGCCGAGCAGACGCTCCAGTGTTCTGCGCGACCATGGGCGATGGTGGTGCCCAATCGACGTAGCTGGCGGGCACAATGCCTTCTTTGTATCCTGCGCGCACCTTTACCCAGCCGGCGCCATCTTCGCAAGTCCGTTAGCATAAAGAAGAAACCCTGGCGAGGGCAACAACATACCGTCAGGTTCCAGCATTATAACTTCCCGGCCTTCGACTACAGATACTTCACCGTCACCACTAGCCTCAAAGGTGTAAAGCATCTTGCCCTTCTGCTGGTCTGGAGAGCCCGATCCATTCGGCGCGCTACCCGGGAGTTCACTGATATATGCCGCTGGTGGCGGTGCCATGACCCTCTTACGGGCCGTGGTAGAGCTTACAGTCGACGGAGGAGCTGCTGGGCGGGGTGTAGACGGCTCAGGAGGGACCTCGTCTATCGGCGATGTCGGACCCCCAGTTATTGACCGACGTGCGCTATGCGCATATCCTGAACTCAGGGAATTCATCGTGTTCGATCTCGTTAGGGTCGGGGAATCTGTTGCGACGGTAGGGGATGACGCGGTCGGTCTCAACAGCGAGTTGGCAGCCTCCTGCCGTTCGGCCTTGAGCTTCTTTCGTTCGTCCTTCGTCTGCTCGCCTGGGCAGTCGGCTGGGACCTTCATCTCGCACTTGTTGTGACACGTGTAGCCACAGTCCCTGCAATCGAAACCTTTGGCTGATAACCCCCATATTCTTTCACCGCACAGGTCGCAATTCGTTGGAATCTTGAATGTTTGCGCCTTGAAGTTGTGGTTCTTGGCTCCTAGCGTCACGTCGCCAACAGCTGAGGTGATGGTGGACGTTTCGACCTCTGCAGTCACTCTCCGCCTGTCGACAGCATGGAGATCTTCCTGCAAAGCAAAGATTTGCGTAACCACGAGGACTTCGTCCTTCTTCTCAGTGCCCTCCCTTATTCTTTGCTTTATACGCTTGATACCATCAACCTCCCGTCTTTTCTTGTCAACCTCTCTGCGTAGGTCTCCTAGATGAGCTTTCGATTTACTGAGTACGTTACGGAGATAGATCTTGGCGGATTCGTCCACAACCATCAGGTCGTCATCATGCCATACAGGACTAGGCTCAAACACCTTGTCTGGTGGCTCGTGGAATGCGCCGAGGTTGTGACGAATGTACATCATAGAGTCGAGGTGAGGCTGGTTTCTGGAAATTTCAGTAGCGAGCTTTTGCATCAGGCCATTGCTGCTCTCCAGCATAGCAGCTTCCAACTGGGATGCGACCGTCCACAGACCATTCAGCTTCATGGTGCGGAACTCGGCCAAGTCCTGCAAACTGTCCATAACCTCGGGAACGTAGTCATGGTAGTAGCGCTCTTTTTGCTTATTAGTGACGTTGATTGCGATCAGGTACGTGTTCTTGACGTTATTCATGTCTAGAATCTGCTGCTGATAGGCGCTCTGCGCTTTGGCCTTGTCGAAGGATGATTCAGACTTTTTGCGCTTGCTTTCCACTTCCTGACAAGCAGCATCATATTTGGCCTTCGTCTTGCGCAGATCCGCGTATTGGGAATCCCTTTCGTGTTCGAGTTTGCCGGCGTAGTCGGCATGACGTTTGCGGAGCTCTTCGAATCGGGTGCCGAGGAATTTGAGAGGTTCAGCGACTTGGGAGAGGAGATTGTTGCCGTATCGATCGTGTTCGTCGGCTCGGGATTCGAGTGTGGTGAGCTGCGTGGACCAGGTAGTCAAGGAAGCGCTTTCGAGAGAGCCTGGTGTCATGGCGGGGGTGTCGCCGACACTGAGAGGGGCTGACTTCTTGTTCTTCTTCTCGAAGTACTTCTTGGCCAAGGCATTGAGCTTCGCAGCATACTCCTTTTCGATGGCACTCCTTTCGCGGTAGAACTGCTGTATTTCGTCGAGCCATGATATGCCGTGAGCGACCCAAGTGTTGGCGGGCTTGAAGCCATCCTAAAGGACATGTCAGCGTCTAGAGGGGCCAAGCCAAGCAGCGGGGGAAAGAGCACGCGGAATACGGACCTTGAGCTCAGCGCCGAAGGTCGGCGCAACGTCTACGTCGGCCATTGTCCAGACTTGTGCTGTTGAAACAGCATGCAAAGTTTGGGGATCCAATAGAGCAAGTTGAGATTACGTGTGACGACCAGAGGTGTTGTTGGGAGGAGGCGGGAGAGGGTTTCGTGATGGAATCCTCCGAAGGAGCGAGAACGAGAAGAGGACAACCCGCCAACGGTGGGCTGCGGCCCGAGCAGGAGGTCGGCGGTGGGGGGCAGTCGTATAAGGCTAACCCCGCCAAAACGGTTAAAACTGGGAGAAAACTGGGCAGAAAGAGTAGATGAATGCTAGCATGAGGCGCAGGCCGCCCGAATGATATGTACAGCAAATAACTGAGATAAAGGTGAATGCCTCACCTTAGCAGCACGGGTGGGTAGAGGTTCAGCGAGACGTTGATCTTCATCAGCGACAAAGAGACAGCAGAGGTCGAGGCTGTTTCGCGCTGCGCTGCTCACACAACCTAACCTTCCATAGGAGAAATTGGATGTATCACTGGCGATTGTTTTGGCTTTGGAGGTACCTTGGAGGCTTGGGGTCGGATGCTTGGGGGCATTGACATCGGACGGAGACGTCGTCAGCTCTTCCCCTTGGCCAACTGGAACCTTCCTTTGCTGCACTGGTGTGTTTCTCCGGCTGCTCGGTCCACTACGCAGTAAGGTACCTTGGGCTTGGGGCAAGTGCTTTCCTGCGTACCTATTGCGCGCTGAAGAGGCCTGTGGTGGGGTTGCGGACCGGTCGCCTACCGCTGGGAAATCCACTTATTGGCGCCATTGGTGCCATTGGTGCCTGAGTACCTACAGGGGTTTCGGATTCGGGTTCTCCAAGGTGCGCGGAAGTTTGCTGGGGTTTGCTATGCTCGATGGATGCGCCGGAGATTGAATAATTCCATGCCGTTCGTTGGTATTCAAAGCTCAACATACATCACGATGCTGATTGCATGAATGACGTCGGGAAGCCCATGAGAAGAATGACCCAATGAACAGGGAAACCCTACTGACCTGAAGCTCTTGGGCTCACTCATGTGCTTGAAGTTGGCAGCAGCAGATTAATGACATGTCACGTGGTTAATAGCTACTTATGGTACGGAGTACCTTACCTGGGTACGAAGTACTCCGTAGGTGTAGCGACTTCAAGGTTTCCTTCCATTTATTTGCCTTACCTCAGCCACCTATCTCAAGGTTCAAGCTCAGCTGGGCAGGCGCACTCGTGGGCCACCCTTGCCGGGAAAACGTCGGTGGAAAGGTGAGCTTTCTGTTCCTGACTCAGGCCTTGGTTGTTAGGCGACAAAAATGCCCCGCGCAGCCCCGCCATCGCTTTGGAGTGCTCAGTCACAGGCAGGAGTGAGTGACAGACGACGTAGCTTCCTAGAATCATTTTCGGTTTGGGAGCTCCGAATCCGTCATCGCAAAACAAACAAAATTCTCCGACTGACCTAGCCCTTCACATAACCACATTTAGAGAAGGACCAGCCCAATCGCATGTTAGTCAATTGCCCTCCCTACCCTCAACCATCTATCCGACCGAGTTCTTTGCTTCAAATCCATCTTATTGCCATTCGCTAACCTGCTGTTGAAGTCAAACAGGTGACGGGCGACCATACCGCTACTTCCCCTTGGCTGGCCCCCACCCTCGACCAACCACCATGTAAGACCTTCGACAATCGCAACTTACTGCAGACTCGATTTTTAACGCTCCTCCTTCAGTTTCCGACCGCGACCGTGCTCATCCTCAGTCACGATGGCCGACCTTGCTAGTCGCATCACGGAACCGCCCGCCGAGGGCGCGGCTCCAGAAGCTCCTCAGGAGACCCAGGAGACCCAGGAAGCCGAAGTCCCTCAGGTTGACGGCGCTGCAGACTCCGGTCTCATTGAGAATACCTACGATGTCGACGTCAAGCTGGGTGACCTCCAGTCCGACCAGAACAGCACTCTCTACTCGGTCTCAACCTTCGGCGATATGAACCTGTGAGTTCACAATCGAGTCGAATGTTTGCAGGTTTCTAATACGTGATGGTGCAGTCGTGAGGAGATTCTTCGTGGTCTTCTTTCCCTCAACTACCAGAAGCCCTCCAAGATTCAGGAAAAGGCTCTCCCCTTGATGCTCACCGACCCCCCGCGAAACATGATTGCCCAGTCGCAATCCGGAACCGGCAAGACCGCCGCCTTTGTCGTTACCACCCTGTCTCGAGTCGATTTCTCCCAGCTCGATCAGCCCCAGGCCCTGATGTTGGCTCCCAGTCGCGAGCTTGCTCGTCAGATCGAGGGCGTTGTACGCAATATCGGCAAGTTCTGCGAGGGTCTCAACGTTGCTGCAGCTCTTCCTGGTGCATTGGAGCGCAATGCTCCTGTCAGGGCCAATATCATTGTTGGAACACCTGGTACGGTCATGGACATCATCCGCAGACGTCAGCTGGATGTCTCGAAGCTTCGGCTCCTCGTTATTGACGAGGCCGACAACATGTTGGACCAGCAAGGTCTGGGCGAGCAGTGCCTCCGTGTTAAGAAGTAAGATGACCTCTGAATCTGTCTATTTGAAACTTTGCTAATGACATTTATCAGCATGCTGCCCCGCGACATCCAGATTCTCCTGTTCTCCGCCACCTTCCCTGACAAGGTCATGGGCTTCGCCGAGAAGTTTGCGCCGAAAGCTGATCAGATCCGTCTGAAGCATACCGAGCTCACCGTCAAGGGTATTTCTCAGATGTACATCGATTGCCCTACCGAGCAGGACAAATACGAGGTGCTGGTGAAGCTGTACGGTCTCATGACCATTGGCTCTTCCGTCATCTTCGTCAAGGTGAGACTAGTGGAATTCAGCTGAAAGAATCAGACTAACCACACCAATGTAGACTCGTGAAAGTGCGGACGAGATCAAGCGCAGAATGGAGGCAGACGGTCATCGTGTATCCGCCCTGCACGGTGCCAAGGACGGCCCAGAGCGCGATCGTCTTTTGGAGGAGTTCAGAACCGGCCAATCCAAGGTTCTTCTCACCACCAACGTGTTGGCACGCGGAATCGATGTGTCCAGTGTCTCCATGGTCATCAACTACGATATCCCCATGAAGGGACGTGGAGATTCGGAGCCTGACCCTGAGACCTACCTGCACCGCATTGGCCGCACTGGACGTTTCGGCCGCATCGGTGTGAGCATCAGTTTCGTCTACGATAAGAAGAGCTTCTATGCCCTCAAAAATATCGCAGACATGTACGAGATCGACCTCGTCCAGCTGGATGCCAACGACTGGGACCAGACAGAGGAAGATGTGCAGAAGGTCATCAAGTCCAACCGCGCCAAGGCTGCATTCGCCCCCAGCGCGACCGATGCCAGCGTCAAGCCTTAGTACTGATTGATCGCTCGACGGGTTGTTGATGGAAAGACGGTGCGTGGAATGAGAAAATGGTCCTGGCGGATAACTCTGGCACTTCAGGCCATGGGGGGGCTCCTTCTTAAGAGGCTGTCATTCTAGGACAGTATGTGAATGCGGAAGGCTTCGGACGAGGCCATAAGCCTCTCAGGGAAGGCTATGAAAAATGAGATACCATGAATGGAGACAAATGGAAATTCCTGAACACTAATAACGATCTTCAGGCTGATCATCTTGGTCGGCTAACTTGACCCCCTCGATCCCGTGTACCTGATGGCTTCGGCTAGAAAACAGCTAACAAAGACCAAAGTACTCCATAGGATGTGTTTCTTCTGGAAAGAATTTCAGCCTCAGCCCTAGAGTGGCCTGATATCGGCGGTTACGAAGGTGCCAGACACTAGACCTTCAGGATGGTCGGCAGGATGCGAGGTTGCGTTGGGGGTGGCTAGCCTGCAGCAGTTCGCATCACTGCTCGGCCGCCATGATGATGCATTCATACTGAGAAACGCAAGAGCTTGGTTCGACAAGTGCGACGGCCCCGAGAAGACTTGGGGTCTATATGTGACTTGAAAGTCGGTATGTCGCATCAATGCCTCATGGCGGATGTTGACGTTGGAGAAGCGTGTCAAGCTCAGTCGTGGTACCCAGTCAAGAGCAATAGTACTCGCTCACGTCGCGTGAACGGGTCTAATTGTCTGGGGACTGCAGAGTCAATCACATCCATCAATCTCAAAGTTGTGATTTTCGAAACGAAGGAGGCAGTCACACCATGGGGAGGATATCGAGAAACAACTGGCCAGCGATTACGTCTGACACTTGACTACTGTGCCTGGCTAACATTGACCATTCATTGGCCTAGAATGCCTCTGATCTGCATCACGTGATGCCGTCGACGTTTTGGCGCCCGTTTTCGGGGCGGTTCGCTTCAACGTCTTTGGGTTTCTTGTTCGGCCTCCGCGCTTAAGAGGAGACTGGGCGCTTAAATTCGGGGGCGATGTGAGAGAACCTCAGCCACTCAATGTACATGCATCTGTTCAAGATTCGCATCTTCATTGGGTCCTCGACCTTCTCGCTCTGGTGCGATGGCATGCAGGAGGGGTTACACTCTGGCCTGGACCGCCACACAACTCTGCATCTTAGTTGCAAAATGCAAACCTCCCCCCAGAACGAAAATAGAGCGACTCGCCCAACCAACCAGCTGGGGTGTCAACCGCCCGAAACGGAATCGGATAGCCCCCGAGTTGTGTGGCCTTCGTCATTTCAACGAGATCTCCAGCAGCGGCTCGCGAGCAGACCGGGCCGCTGTGGACGTGACTGCAGGAACCGCATCCAACCCTGCAGGTTGGCGGCATAGTTAGGCAGGGCATTGGACTGCCTACCCGTCGTCCACTTTCGTCGCAACGGGATTCTGGCGTTTCCGGATGGAGTCACAGGAAAGCGAAGCGAAGCGCGGTCGAGAGCCTTCAAGTGAGCGGCAGCGTGTCCCTGGGGTATGACGGAAGAGGCACCAGTGTTCCCTTCATCCTCCCCACGTCAACCTTCTTTCTCCTTCTTTCTTGGGACCGTCTCCATTCATGTATGAACAGTTACATGCCCGCTGCTGAGCCCCCAAAGCCGTCTGTTCTCATTTTTAGCTTTTGCTCAGCTTCTTCTTTTACACACTTTGCATTTCGGTCGCATGGAATAGCCTCTTTCTTTTCTTGTCTCTTCTCGGCTGAATCTTTCCGCAGCTGATACTCTTGGAATAATCGGATGATACTCTATCCAACGTACTTTCTTGTCTCTCTCATATGCTATACGATCTTGAGATGCGGGTCGTCTCCTAATAACCTAATAAGAACACACTCTCGATAGGTTCGTTCCCCGGTTTGTCGATCATCCCAACCAGGTTTATACACGGTCTACTCCTGAAGCTATTGGTTTCCAGGCCTTTTTCGTCTACCTGCCTCTGGCATTCACTGACGTTTAACCAGACTTAGTTGGTTGTCGGCAGACCGTATGAAGGATGGGACCTTCATCCAAGTAAGTTCACATCTTGCCTTTCCTTACACATAGTAATGCTGACTTGGGTTCTCAGATGTCCTCCCGTACCATGGCCCTCAAGCCTCTTCTTTGGACACTCTCACTCACATTATCGGCCTCCATCACTGCGGCAACGTCATTCAACTTGTCGAGCGAGATTACGAGATTTGTACCGACGTGCGCCCGCGAATGCTTCCGTTCGCATCTGAGTGCCAACTACGACCTCACTATCTGTGGCAGTGCTCCTACTCTGCAATGCCTGTGTGCCAACGTTGGATTTTCAGGACTCACCTTAGGGGAGGGTGCTGTGCAGTGTATCGTCGCAGAGAAGGGCATCGGGTTCTGTCGCGAAAGTGATGCACCACGTACGTATATCACGTGGTTCGGGATCAGTCGTGGAACGAAATCTAACAAACGGTAGAGAATGTGATCGACGCAGCATACCTGATGTGCTCGAATCAACCGGGAGCTGTTCAGCCCACGCACACAGCCATCATTGCGACGTTAATCATTCCTTCCTCTGGAGGCATCATTCTCGTTCCTCCAAGGACAACCACAAAAACCACCCTATCAACGTCGACGAGGCATCTAACGACTTCGATCCCGACGACTCTCATCTCGGCAACAGGCACACCGTCTATCCCGGATACGTCTACGACGTTGACTACCTCGACTGTATCTCAAGCTTCTACTACTGATAGCATTGTTACACCACCGCCTTTGCCGCCATCTTTCACAGCGACGCCTTCCGCATCCGCAACTGCAATCCCAGGAGCTGAGGGTGCCGACGCCGGTGCCTCTAAGAGCTTAGGCACCGCCCAAGTAGCAGGTCTTGCGGTTGGTATCGCAGCCGCGCTTGGCATTGCCATCCTCGCCATATGCTTCGCCCGCCGTAAGCGCAGAAAGGACTACCCGGATGAGAAGACAGGCTTCTTCCCCGTACGGGAGAAGGACTCTTGGGAGTTTCACCCGCAAGAGGGCCCGGCCAACATCTTCCACATTTCTCCGCCCGTCCACCATGCGCAATCCCCTTCTCCGCCACCGCTACGCCAGCCCCCGGCAGCACGCACCCGGACAAGCGGCCGCATGAGCTGGTGGCCTGGCGCGATTGGCCTCGCCGTATCCCGGCCAGAGAGCACATCAGCGGCCTACCGTCCATCACCTCAGGCGCAGAACCGTCCAACATCACGTCTTCTCCCAGCCAAGCCTTCTCTTTCGTCACCAAAGCCGGTCCTCTCCCTCAAGATTCCCGAGATAGACCTCACACCGTCGTCACTCCCTCGGGCGAACCAAAGTGGATCTGCGCCGACCAACTCGCAAATCTTCAAGACGGCCAAGCTCACAGCACCACCAAAGAGTCACTACAATGCCCGGGAAAGCACAATGACTGAATTTGAAGAAGACGGCGCCATCACGTCGGCCCGTTCGGCTCGCTCAAACAACATCTGGAGACCACCATCGGCAACGGTGGGCAGCAACAACACCGTTCCCAAGTCTGCCACGTACTACGTAGCAGATAAGAACGGCAACTGGGTTCTCGGGGACCCCAAGAGCGCTACTCACATGGCGCAGATCGCCGAACTCGATGCCTCGGGTGTGAGCCAGGGAGGTGGCGCGAAAGCAAAGCCCTCATACGCCGAGTCCGCCATGCTCGCGGCCACAGCCACGACCGCGGGCATGGGCCACGGAGCCGGAAGTCCCGTTGCTCCCTCCGGTGGCCGGATGATGCCACCGCCCCCGGTTCTACTTCCGCCGGCCGAGATCGCTCGAACCGGTGCCCTAGCGGCCCCGCCCGCGGCTCATCAATCCCGGACCTCGAGCGTCTACTCACCAGCCACCACAAGACCCAACACGGTTATCCAGAACAGTTCTCTCCCCCTGTCTCCCGGAGCTCCTCACCCGGTGCCGAGCATGTCCTTCTCCCATCCCGAGCCACCACGCCGCCGAAGCAATTCACTCGGCCGCCGCAGCTCATCAAAGTCGAAATCCGCAGGGTCTGGCACTGCTCCTCTCCCTCCTCCCACTGCATCGGTTTCCACAGGCGCGGGAATCGCACCGCATCGATCCGACAGCCACGACTCCCACGCATCGGCCACGACGATCGCTTCCTCCGTCGCGAGCGAAGCCGAGCCCGTAATTGAGCAAAGCAGCCTTTCTCCCGTCGTGGAGTCACCTGCCTCAAGGGGGTCCCCAAATGTCGGGCACTCACCCGTCTCCTACCCCGTCATCCCCGGCCGCACCAGCTCTAAGCCTGGTTACAATAACCTCCGCCTCCTGGCTCCTCCCACCCGACCTTTTGCTGCGTTCCCCGCCGGACAGCCCAGTCCCACGTTAGGTATGATGCAGCAGCAGCAGCAGCAGCAGCAACAGTCCCGAAACGGACCGTACATGGCCAGCTATGAAGTGCCCCGCAAACCCGTCGGCCCTCGCCCGCGCCCAACCGGCCCCGTCGCCGACCCGAGCAGGATCACCACCGGATCACCTTCACTCCGCCTCGTGACCCCATCTCCTCCCCCCTCCACGTCCGAGAGCAGGAACAATTACCAAGGCCTCCAGCAAGAACCCCACTGGAAGCCCGCGCAAACCCAGCGGCCGCCGCAGATGAGACCTCTCTACCCGCCGCCCCTGAACCCCAAACGCCCCAGGCTTGAGCGCAACGACGACGTCCACCCGCAACCGCAGGCAGCGCAAGTTCAGCAGGCGCCGATGAACCAGGAACCTCAGTCGGCCTCGGTCCACAAGGCTCTATGGGGGAACCTCCCTCCTCGTGCCCAGCAACAACAGCAGCAGAAGCCAGCTCCCTACTCCGGCCTCCCATCACAACAAGCTCCTCAACCTCAGCAGCAATCTCAGCCCCAGCAAACCCAACAATCCTTCCAACAACGCCAACGCCGCCTCTCAAAACAACAACAACAACAACAACAACAAAACCGCCAATCCACCCAAAACCCCCTCCCCCCTAAATCCCCGCCTCCAAAACAACCCCTCCCCGAGAGACCATCCTCCGCCTCCCCATCACCGCACCACATCGCAACCCAAGCTATACGACCAACTTCTACAATCCCACAACCACCAGCACTCGTGCCCGCACCACCATCCATCCGGCCCCCTTCCTCAACGGCCTCCCCCTCCATCGCAACCCCCTCAACAACATCCTCCCTCCTCTCCAAACGCCTCGGCTCCGAACGCGCCGCCGCCCTCGCCCTCCCCAACGCCGGTCTCCGCCACAGCCCCAACTGGAGACCCGTTCGCCCCGGAGGCCCTGGAGACGGAACGGATATGCTCCTCTCCCCCGACGCCGCTCTATTCCCCACACCTCCGGGGTTCCCATCTCGCAATGGCGGTGGCGGCACCGGCCGCGGGGGTCATTTACCCGCTACGCCGACCTGGCAGCCGAGGTTGACGCCTACTCGACGGGGCGATGACTTGTTCCTGAATGTGCAGTGATCTGGTCAAGTAGTTGAATTTCGCCGCTTACGGGGATGGAACTACAGCCAAGGACTACGACCCATCATTTTCATTTCGCATACATGACGAAGACAAAGGATTATCTCTATACCCACTCTCTTTACGATACTTATCGTTTTTTTCCTTCAACGTACTTGTACCAGTCGCACACTTTTCTTTCTACTACTCTCTTTAGATATGATAATATTGATAAGATGGACGGAGAATGGACGTAGATGAAGACACTCGGCAGATGGGATTGCATTACTGGAGTTGGTTTCCGAAAAAGAGGGTTTCATTCTAGCTCTTCTACCATATTGTGTATACTAAGGGTACATTGACTATTGAGTTCTGGTCTTTCTTTCGACAGGAGTGTAAGCTCGCCCTCATAGGTGTCCTCATGCAATACCGTCCAGGAGACGGTCTCTTCTATTTATAGGAATTCCATCTTGTACCGAAGCCCTCCAATCTTACTTTTCACTCTTCCTTGACCGTTTGGCCTCTGAGGCATTCTCGTTCATTGTATACATCTTCAGGCATTCGGGGCCGATGACCACCTGACATGACATCCTCCAAAGAAGTCATTTCAATAGAAGAATGGCCACTCCCATCGCTTGTCGCACTTCGATGGTTCCGCCGCGAACGCGAGGTCCGGTTATGTTGGCTTCGCTGGCTTCGCTGACTCCTCTGACTGCCTCTTCTCACGAGATCTTTGACATCATCAACGATATCGCTCATGACATCGCTGATCTGATCATCAAGTGCATCTATCCCAGCATCGAAAGCCGCTCGGTTCAGGTGCTGGTTAGCGTCTATGAGCTTGTTCCTTTTTCTGATCTCCGTGAAACGCGACAGGTTACCGAGCTCAAGGACGTTGACTCGCCGTGTTTTGCTGGTGGGGTTACCAACAATAAACGGACGCCATGGCTCTTCTTCAGCGATGACATCTTTGTCGTCCATCACCCCGTTTGGCATTGAATCGCGACGTTTGATAGATTCTCTGCGCGCAGCTGTCCACCTGTCCATCGCCTCGGTCTTGCTCTCCGGAATGATCGTGACCTCCTTGAATCGAATCAATGTCAATGTCAGTATCAGTGTCAAAATGAACAAGATACCGGCTACAACTCCGGTCGCTGTCCTCTGACCGAGATTCCGCTGGGCCATGCCGCCTAGTGCAGTTGCTCCAGCGGCGAAAATGAACCCCAAGGTATGACAAACGGCAAACCCTGCAGTCACGCGAGGGTAGGCAGAGTAGTTTTTCCTCTTTTGTGCATTGTCTGAATTGCCTCGAGGCCGGCCTGTCATTCCAGATTGCAGATCCGAAGTGTCAAAGGTCTCCATGATGAGTCCGTTGCATTCTGAGATTGCCAGGCACGAAAGAAAACCGATTGCAGCGGCGACGATGGCGGGTGCAATTGGATGCATCGGTGGACCAGTCGAAACCAATGTGTAGATGATCCCAGCCAGTGGGAGGCCAATGGCGAATATGGATCGGCGAAGAAGGTGAGATGTCCATGTTACCTGCTTGTCGAATGTCATGCGGCTGGTGTTTACCTGGGTATGTCTCGCTCTGGAGAAGTAGCTGGCCTTTTGGAATGGGATAGCAGCGAGTGCGCCAAATGCTATTGCAGATACGATGAGTCCAACGAATGGTGATCGCATTCGGTAAAACCTTGAGGTCAGTGAGCCCAACAAGACGATAATAAGAACCACTTGGGCGTAAATCCAACCAGAGTAAATGGCCATGACAGCGAAACCAGGTTGTCGAAGCATCTCAAAGCAAAGTGCGACACCATGATACAACTCCTGGCCCCACCACTTGGGTCCCGTTTTGACGCGATGCATCATGATCTCGCCGCGAGCAACACGCCGAGAGATATCCGTCCCAGTTCTGACTTCCACAACCGATCGTCGGAACGCCGAACGACGCACCTCTGGACAGAGACTGTTTAGCAAAAGCGCGATTGCGGTCAAAGCGATGCTGACATAGAAACCGGAGTCTGGTGGAAGTTGATCGATCACCGCAGCGCCAATGAGGAAGCCAAAGCTGAGGGAGGCAATGTAGCAACATGTCCAGACACCGAGCCAGACACCCATACCTCCTCCGTGCCTCCTTACATCAGCGTCATCCACAACCTCTTGGTGAGGATTGCTGCTCATGAGAGATGCGCCGAAAAGGTCGGTAAGTATCGAGTGGAAATTCATGCTTGCGAAACCAAGGCAGATACCCATGAAGCCTCGCGGTACCAACAACACCATTCTCTAACCAGTAAGGTTGTAAAATCTCTGAGCGCTGACAGCCAGAGCTTGGGGGAAAAGAAGTGGCATGGATAGAATCAAACCAGTCGTGATGTATGGCTTACGCCCGTGAACTAGAGGAAGTGGCCAGCAAAAGAAAGTGGGAATCGCCATCCCGAGGAAGCAACCCACATTGCCGTTGATGATCGAGTGGCTTGTATCTAGGATATAGTACTGCAGTGAGGGTACTAGTCCGGCGTAGATGCCGATGATCATACCGATAAGTGCTGTACTGATGCAAGCTACAGTTGCGATGGCCCTCTTCCGAGCTGGTGACCAGTCTCGGGCGATGGGCTGACGCCGTTTTGACTTGGCTAGATTGAAGGCCTGTACACCACGCAGACTGACATGAGACTTGCCGCGTAAGCTGATCCCTCGTGGATTACGAATCGGGCGCCCACCCAAGTCTTCCTGAGGAAGATTGTCCTCGCCTGTATTGCGAGATAGAAAGGGTACCCGTTTTGTGCTTGCTCGAGGTCGAGTTGGCCCGCTGCTACTTTGAGCTTGATTTCGAGTCGGAAAGTTGACTGCAGAGGAGTCATTGGATCCGTCCATGCTAGACTCTGAATCTATCGGGAGTTGCTCGACGATCTGCTTCGGCTTTGTGCGCTTCGACTTCTTTACCACCTTGCTCCTTTTCCTGCTCGAAACTCTGTCTGGCACAGGCCCAGCTTGTCGGGATCGCGATTTGTGTCTGCGTTTGTTCTTCTTGACAAATGAACTTTTCTTGCAGTCAAGCATGTTCTCAAGCTCTGCCGTTTGCGGAGTAAGAGAAATATTGCGGTAGAGATCGTCTACCGCGCGGGTTTCAGGCCGCCCAGCATACGGAAACGTAGCAGCGCGCTTGTACTTTGGGTCTTTTGCTTCACCGTCATCATTCAAGTCGACTTCAGAAAACTGCAAGGAGTGATCATAAGGTGCCGCATCCTTCGGAACATCGTTTCCAGACTCTGGAGACTTTGCCTCTTCGTCGTCAGCAACTCGAGTTGCCAGTGCTAAAGCTTCTTGAAGAAGACGTTCTAGCTCCCCAAAAGTGCTTTGGAAGAAGCCCTGCTCAATATCGGTAGGTGAAAGCGTCGGTTGACGAGTCATTTTCCGAGAGACTGAATTTTGTTCCTGGGAGCTCTTCAGAGAAGCATAGGAGGCTCTTTTCGCCTTGGATTGTCTCTCCGTCAATTTGGCCTTGTGTGTTTCGGGGTTCTTTAGTAGATGTCGGAGCCACTGAGCGGTACGCTTGTAGTCACTGGTGCTTGATCGGGAGCGAGTCGTGCTCTCTGAATGCGGCTTGGTGACTCTGGCGGGAACCTCACTTGCCGACTCATCTGATCCGACGGCGAAATAGACATCCTTGTCTTTACGGTTGCCGTTGTCGGATTCGTGACTGAAGGGCCGAACTTTTGACACTTCTTGATGTCCAGCGTGACGATTCAGCTCAGGGGGTTCTTGAGCAAAGGGTCGGACTTTGGAGATTGGTACATTGATCGATTTACTGCTGCTCTCTTCGATTGCCGTCGGTCTATTGACATCGCCTTCGGCAAGCAAATGTTGCTTGGCTGGGTCAAATGGCCGGACCTTTGAAACTCCGAGAGGAGCTTCGGTTTCTGTTGATCTATTGTCGTCTCCTTCGGGCAACATGTATTCCTTGGCTGGGTTAAACGGCCGTACCTTGGAAACTACGAGTGGATAATGCTGTTGGCGACCTATGTTGGGATACTGGAAGGTTGGCAGATTGAAAGCTGGCCGAACCTTCATAGCATGACTGTGTCCATCGTGCTTTGGGACGGTGACTTCGACTGTAGAGAGACAGAGATCATCTCCAGTCAAAGCTCGGCGAACCTTGGCAAGGACAACTTCAGCCTCCGAAGAGGCAGATGATGACGACGATGATGAGCTAGACGTCGTGTTCTCTGGTTGCTGTGGAACAGGCTGTCCAGGCACACCGGTGTCGCAAAAGTCGGCACCTTTGAGGATACCAAGGTGATGGACTTTGGTGTGAGACTGGTCCGGATGGATCAAAGGATCAACGCAGATGGTTTCCCGGGGAAAGTAGGGGTCCACGTTTGTCGTGGTCTCCATGAGATGTTGACTGACAGTCGGTGTGGGATTGTCTTGCATCTGGGAAGGCGAGTACTTCCTCGATGGAATGGCAATCTTTGACTTGTTCTCGTAGCTGTTCATGCCTTGTTCTGGTTCCCGTAAGTGGCTTTCGCTGACTTGTCGACTAAGGACTGGGGGCACGGGTAGATCTCTGTCAACCAACATCGGGCGCCCGGAAGCGGTCTTAAGGAGTGCATGTCGAAAATTCCCACTTTTTGCCGATGAAAAGCTCGAAGCAACGTCTTTTTCGGTTTCCTTCAAGGACATGTCCATCATAGAAGGTCGAGCGCTAGGCAGAGGTGTGTCCTCAAAGTCTCTGGTGGCGTTGAACGGCTCCTTATTTCGAGCTATGGTGTCTTTGGTCGGATGGAAGAAGTTGGACAACATCGCCGGCGTCTCCTCCACTGGTTTTGGGTTCAGCGCAAGGTCCGCTTGCGAGGTGCAGCAGAAACCAAGACGGAAAGTGGTTGGCTGCGATTCTGAAGATATAGACCTAACGCTGCGAGTGCTCTCGCCAAGCCTTTCCGCGGAACTGTAGCGTCGCAAAGCCGTTTGTTTGTAAGCCGACGTGCTGGGGTCCGTTAGCCGCTGGACTTCGGTCGGTGGTGTCAGAGACCGAGTCCTCGTGGCGTCGGACATGAAGTTCAAAAAGTGTGATGCATGAGCATTTGACGCGCGTAGTAACGATAAATATTCCGTGTAGACGATAGCGAGATTCTAGGAGAGTTCCTTTGATAGGGGGGTTGAGGAACTGGGGAGGTCGTCGAGAGAATGATGGTGTTGACGACGGAATTGGAGGGCCGAATTGTTGAGAGCACCTAGTAGCAAATGTCAACTTGCCCGGTTCCTTCTACAAGCACTCGAGTCTGGCTGTGATGACTCCTTCCGCCAAGTAATGGCGATATCTTGAGGAGGAGAAGGAGGTACTTGTCAAATTGTGCCTTCCACCCCCAGTGATAGAACCATATTGTACTAGGTACCTAGTGGCTTCCCAAGACAACTTGACAATGAATTACATCTATCTACTCTCAGGAACAGCAACTTGAGAACACACGACAGCACCTCTTTCTTGTCGCGTTATCTCGTTGAATCCTTCTAGAACGTTGCTTCTCAGCTGTTAGTCATCAGCCATAAATCTTTCGTCCGACGATGAAGTCATTCTGAGGCTATAAGATCTGATTATGTCGACAGGCGTGTGACAGCCCTCCTCGGACAGCCAAGCAATAACTTGTTGACCGGTTGACTCATGCGGCGAGCTTCTTGGCTCCCGGATCCGACCTTTACCGACCTAACACACCTGGGTTTAATAGCGATACCTCAAGTAAAGCGGGTGAGCCTGTGAAATAGCCACATAGACCGACATTTCTATAAGACGTCTTCAAACCGCACCTTTGATATGAATACCACAAGTCAAACGAAAATACGTCGATTGTTAAAGCTGTTAAACGAGATTAGTGAGTCCTCCATTTTCTAATCATACACAAGATAACCCAAGAAAGGATGACATTGGACATTCACTCGCCGTACTGAACTTACACTGAGGATGCCGTCTGTGGCACCGGTTTCGCCTATAGTCTGATTTCTTGGACCTTGAGACTCTGCCTACCCAGGAGGAATCTATGCAGATGACTTTTCGCTAACTTGTTTTTAAGTTCTGTTCAAACAGCATTTGGTGCTTAACACAATTTTCCCTTCGTCATCTAGTTGACGAGTAACATGAAATAGAGTCCTGGCTCCTGTTTACATTTCACACTCAAGACTCGGATTTGAAATTCCAACACGAGGGCTTTCATCAAGGCCATCAAGTTGAGAGCACGAACTCAGCTGTACCATGGTGGTTGGGTACATCTCATACATTGCGAAGCTAATGATGTTCTGGGGTTGCAGTGTGAGTCATCCGGTCAGACCTCTCACCAAATGCTATGGCTGTGTGTCGTTTTGATGAGGGGCATGGACCACTACGGCAGTTTAGCACTCCTAAGAAGCAGGGCATAACGACGTGTAGCCCTGTTTATGTCATTAGATTGTCTAGTAGATCAATTCGAGGGTACTGCAATGCGTTCCAATGAAGCTCAACCTTTCACTGCGTGACGCCCATCTCTTTCAGCTTAGCCAGCGAAGCGCACTCGAGCTCGCAGGTCGAATAACATTGGCCTAGGTACCGCATTGGAGAAATAGAGAGACCTCTATATATGGGATCCTGTAACGAGATGCATGCGGCGCTTTCCAAACAGAGAACCGACCGACCAAAGCCGACTTCTGGGGTGAGTCCTTATACACTCAAGGACTCACTCATAATGACCCATAATGTATTCAAGTGCCTAGAAAAGCCTTTCCATTGTTTGTGACAAGTTGATATCGAGTAAAGACCAAGGAACCTCAGCATTTGTCGCTAGCAATTACATAAGATTGATCGCCCATCTTGTCAGAAGCAAAAAAAAAAAAAAGAAGAGCGATCAATAACCCCACACCGGCGTGCGTAAGTTTACCCCAGACCATGCGGGGCCCCCCCTGTGTGTCGGTCGGGTCGGGGAAAACGCCTGCGAGACGTGCCTCGGCAACTCGGCCAGCCCCGTCGGACAGTCAGATCAGCCTCTTCGAAACCTCATCGTCGCATTCGCAAGATCCTGTCATCTGTACATTTGAGTGAGATTCACTTTCTTACTCTGCCACACTCCGTCCCAAGAAATCGCCGGTATACGAGCTCTACCTTCACTGTGGCCTTTTGCATACTGTAGTCGAGCATCTTCACACAATCGCATCCAGCTTCCCGCCTCACCCCTCACACCGCGAAAGCCTCACCGCAGGCAAATCCCCCTCCTCCTCACTCACCTCCCACGCAAACAAACGTTTCCACACCAAACTCACACCCTCCAAATACAAACACACACATACACAAGCACGCAAAATGGCACCCTTCAAAGACTACACCTACACCCACTTCCTCGTCACCTCCCCCTCCCCCTACGTAGCCCACGTCCAAATCAACCGCCCACAGAAACTCAACGCCTTCTCCGAGCCCGTATGGCGCGAGTTCGCCACCGTCTTTGACCGCCTCAGCCACGACCCGGACGTCCGCGCCGTCGTCCTCTCCGGCGCCGGCGACCGCGCCTTCTCCGCCGGTCTCGACGTCCAGGACGCCGTCAACAGCCCTCTCGGCGCGGACCTCGGCGGCGACCCGGCCCGCTACGCGACGAATATGCGTCGCCATATTACCGAGTTCCAGGATGCTATTGCCGCTGTGGAGAGGTGTGAGAAGCGTAAGTCTTTCTTCCCTTCTCTCTTTCTAAGACTCTCCCTCGTCTTTCCTATCACGAGGTCTCATTTTCACTTTTTGATATCGGCTTGGATTTCTGAAGATGAACATACACACGCATCTCAAACCCAAGACCAAGCCCAACACAACCCCTGAGACGTTGAAAACACAAAAAGCTAACACACCACCCTCCCCCCCAGCCGTCGTCTGTGTCCTCCACGGAATCTCAATCGGCATCGCCATCGACATCTCATGCTGCGCCGACGTCCGCATCGCCGCGCGCAACACCCGCTTCGCCGTAAAAGAAGTCGACATTGGTCTCGCCGCCGACCTCGGCACCCTCAGCCGGCTCCCCAAGCTCGTCGGCTCCACATCGTGGGTCAAGGACGTCTGCCTCTCGGCGCGGGACTTCTCCGCCGAGGAGGCGCTCGCCGTGGGCTTCGTCAGCCAGGTGCACGACTCCAAGGACGCGGCCGTCGCGGCCGGTACGAAGTGGGCCGAGTTTGTGGCGAGCAAGAGTCCTGTTGCGGTGCAGGGGACCAAGGAGCTGTTGAACCATGCGAGGGATCACTCGGTTGCGGAGAGTAAGTTTTTTTTTTTCCTTTAAAAAAATTCTTCTTCTTGAATTTTGGGTGGCTGTGCCCAGTTGTATTTCCTTCTACCCAAGATTGGGCTTCATTTCTTGGTAGCTGTGCTAACTCTCTGGCTCTAGACTTGCGATACACTACTATCTGGAACGCTGCCATGCTTCAGTCAAGCGATACCAAGACTGCTTTGATGTCCGGGTTGCAGAAGAAGAAGCCCACTTTCGAGAAGCTCTAATCGGCTCTTTAAGCTGTAGAGATGTGTGCCATCCTTTTCATGGGATCGCCACGGTGATGCGGCAATATATAGTCCAGTCTGGATTCCATTTCCATAGACATTCCCGGGACGGAACGGATCATGACCCCCTCCCACAAACCATACAGAACAAACGCGCCATGATGTCAAGACGGCATGACGGGAGGTCTGTAGTACAGCGACGGTCACATGGTAGCCAGAAGTTGGGAGACGATCATATCCAGGACATAGTAGAAGGATAGTCGGAAGCATCGGGAAGCATACAATGAGCAAAAATTGATAAACCGGCTCCGTCGGCACTCAGTCAGAGTCTGAACTCTCGTCGGGCTGCTGAGTCTCCTTCAGCCTCTGCAAGTGATATGTGTTAATGCGCCTGCTCAAGTCGTGTCTGTAAAAGAAGAAGAAAATGGAGGGATGACTAACCTCATCGAGCTGTCTCTTGAGCATACCAACCATGTTCTCCTTGACAACGACGTGCTGGTCGTCGAGATCCTCAATAATGTAGTCATGGTTGTTGGAGTCGATATTGACGATGATGGACTTGATGGAGGGGTCACACTCGATGAGGACTCCTAGAAAGGCGGGGCGGGAATGTTAGTAGGCCGGGGGATATCTGGGGAAGGGCAGCTAGGCAGAGCAAGCATGCGGCGGATGCTTGGGAGGAGACATCTCACCTCTGATGGCGCGAGGCATCCTGGCGGTTGGTGGGCGAAGGAATCGTGGATTATGTGAGGTGTAGGCACAGTGATTCTATTGACGCATATCTGTGTTGAAGTGGGCTTGGTCTATTGTATCCGTATTCGTAGTTGTGCTCTGGTGATGAGGTGCAGTGACGATGAGTTGCCTGGAGTTGGTGATGGCATTTGGAAAAGAACATGTGGGTCCATACCAGCCAACCAGGTGTCTTGCCTTTTAGTGCCTGGTTCGCCCACAATCCACCGGTGGTGTGGTTGCCTCAGGCCCTCCAAATCAAGTCAAGCTCTCCATCCGGTCCTGATGTGCAAGGGCCAATTTAAGCACCCCTGTCCGGACCCTTGACACCTCATCTGGACCCTCCTTCCTCCAGGGTCGCGTGAACAGAAGCAATCAAAACTTCACTTCTGACAGATTTCTCATCTGGCAGTTTTTGTAATTGACGAGACTCCGAAAGAGGGAGCCCTTGGATGCAAAGAGCTAACTGTTGGTTGAGCTTTGCAATTGCAAGCAACGATACTCCCTCCGTAGGAACTCCGATCCGCGGACCTGTCAATTGAAAGTGTTTCCTTATTAATGTCCAACCGGGCTCAACCTGGTCACTTTAATACACATTTTCCAAACGGAAATACCGAGGCAAGTTTAATGAAGAGTTTTGAAGCTTCGGGTCGCAGGCAGACAAGGTATCGTGAGTACGTTTGCTGTGGTCTTTGTCTCTCCCGAGTGCGAGTGGCTCAAACTGGATTGAGCTTGCGGGCTGTGGGCTGTGGCCGCCCATCCCCGTCGACGGATGTTTACGGACACTGGATTTCACTACTGATGAAAATGGAAAACTTCTGCATGGGTGTTTGCATAAGTGTTTGCCAATTTTTAGAATTTTCCTTTCTTTTTTGGCTTTCTGTTTGACATGCGGTAGCTTATGCAATTTGGAACGAAGCGAGGAGTCTCTGAAACAGCCGCCATGTGCGAGGTGTCAGCGAGTCACGATGGAGATTGTGAGATTGTGAGAGCCATGCCGACGCAACGCAGTAGGTACCGGTACGGTAGCACGCTGAAGGAAAGGCTCCGAGGAAGGGAATGTGGGAAAGCCAAGTCCGACGGGATGCACCAGCTGCTGCACCTGGGAGGAGAAGGAGAACCTCGGGTGTGGGTACCTCACAGAGCCGCCATGCAGGGCGGGCAGACGAGGTACACAGTTCACTATCTCTCCCGAATCTTGGGATCCTAAACTTCCAGGTGTGCTGCAAAGTTGTGAAGAGCCGAGGCAGGTACGAATCGTCCATAGCAATGGCAGAACAGAACAGAACAGAACACGTAAGCAGCCGACGTCTTGTGCCTATCAGATGCACCAGCGACTCTACAACAAAATGTTTCTCTGTTTCGCGGTTTCGCACTCGGCCGGTGGACCGGTTCATCCCTTCACCAGTCGATGCAGACGTTGCCCTGCTCAACTCGATACTGCGACATGTTGCTCATGACGTGCCATCCCCAAAAAAACAAAAAAACAGCCAAGGCTTCCCCTAAGGATTGGCATCGCGTCGTCAGGGGTGTCTCCTGTTTTGACGGGGGGGTTGAATCTTGACTGGCTCTCGTCGCAGCCCCCCCGTTCTCCAGAGGAGATGCAACGCTGATTCCCGCTTCCACATTTGCTAAGTAGGTACGGAGTGGGTGCCGTGGTGCGGCGTGCCTTGCACTTGCAGCTGTCCACTGGATACGGAGCAAATTATCCTCACCATCTGCATGTAATCACCCTCGACACTACACTTGACACTTGACGTGCAAATATTTGCGCGGCCACCTACAGGCTAGTATCTCATATGCAACAAGTATCCGTAGCCGCACACATGATCGTGAGCGACGAATCCGTAATAGCTCCAGGTCATCAATAGAGCCCAGCCGTCGCATCCCTTCGTCCCAAATACATCCTCCCATCTGCTCGATCGCCTCGTCTCTCCCTCCCTCCCTCTTCTTTTCACCCGATCTCTCTGTCCCTCGGCTGTCGTCTCTTGAGTCCTAAACTCTTGGTTATCCAGTCTTTTTTTTTTTTTTTTTTTCAAACCTTTTTATGCAGTACGGATACCGCCAGTACCCTTCGCAATCGCACACGGGAGCCGTCCGCATTCGCACGCAGTTCCCGAGGTCTTCGGCCATTCCTCTTGCTCCCTAGGCCCATCGCCGTCTCTTCTTTTTTATCCATACCAAGGGCATCGTTAGCCTCCTCCTGTGCCTGGCTACCGACTTTAATTAAAAGTAGCTTCCCCTCCGACCTCGTGAGCTATCGGATACGAAAATCGCACATCTAAAACCCTCTACGGACACACTACCTGACCAACCTTGTCTCGCCCTACAGAACAACCCAACCTAACCTTGGAACACCAGCCATTTCCCGGCCTCACCACCACGACACCACCACGCATTTGGACATCCAGCCAGCCTGCCCTGTCCGTCCGCGTTGCTTCATTTCTCGGTTCCTTCCTTCCAGCCCCTGCACCGCTGGAATTCCCACTTTCGCCTCCTCCGCTACTGAGTCGTGTTTGGCATTTTACAGCCAAATATCCAATATCTCTCCCCGCCACCATTGCTTCTCACTTCCTTTCTCTCTCCCTTCGACTTTCGCTATTTTTTCCTTTCTTTTCTTTCCAATCTTTTTGTTTTGCCGACTCGCCCTCCCTTGAACGTCAACTCCCAACCAATCGACATCTATCTATACATCGACAGTGCTGCAGCGATCTGCATTCCCCCGGCGACCTGCAAGCAAGACAAGAAAACAACTGGACCCGACATATCCACCAACCAGTGGCAACACGAACCCCATTGAATCATCATAGCCCGCAAGCTCCCTCCTTGCTTGCGTCAACCACCAACCCATCAAGCGCCCGAATTCCCCGAACCTCTCGAATCTAGCCTCCAGCTGTTCCCACCAGCTCGTCACATTCCCGTATCTCCCGGCCTGCTCCTGCAGCTTGTTCCGTTCAATCCGCTCCACCACACCTGCCACAGGCTCACAGCTACCAGAAAGCTTGCTGGATCGAGACAGCACTAGCGAATTCCCGGCAAATCTGAGCCACGCTATCATGACGTGAAAGACCAACGTCTCGCCCTTGCACCACCATAGCTGCCTCGACCATTTCCCTGTTTCGATATCTACGCCTTTGTAATACCGTTCAATACTACGCCAAGGATCTTTCCCTTTGGTCCCAAGAATAGTCAACGACGCAAAGTCATCTCGGCACATCGACCCAAAGAAAACTCTCCTTCACCACAAACCCCATCGATTGGCAGTCATCGCTCCTGCCGCGCCTACTTGAACCCTCCAATCGCGGATCTCCAAGCTCGACGATCTTTGGTTATTCGCTCTCTTCTAACTCAGCCAACCCCTCACTCGCTTTACCCGCCTCCAACATCCATCATGTCTTCCTCTGATGGTTCTCTCGGCAGTACGGGCAACTCATACTCGCTCTCCAACATGCCTTACACCTGGATTCTCACGCCACTCATCGTCTTCCTCGCCCTCGGCATCATCGCAACTCTCGTTCAGTTCCAACGCCGCCGTCGTCTCCGCAAACTCGGCCTCCAGCGTCCATGGCCCCGCCACGACTTGGAAGCGAATCGTCAGAGAGGCCAACGGTCGTCGAGAAATGGCCGCTGGGCCTGGACCACCCGCAGCGACGAGGGCTTGGACGAGTTCGGCGAGGCTCCTCCTGCCTACGAACCCAAGGCGAAGCCGGGACAGGCTTACGCCCGTGAGGGCAGCTTCGAGATGGCACACGTTGAGCATACCGCGAGAGGTGCAATGCCTCCGCCCCCGCCCATCGGCGGCACAGCAGGTGTCGGCCGTGGCTCTCTGCCTCCGGATTACGGCACAGCTACCGGCTCCACATCCTCTTCAACTGCGCCGCCTGCCGTTACCAGCCCGCCTACGGCCATGACTAGGCACTGATACCATCACGCACCACCACCACTAGGAGTAATCATCACACGATCAGCTCCTCCTTTTCACAACTCCTTTTTTTTAATTCATCGGCGTTACAACGAGGCACCAAAAGGGGCGTTTCAGGGAAAGCACAGCAATGATACCATGTTTTAGTTGGGAATGGATTTCTTTTCTTCATCAAAGCCACAGAGCATACAAGCGGGGGAGGAAGATCACAAACATCATTGCATCGACACGTTACGAGAGACGGTCAACGTCTGGGATACGGGCGGGAGGAGGACTCAAAAGGTGTCGAAACGGGCTGGTCTGTTGTATAGGTCAGGGGAACAATCGAAGACCGCGAAGGATCTTCGGTGAAACATCATCCACCCGCAGACAGGAAGCCACAGTTGTTCATGCTGAGGCTTAGTGCTGCACATTTCATGTCTATTCTAGCCACTACGGTATTGGTAGCCAGGACCCACATTAAAAGAAGTCAAATCATGAGTGTTTTATAGTCGTGATAATGCGCCTTGCTTTACCCCGTGGAACTTTCACATCAATACTGAATGAATATTTCATGTCCTACAGGAGAACTTTGGATTGACTACTCTCCCTTTGCCCTACACACTATCTAGTACCAATACTGAGAAAGTTTAGCTGCTTTCAGGAAAGATATCGAAGCCAGAGGCTTGGGCGGCTTATACTTTGTGGGCCTTGCTTGAATGGACTTGCAGTGTTGATGGCAGCAAGCATCACTAGCCTGACTCAATCTGATGGAGGATTTTCGCAGCTACATAACGTTATCCTCCACGCTGCAAATGTTACGCTCGCCATTGCTGTGGGTGTGATATCTGGAGGGGGAGCAGAGGACTCTCCTACTGTTTGAGAATCTCCCATTTTCTGCTAAAGAAAGACAGCTTGGAAGCTTTTAGTGGCGTAGCTTCTGGCATGTCTCGTGTGTCACTGGTGCTAGTGCTATTTCCAGAACGGACGAGAGAGAGAGAGAGAGAGAGAGAGAGAGAGAGAGGAGCTGCCGGAAGGAGCGGAGTAGTGAAGTTGTTTGGTCGAGGAGATATCACTACTTCATGCTTTTATATCGGTGATATCCGTAAAGGCATAGTGACGGCCGTGGAGTCATTGTAGAATCTACTATGAGTCTATTAAGACTACGGTAGTGAAACAGGAGAACTAGGATGAATGCGGGATGTCTCTGACCGCAGACACAATACTCACCTAGCGAAGGAGGTTACTATTTCTAGATATCTAGGCATAGAGCAGCTTCAAGGAAGCTGCCATTGCTGAGCAACGGACCTGGCTCCAGGGGATATAAGAACATATGCACCGTGGCCACAGACGGGTTTTTGCTTCAACATGTGCTCGTGTACCGGCGTGCGGCACTTCGGAGCATGTGGAGCAGTAAACGTAATCCTGCCATTGCCAAATGCAGTTCTTAATAAGAAGAAAAAGTAAGACATGTCGATATATCAACTACAGCGGAGCCCGGTGCTCGTATTCTATCGATTATTCAGAAGGGAATAGAATGTAAAGGGCAGATGAAGAGAGGTTTAAACGTGTGAGATAGAGCGCTGGGATAAAATTGGGCGCATGGTCATGGTATTGAGCATCTTCCAGGGCAGCCGGCACTGGCGATGCTAAGCTAAAGCCGCCAGTCTCGCGTGTGACGCCGGGCCGCACCGCACCTCCGTTCCCAGCAAGTAGGACTAAACATCTATCGACCCGAAGCTTCCATTCTGATTCCGAAAAAGAAAAAAAACTACTAGACTCGGTCGTCACATCCCAGACAAGTCCTAAGTCCGCTCAGATAAGTCAGGGCCTTTCCGTTCACCAGGCAAGTTGAGGTACTGACCTGGTCGAACAACCGCAAACGGTTGAGTAGCGCACAGTAGAAGGGGCACTGCAGGGTCTATTATATAGTACCTTCTGAGGGTTTGATGAAATCCAGACGAGGTGAAAGAAGGAACCCGCCAACTACGAGATACCTCTGTCCCTCGCAATTGCAGGTTTGCGGAACTACCACGTGGAAGTCAAGTGGCATCGCCGTTGAGCTTCAGGCCCTCCCGAGGAGCCGCCACGACATCACATGCTTGGGATCTCATCGACATGGAAAACACGAGACGATATCAGCAGGTTTAAAAGGTGTCTTGGAGAGCTACCACACCTTCGAGATGTGATTCGAGCCAAGGGAGGTAGTTAGGTAGACCGGTATATTAGCCTCTCAAGCTAGCTTTCTCCCCTTTCCTTACCGGCCAAATGGCTTTGGAGTTTCCAATACCACTGAAGGGTTTGATACATTCGCAATAGCGATTGGCTTCTTATGCGATGATAAGCAATCGTCGTGGTTCGCTGGGATGAAGGGGCAACTTAGCATCGACGGCAAGGTAGGGGCTAGTTAGCTTTACCGGCCACTTGCTTACCGGCCACTTGAATCTCATTCAAGATTGAATACGATATTGATACTGACACTATCCAGAGCCATCTCAATGTCCTGGGCCTATAATTATGTTTGGCAAGGTCCGCCTTCTACTCAGGCGGTATTCCCCTCATGGTCAAGGAAGTTGCCGAGAAATTTGAGAGTGGGAACCTTACATAGCGTCCCCAGACACGCCCCTGAGGACGCACAACTATGCCATTGAAAGACAGCCGCTCGATCCCAAAGACTCGCCGCCGTGTGCACGATGTCATCTCACTCATGATACTACCACAAGACACCACTACATCAACTCGAAGGAAGACAAGCTCCTACAAGCTGTACCAAAGTAATTTCTTTGACTGATTTACTTCAAGTCATCAGCTCCGTTCAACGTGAGACGAGGGTTGTATCTTGACGTGATACCTTACCTTGCGTTGCCAGCGCCGAAGTCAAAGATCTGTAGGCCTGTGAACCGGGAAATCGCAAAAAGAATTTGCAACTGCCCAGAAATGCTCCTTGAATTTCTCACCCTGCTCCTCGCTGTTTCTTCCTCCACTTTATCTCCACAATGGATATAGTCTAGTAGAACCATCGGGGAGCCATACTTGCAATTGGATCAGATAAGAACATGTCCTCTAGAAGGTCTCTACTAGTTGAATCCGCGTAGCTCACTGCTTGCATTTGACTACATCACATTTCTAGATTCTGGGCATGGACGGACTCCAAGTTTGCGCATCTCCGTGGGCTTCAGGAGGGCCTTGTCCCGTCAGTTCCGGTGAGCTGTCGGCTATCACACAACCTGACGAGAAAGCCTGTAGCAGGACACCTCTTTTTTCTTGGATCCCAATGTTCGAGGTATTGTGTTAGCTCCCGCATCGTGGACGTCATCGGCGTGGGGAGGGTAAAGTGGCCCGAAATTCTGGTGGCAGATGTTGACAATTGCTTTTCGACGCTGCATTCATTTCTGTTGCTTTATATGCCATAATCTGAAGTATTTTGAGGAAAGTGGCATCTAGAAGTCACGGAGCGGTTACGCAAGAGTTTGGACTCTAATGAGAAACGAGCAACACTACCAGCCCTTTGGAGTCAGCCCCTGGATAGTTCTGACAAACATGTTCCTGTGCCCGGCACACTTAGATAGATATTCAGTGATGTCTCCCGAGCGACAACACTTAGAGCGCAGCCCACAAGTACAGCAGTTCGTTGAGAGTTTGTACAACAGTTGTACAGCTGTCTGAGAGGTCATGCTGTCAGGATTATCCGGCTAGGGACGCGGGTACAATGAAAGTGAGGGTATATAAGCTGATGGTCGCTTATCAGATTGCACATATTCTTGCACGTATGACAAATACGAGCGATGCAAAGCGATCTAGTAGTTTTATTTTTAAATTTAAAACCCCGGCAGTCCACACTCTCTTTAATTGTCCAAGACAAGCTGGATTAGCGGCTTAGGTCCCCCTGAGTAGCGAACAATAAATAATCGATAAAAGACGATCCCTTCCGAAGGAATAGGAAGTAGTTGGCAATTAGATTGAAGGGATTTTTAAGTCATATTTAGAAATAAAGTGAGGCAATTTATAGACCATAGCTTTCGTCCGCTTATAGAGTATTATAATAGAGTCCTGTATACCTCCCTCGACGGGGAGATTAGCGTCGAGTTATATCAATACTGGCTATGACGAGGGCGAAAGCTTATGCTCCCGGGACGGTATTCTCACTGCACCAGCTCAGCCAGCCACTTGCCCCTTTTTCAACGCGACAAACTTGCAGCCGGTACATGCTTCAAAACAGGTTGCTCATGTTGAAGTGAAACGAATAAGTTAACCGGATTCAATTGCTTTCAAGTCACCGGGGCCGCCCTGGTTGCCTGGAGTATCGAGTTGTCCGCTGTCTTATCGATGACACAGGTTCTACATTGAAATCAGCTATTAAACTGTCTACAGCACTCGCCAGTCACGCCCACCTGTACGAGACTCATGGAGGTAAACGAGATATAACCTTTGCCTATTCTTGAACCGATGATCGATGTCCCTGAACATCCATTTTGTCCACTCTTGTAGGTGTTATCAGAAACAGGGACAATGGATTTACCGTGGATTCCGGACTTGCCCACCATACATGAATAAGGTACCTCGGCTATTTTCTCGGAATAAAGATTGCATTCGTCTTCTACGGTATCGTGATCTCAATGAACCCGCACCCCATCTACTCTTTTTCCTTCGTGGGAGGCTTTGAAGTCTGAAGAGCAAAGAAGGGAAACCTCAGACTGACTTAGGCAGTCGTGGACTTTGTCTCATATGAATCCCTGTAACTAGACAACGTCCATACCTCCAAACTTTTGATGTAGTTTAATTGAAGGAGCCCTTGAGATCACTGGGAAGAAGCAATCTCTGAGAAACCAGGGGCTTCTAGGAGCATAGCGGTTGATCAGCCTCATGACAAACGCATAGTGAGAAACAAGAGCTCTCCGTTCTAGACAGGAACATGGTGTTTCCTCTCAATATGCAAGAATGCGGACAGATGGATGACTTAATACAATTAATGCTCGGCATCACGCAAAGTCCCGCGAAACATCTTCGCCAAGCTTTGCAGTCGGTGCGCCCGTAGATCATACAAACGCTGCTAACCTACAAGCCGCGGCATGACCAAAGCTCCATAGAAACAAAACATAAGAGAGCTGATATAATCGCCAGGGCCACGCAGACGGGGAGACGGGCACGAGTGAGGGTATGTATGTACTCCGTATCCGTACTCACCACCGTTGCAGATCAATATGTGAGGTCTCTTAAGAAGGTCCTCCGTGCTTCAGATTTTCGTGTTTCTTTTGTAGATCTGCCGGGTCCGGGGCCCCTCGGACATCCATGTGACCCGTGTCGAGGGGCAAAGTACCGCAGCCCGCACAGCGTCCGGACCCCTCCCCCAGAGAATCAGAGAGGGCCCACGCAGAACTCGGTTCCCGGCAACGTCGAGAGGGAGAGGGCAGGTATCTCTGAAACCGGCGGCGAAAGATCAAAAAGAAATTTGGGCGCGCGAGGTATTCGGATTCGGGTACGGAGCTGTACCTTCGGACATGAGTACTCATCACGGCCGAATACTTTGACGAATCGCAACACAGGCCTAGGGTCCCAACCTTTCACGGAGACAGATTACAAAGACGAGTGGGCAGATAGTAAAAGTGGCGAAGAGACATATTTGTCAGTTCACGCTCATCTCACGCTCCCTCGTGTGATCATTTACACTTTATCATTCACAAGAACCAAATGTTACAGTAATGATACATGGCGAGATTTACATACGCCCATGGATGCTCGCTTGCTCGTGAACCCCATCTCACAGGACCACTGTCTATACACAGGTGGTATGCCAAGGATATCGAGAATTCGTCAAGGAAACATGAGACCCAAAGGAAAGAGTTTGCACGACCAGCGTGTCAAGAAGTTGGTTGAGCCCACGCAAACAAAAGCAGATTTCCGCCCTGTCCCATCCCATCATGCGTCGTGAAATGTTCGTCCGTACAAATACATCACAGTCACACGATTTGTACACAAGCCAGTGAGCCACCCTATTCAATTTCCCTCAATAGATGACCGTCACCCTCTTCCGCCGACGGGTAGGCTTCTGCGCGGCGCCCATCATGGGTGGTCCGGGGATGGGGTAGTCGAGGTTATCCTTGTAGATGTTGAACTTGATGCCCTCGTCGCCAGCCTTGTAGAGCTCCGTCGCCTTGACGCCGGGGGGCTTCTCGGACCCGCCGCCCTGGACGTCGATGTTGAGGCACTGCGGGTAGTTCTGCGCGCCGCCCTCGCGACCGGCCTCGTGCAGCGCAATCGTCTCGTGGCGGAGCACGTACTGGCCGGGAGCGATGTTTGCCGGGATCGTCATCGTCCACGACTTGTTGTTGGAGAGCATGTCGTCCGAACCCCACTTGCCGGGCGCCTTGGCGCCGTCTACGACGCCGACGGCGTCGATCTTGAAGAATTGTAGGTCGGCCTTGTTGACCTTAGCACAGTCGCCGTTGCAGGGGGCCAGGTAGTCCATCATCGGCCCGTGGTGCGACTCGGGCCAGTCGGTCCAGAAGACGGTGACGTTGGAGCCGGCTGTGACTTTTGCGGCGATCGGTGCCGGTTCCGCGCCGACGTGGCAGATGATGTCTGCGTCTGCGTACTTGTCCACGGCGACGAAACCATTTGACAGGTCCTTTGGGATGGACCATCCTACAACTTGTGGCGGGGGTTTCTTGTACTGCATCTGAGGGCTGTAGCCTTCGTAGCTGGAGGGGTAGGACTGGGTCAGTGAGGGTGAGCTATAGATGAGTGAGATATCGAGCCTAAACTTACAAGACACCATCTGCCATGAGACCGTTTACTGTGCCATGGGCACTAGCGGTGTGGAGAGCGGCCGAGGCCAGGAAGACATACTTCAAGGCAGACATATTTGATTCCTTGCGCGTATTCGTGATGTGTGGCTTCTTGAAAGTTCCGAGGTTGCGGTTTGGACAAGTCTGCGAAAAAAGAAACTAGGGTTAGGTTTTAAGGATCGTCGTTGATTATATGTTCGTTCTCAGCGAGGGATCAGCGACTGTTTGCGGGGGTAAAAGGAGCGTAACTAGTCGACCAGCGCACTATAGTATTATCAAAGAATGTGTAAGTTGCTTCCCGGACGTGACATCGTTCACAACGGGGAGGCTCTTGGGATGACGGTTATTATATCAGACACCAAGAAAGCCACAGGGAACGTTGCGGCTGGGGAGTCTCCCGGCCCCGATTCATCCGTTCAAACAAACAAAGTCTTCAGCTTTCCCCGTGCGCTGATGTTGAGACCACCCACAGCGCAAAAAGAAGGTGCAAAACATCAGACACAGAGAGTAGACGATGACCTCAGGTACCGGCCGGAAGTCAAGCTACCATTGGCGGAGATCGGATCTTTGCCATCCAGAACGTCGGTTCAGAGTATCACTTGGTCATGTTCCCTGTTTCAAGACTGGGATAATCCATTGTTCCATTCGGCGTCTCTTCTCGAGAGGCGTCCGTGCAAAGCACCCTTCTCAGCCTCATAGAGTTACCTTCCGACGACTCTTCACATTTTCTCTTGTCTGTTGTGGGGGTGGGAAAGGTTTGTTCCGAGCTGGGACTGCATGGCCATCCTGGACAAAGTCGGGATTTCCTCTTGCTCTATTGCGCTCTTTTGCGAGTTGACCCTATACAGTTGCCCGGCTTCGTCTCAACAATTTCCCGATTCGGTAGTGGCCTCGGCTCCTTCGTCCAGGCCTTTCAGCCCTCGTTTTCATGCGATAGTCTCATAGTCCTGAACTGATATACGGCCCAAACTTTGCGACCGTTTCATCCGTCCACAAAGTGTTCATCTCCTCGCCCAACACAGCACAAGCCTGCAGCATGACGTGCTTCTGCGACGAAACCTTGAGAATTGGTCGTAGAGTCTTCGCGATTCGTTCGTATTCATCAGTATACTTCGGATGCGATGAGCTGACAGAGTCGAAAATAGGTATCGGTTGACTCATTCGGAGGTTGGGTTCGCCAAGGAACAATCTCAAATGTAGAGACCTTCGTCTACCTATTTGTCGACAAATTGTGGTTGCTGATGACGGTCTGTACAGCGGACGTCGCTACACGCGAGTAAACGCCAGCTGTCCGAGTTGCTTGACCTTTGCGCATCGGGCAATATGCCAGTAAAGGGATTTCTCCCGATATCTCCGCCAGTCCAGATCGTCTTCTAAGCCTCAAAGCTGACTCAAGGCCCGCCACGTAGACTCTTGCGAATGCGATAGGTCGAATGTTTTTCTCAATGTCCAGCCCCCTTAACTCCATGACTCCTTCAAATATTGCGTAAAGCCAAGTCCCACCATGGCGGCAAGCCAGTCATCCGAAAGTGTATCGTCCCGTCTACAGCAGCTCGAAGTCGTCCAACTTGTCGCGATACTTCATGATGTTTCTTTTGACCTTGCTGCCCACGGTCCATGTCACGAAGTCCTCCATGCTGCGGGTTACCAGGAACGCCGGATCGACACATGTTTCCGTGCCTACACGAACATGTCCCTGTTCGATGAGCTTCGTTGCTGCCTGTACGGTCTCGGCCATGCTGCGACATCTCCATTAGCATCATGCCCAACGAAGCAAGTTGTGAAAGTCTCTTTCTCCATACCGAAGGCGAGTCATGACGACTGGGAGACGTCGTCTTGCGAAAGCACTCACTGTGACATTGTGTTCAATGGCCGAGAGCTTCGAGGCCGAAGAGAGAACACCCATGTCGTACAGCTTGTCGAGGAGCAGTTGCTCGTGCTTTCGGCGGGCCGCGTTTTCCGGAGGCATCAGGCTGATCCTGTGCGCTAGTTGACGGATGGACTGCACAGCCGTGTCAGTTTGTGTCTCGATGTGTATTCAATATCGGACTCGGGGAGAATATTCGGTAAACTTACGCCGCATAGCCTGTTGTATTTGTGCTGTCCACGGTCGTCAGCGATGGTTCATGATGCGGGCGTGGGCGACGATACTCACATAATCCTCAGGCTTCTGAATCATGTATCTGCGCACCTGTTCGCATGTTAGATTGTGTCGCGCGCTTCTCCTTCTCTCCTGGAATCTGCCATACCACTGCGGCGTCTCGGTGATCGCCATCCTAGTAATTCAACGTTAGCACATGCGCCTCGGTCCGCTGTACGGGCGGGGTGCGGTTGATCTCGGTACCTGCTTGTATGTGATGAAGTCATGCTTCCGCAGAAGCTTCTGCTCGTGATACTTGAGTTTGCGGACCATGCTGGGCTGTTGTCGTCGCGGGTCCCCAGTTTGGTTTGGCGATTGACGACGGTGACGAGAGGTCGCGGCAGAAGAAAAAGTTCTGGAGCTGGAGGGACAAAAATCCTTATCGCCGCGGAAGCTTATCGGACGAGTGGGGCGGGAGGTTCCGTCGGCCTACCAAAAAATTCCCGTGACAGCTTCAACATCTCGCAACAGATCACGCTTCGCTGGGACATTCGAACAAATCCTCACAAGACTAGCAATGCCTCCCAGACTACCACTCGTTTCGGCCATCAAGGCACCGAGCGCCTTGATGGCCCGGATTGCGCGCCCGTTCTCATCGACTCCCATCGTTGCCCGTACGTCAATGCCCCCCTACAGCTCCCTAGGGCGCGACAGCTAACGTCAAGCTTCCCAGAGTCCTCCGGCTCCGATCCGATTAAGAATCTCCTGAACCTCGACGAGAAGCCCCCGGTGCACTCAGCCGACCGTATCCGCGGTCTCATCAACAATGGAAGCAAGGCCCGCTTGGAGGGAGCTGCAGCTCGGAAACGCACCATGCTCGAGTCTCTCCGCGAGAAGAAGGTCAGCGACGACTACGTCAAGCAGATGCCGCGTCGCTGGCGTACCGGTGAGGTATACGCGCCGCACGACCTTAGCCCTCTCGAGATGGAGAAATGGCGCAGGCAAAAGATCGTCACGACTGATGTCATTGACTTGTTGGGAATCAACCCCCTGGACCACTACAGAGTATGTTCAAATGGTGTTCTCAAAGCCCTCGGGATACTGAATCTGTGTTACAGAACTTCTCAATGATTTCCGAGTACATGACGAACTTCGGACAGATCAAGCACTACAAGGATACGGGACTGAAGCCGACGAACCAGAGGAAGATGGCAAAGGCAATCCGGAGAGCGATTGGTATGGGTATCCACCCCAGTGTGCACCACCACCCCGAGCTGCTGAAGAAGAGGTTCCGCCTCAATGCGTCGTGGAAGTGAGACTTTGAAGCAAATTAGGGGTTCGGAAGGCTTGCAGGGCCTGTGGAGTTGTCTGCGGACATTGGGAGTGTCTCCCGTGTATGAATTGTACAACATCTTGGCGTCTATTATAAATGTACAGATACAAGAAGCTCCTCCAGTATATATTGTACACATCATGCCTTCAGCACCCGCTGTAGCTTGAACTTCTTCACTTTTTCGGGGGTGTAATAGTAGCGGAACTTCTCCACCTCCGCCCATTCCTCTGGGAACTGATTCTTGGCCCACGCCTCGAAGTCTCGCTGCAAGCCTTGCCCAGGGAGTGCGTTAAATGGAATGCCAAGCCTGTACGGAGGTTAGCTACAAACTTTGGTAGGGATGAAAAGGATAGACTCACGTCATGGCATCAGGCCCATACCCAACAGCTCGCTTCATGGTTCTGATTGTGCTCTGCACCTCCTGGAGATTGCCATTGCCTGCAAGGCCGCCGCAGTATGAGGCAAAGACTGCCGGCGGAACATCGACTTCCATCTTCTCGATTTTCTTCCAGATATCCCTGGCAATCTGATCGCCAAAGGCCTTTAGTTCGCAGAGGAAGAACACAATCTCGAGACTGTTGTATGATGGGCCTTCTGAAGAGCGGACAATATCCTGCCAGTACTCCAGTCCTAGACTTGGTTTCCGGCATGCTCCATAGGCAATCATCAAAGCGTTGAACATCCTTGTGCTAGGCTGGATCTTCGTGTCCATTTTCAACATGTTATGAATCAACTTCGTGCTGTCCAAGTCGGGGCACCTGCCCATGCCTTCAAAACATTGAATGTAGGCATCGCTATTGGGATGAAATGTTGGGTTGACGTGCTGCCGCATGTGTCCAAATACATGGACGGCCATGTCAGAGCGCCTGCGGTCGAAAAATGCGTCCATGAGCTGGAGACGACTCTCAACGCTGGTCTCTTGGAAGAACTGACGGAGGATGGAATAGGCATCCCAGACTCTCGCCGTGCTGTTTTTCTTGTCTAAACAGTATGCCACAAATGCATCTCTAATGGATCGTCGTTGTTCGTTGCTGTGTTGAAATACATTCAGCGATAACGTGTCGATAATTTCAAACTGCTGGTCGTTTTTGAGGAAGACTGTGCATAATGCGACCACTGTCTCTGGATCCAATGTGACAATTCTGTCCTCCAAAATATCCAACATCTCGCGTATCGCCGTAGAATTCGGGTTTGCTTGGTAGCACAGTGCTTGAAGATACTTATTGATCAGGGGCAAGTCGTCTTCTCCGTTCAGATCCGCCTTTGGGAGCTGCATATATGCCGCCCTGGCCCCTGACAAGTCCTTTGCCCGGATCTTGAAGTCCATTTGGAGAAGGTATGTTGTTGCATCAGGCCGGATGCCGAGCTCGCTCGCGAACGAGACAAGCCTGTCTGCTAGATACGGGTCGTTTTTCTCAATCGCAACCTCCAGCAGACCATTGATCGTTTGGGTGTCTGGCAGGAAGGCGCTATCGTCGGGGTTGTGGCGAGCAACAACATCAAACATGCCCTTGATGTCATCAAGCCCCTTTTCCATGGACAGTACTGCCCATTGATAGATGACATCCCAATGCTCTTTGCTCGGATTGGCGTCAACAAGCTTCTTGAAGATCGGCGCTGTCCAACCGCGTTGGTTGTTCCTCACTGAAAAATGTAAGATTTCTTTGAAAGTCCTGGGGCTTGGATGCTCGCTGTCTTGAGCTGGCCTTAGGAACCACTTCTTGGTCTCCAAAACATTATCCTTTTTGGCGAAGAAAGTCGTCATAACCTCATGAAAATTTGACGTGAAAGGCAAGCCGAGTCTCTCGGCCTTTTTGACAGCCGCCACAAGCTCTGCCTCACGGCCTTCCTCCGCCAGCCCCTGCAGGACATTGACCCAAAGATTCTGTGCGCCAGGTTGATCTGCTTCAGGTAACTGAGCCCAGTGTTCTTGCAAGGTGTTGAAGGCCTCGGGAGATGCGCCGAATATGGTCAGGGCAACCAGATACGACTCGAAGTCCTCCGCAGCGCCAGGATCTGTTGAATCCAATGCTCGTATCTCCTTGATCGCATCGTATAAGAGTCTGGAGAACTCCAGGTGGTCTTTGGTATCCTCTCTTGGCAGCTTGAGCAACGCTTCCCGCGCATTCGTTAACTCGGTTAAAGTTAGGCCTGGTCCCGGCTCGTCGTCCTTATTTTCGAGCAAGTATCTCAATAGGTTACGGCAGTGCAAAGCCTGAGTGCTGTTGACGACGATGTTGAAGCGCACTTTGTATGCGAACAAGTCCCGAAATGCCTCAACCAGTTCTGTCCTCGACGGCGGCCGTACGCTTTCCAAAAGGCGATTCCTCCATGTTAAGACCGTCGTCCACCCAGGCTCATACTCTGGCTTCTTGATCTGTTTCGGAGGCTTCTGGAGGATGCCAAAGAACGTCCGACGCTGGGCTCGTCGAGAGAGGGATATCGTCGATGCTACCTGGACCTGTGTATGACGACAAGCTGGGCGAGAAAGAATCGAACAGGCAGGGACGCTGCCCCTAGGAACGAGGACCCGTCGGCAGACATGGCGGGCTAATTGCGCCCTCATGGTGTGGGTTCAGTGCTTTGCGCGAAGGGTTCTTGATAGCAATTAGTTTTGAAGACAGGAACAAAAGCTTCAAGTGAGCGTACCTGGGCATCTCCAGACCGAATCAAAGTAAGCGCGGCATGTGGTGAAGCTCAATGCCGATATTTGAAGCTCTGAAGATTTGCGAACTGGAAATGGGAACACTGGAGCTTTCGGGACTTGGAAATCGCGGTAGCTGCCACCAAAAAGCGACCCGCGCTTGTGGAGGACCCGCAGATTACCCGTGCTTAGTCATAACCTGCATTCCACCCACCCACCGGCACCTTTGGTGTCAATGACCTCAAGGACGTCACTCTCATAAATACAATGGAAGGCAGCTTCAATGTCGAACTAGCTGGGCGACACTTTTTCCTGATAGTTATCTCTCTATTCAAAAATTGCGTTCTGTTGCAGGATGTGAATTATATGATGTAGCCCTCTCAAATTCTTGAACCAATCACACCTTGCCCAAATCAAAGCATCATTATCATTATCGTCACCAGTGGATCCAGTCATGGATTCATTTCCAAGTTGGTATGGATCATTATCAACTCCAATTCGACCATCCAGCGTTCCTCGACACGTTGATTGATATCCAGAAATAACTTAGAATGTGCTTGTTCAATTCTAGTAAATGCGAGCTAACAGTGGTGTCTAGACCGACCATTAGCACCACTCGGCAACCTTGCGTCTTCGGCGGTGATTGGTATTGCATACTCAGAACGGGCCACTTGAGAACGATGACAAAAGTCTCATGAGATGGCAACCGTTGATATGCGGTAAACCTATGTGGGTGGCAGTTAGATGCCGATGGGAAAGACTCCAGACGACACGGAGGTCCAGCTCCTGAGCCTAGCACTCATAAAGTATGGAATACGGACATGTGTGCGCTCAAATCTGGGTTATGACCAGAGTTGGCGCCTCGGTGTCAAGTGTTCTTCCTCCCATTCTTCTGTCTTCGCCGGGTCGCATGAAGCACAAACACGCTCAGACCCACGATGAAGTCAGTGCGGAACCTGAGCTTAGCTACAATGTCATGGGAACTGGTTCGCTCGAGTTGCTCGAGTGAGAAATACTTAGGGTGCAAGTGCATCCTGCCAACTTTTTCTCGAAGGCATCGGCTTTCACACCCTACACTTGCGAACTGGCTCCAGAAGTAAGAACAACAAAACAACGAAGACTTTTGAACTGGCAGTTAGTTCAAGACGTTTACGCACCATCCTTGTAAGCCCCTTCAAGCGCAAATCTAGGCATGCTCGGTATTACTCACCACAAGTAGGACACCCGAGAAGGATTCGGTACTTGTTATCCCGCCCCGGAGTGCAGTCCGACTCAAGCCGCCGGGCGGACTGATTTCCCAATAGCTTGACGACACACCGCCCAACTAGCTGACGGATTCTTGTCCTCACGTGCCTGACACTGCCGGCGACATGTCAAGATCTCGCAGTTCCAGCCGTGGTTCTCTTGCGAAGCAGACAGCAACACCACCGCAAAGGACGCAGCAGCCAAAGAGGAAGAATGGTGGCAGAGATGCCCAGTGCTACTTCTGTTGCTGCTGGTGCTGTTGGATCGTCCTCACTTTAGTCGCCCTATCCTGCGGCTCCGTCCTGCTGATGGTCACCTCCCTCCCCTTGCCGGACTCGGAGCCATTCATCTCTTAAACCCGGGGCGAAGTCATCAAATCCGTTAACTCCAATTCACCGACGACCAGATTCATGATGGCTATCCTCAAGTCGTCATGCTGTAGGAAATTTGCCTCGGTTCGACAGCTGTTCATGACCTTCCTGTGCTTTCCAACCCACGACTTCACGACTTCAGCTCAAGGGTGTTGTAAGATGTTGCTTGGTCGAGTCAATGCCAGGCCTCCGCTCCTCCAGCAGGTTCCCACGTGTCCTTCTTTTCCAATCTCTTGAAATCTTCATTCGATGAAGTTATCCGTCACGCTAGACTTCATCGACAACGTTCCTCAGGTCTCTTTGTCCCTTGTCGCCATAAGCAAACCTCTTTTGTCGGCGATCCACTCAGTCCCTCATCTTGGATCAGAAGAGGCCTTGATCCGCGTCCAAGCCACTGCCCTTCTCGCCCCCGATCAAAAACTCCGCGACTTCGGCGTTCTTAACGTTGCTTCTCGCCTTCCCTTGGTGCTCGGCATCGGGATTGTCGGTACAGTCGTCGAATACGGGCCTTCGATCGTTCCAAGCGATATCCCTCTTCCGTCTGTCGGTACACTGGTCCTTTTTCAGGGGAATCTTCGTCGGCTGCATGTCGTCGGCTTGGGCCCTTCGTTCTGGCCGACACTCTTGATCCCCGTCCCAGGGGTTACATCCTCCCTTCAAGCTGCAACGTTGATCACTGACCCTTTCACTGCGGCTCTTTCTCTTTTCCATCCATCTGGCCTCAGGTCCCCTTTCCTGGCACTGATCCGACCGTCGAGTACCGAGAGGCACGTGTCATCGTCCTTGGCGCAGGCACAATTGCCGGCACTTTTACCGTTCGACATGCGGCGGTTGCTGGTATCGGGACCATCATAAACACCTCTTCCAATACCGTTCTTGCAATACTCCAAACCCACGGGGCGACTGATATCATTCACCGGTCCTCCTCTTCCATCACATCCGAAGTCCAGCGTATCCTCGGTTCTCCTCCCTCGCATGTCGCGAAGGCATATGCATCTGGTCATCCCACTCTTGCTGCCTCCCTTTTCTTTCCCACCGTTTCCATCGATGCCCCGAAGTCCATTGCCATGTTGTCGTCCTCGGTTGGTGCCGACATTGATGACTTGGCTGAAAGGCGTGTTTCCTTGCGCAACATCTATGGCTCCTTCGAGGCCCATCCAGATGTGTTTCGATTATGGGCCGCAGCTCTTCTCAAGTGGTTCTTATCTGGCGAGTTGGAAGCCCCCTCTCGTAGAGTAATCCCCGTTGTCGACCCATGCCTCGTCAATACCGCACTCAATGACATCGGAAGAGGTGGCGGGGTAAGGTATGTCGTCAATATGGAGGGAGAAGACGACGTGGGGGAGGACAGAGGAGATATATAGACGAGAGGGTGGAGGTGGATAGGGTAGACAGACCAGGGGTGGACCAGAGGCACAGCAAGCCAAGATGCCGGGGAGCGTGTTGTACGAGATCCGTCACTCAACGGACGATCTTGTCCCATCATCGCCTAACCTGCTGTCGTCGTCATATCGGACGGCAGTTCAAGCTAGGATGTTGTATGTCCCTCATTCTCTCTCTCGGTCAACAAGAAATCGCCCGATGACCGAGAAGACCGGCCAAGAGAAAAGAAGGAATGAAAGGACGAGGAAGTGCATAGCAGGGGGCTCGAAAGAGAAGAAGAGATCAACGACTCACCGCAATATAGTCCTAAATGCTTCTTTAACCCCCCCTGGGAGATCATGTAACACTTTCCTAGTCCTCCCCTCTCATTTGTCTAAGTTGCTAGTGACAGAAGTCCGTTCCAAACCTGCATTGGCTCCTAGCTCCGCCTCTCTCTTCCCCTCTCGTTACCCTGCTTCTCTTTACTCTAGTCCGGACCACAGAAGAGCCTATTTGCTTTTGCTTGCTTGCTTTGAAAAGCTCTCTTTTCACTTGTTCGTCCGTGTTTCGAGTCCGCGCGGCATCGTTGATCACGGGGGCGTTGGTTTGAGTCCTGTATGGCTGGATGAATACGGTTGATTTCCATCTAGTTCCCACGGCGGCAGAACAAGTGGGTGTGGGAGGATGTCTCCTGAGGCGTTCACGTCTGCGTTTCAGAGATGCAAGTGCAGCTTGCGCTGACTGGTTCTCGTTGACTTTCGGCGCACCCTCTATCTCAACCTCATAGGACGTCGGCCAGCTCCGCGCTATATGGTTCCTCCTGGCGCCGGCCGGTCACATCCAGTGACGGGTCTCAGATTGACGTCGCGTTTGCGTAAGGCTTCTCCAGGCTATGATATCGGGCGAAGAGATCCTGGAGTTTCGTCGGCATTAGGCGTCTGAAGAGGAGAAGAAACAAAAGAAGAACCAGACCAGATGGTAACAGAGTCAAAAGGTTGGACAACAATAGGAACTAGGGGGTACACCGCGAAGACAAGAGAGGGGAATTGGAAGAGGCTAAGCCTAGTGCTGCCATCTGAACATCATCCTGATGTCGGTGATCCGAGGGGCATTTGATCGACGGTTGACGTCTCGACCGTGCGTCGTCGTTCACGCTCCTTCGAACCACTCCACGATGGAGCTAAAGGGAGCGTTCGGGTACGGACTCGCCCTCACATCACCGAGTCTACAAGGCAACCGGCCGATGCCAAGAAAAGCAGCTACCGGACGAAATAACAAAGTACCAACCGAATCCATACGAGATTCCCATGGCCCCGACCTGCTGACCTGCCAGGATCATCACCAGATGGAACCAGGTTGTCAACGGCCCAGAGTCTATTTTCAGTCTGCTTGAACTACAAGCTGATAGATTCTTTACACGGGTGAACACGGAGACAATGTGTCAGAGAAGGATACAAGGAACTGCGGATGGTCACCGTGGTCGACTGCACACGCGTGGCACGAAACACGCAACTCCGGAGCGCCGCACCGGGACCTGCTTGCTGCAGTTGAGAAGGAACAACAACTATGTTGTCGTTTGCGCAAGCTGTACCCTTCCAAATCGTCAGCCTAATGGCGTTCTCTTCACCCCGTCAGATCAGGGGCATCGAACGGCAGGAACAAGGTTGGCAGGCAATGCGAGGCAGGGGACGGCTTCCAACCCCCGTTGCCCGAGGCCGGGGGGTTGAAGGAGGACAAGATCGCCCAGACAACGGGCAGGAGAGTAACTCAATGGATTGAGATCCTGGAAGGTGTGTGATACACTTTACAGACATTGTTGCCCAAAGGAGCGAGAATGTAACGAGAAAGACGCTTACTAGCATTATAGACTGGTCAACTCGGGCACGACATCTCAAACATGACCGACTGCGCGCTTGCGAACATCTAGACCACAGTCTTCGTGCTGTAATGTCCGGACGGCAAAGATTGATTTCCAGCATCAAGGCCCTGGTCAGTATTGGATATCGGACAACGACAGTGACCGAAGTCCACACTAGAAAATATGGTATTCAATCTAGCAACTCGGCTCAACTTCAGACTATACTGTCTACTCGAATCTGTATCAAAGAGGTTCTAGAACCACAAGACTGTTATGACTAGAGAACACCGTTCTACTAGAAACAATCACTCCAAGAATGGAAACTCTACTGAAGGATTCGGAGTTGGTCTCCTCCTACCTGGTCCTATAATCACCGGACGCCGTCGTCCGGTCCTGCAAGAGCAAGCAAAAGGAGTGCCGCGCGCATAACGTCCGTCCGGGGACAGCGCTATTCCTACCCTGGACGTCCCGTCGTCGATATTGCGGCTCCTTGGCCATGCCCCAGACCTGACGATCAGCACGTTACCGAGCCGCGAAAGGCTTAGCTTTGTCGACTGGGTTCTGGAGGCACAACGACTTGTCAAGCTTGCTTGTGTTCTTTTCTTTTTGACACAGACAATTTTATTTCCGGACATCATGGGTGTCATAGTCCGTTGAGTCTATCTTTTCTGATAGCTGTCAACCTAAACCATGGCCAACCATAACTCTTGGTAAACGTCCCAGGATAGACTTGAAGTCGACATCCATCAGAGACAATCACTCCCAAATAATCCAGACTGGCAAACAAGGAATGACAGACGGGAGTGCGGGATAAACGGACGAACTTCCCGCTGTGCATGAACGACTTATACCAAAACCGTGGGGCTCTCGCCCGACGATGCAACAGTGAGATGCTTCCCATCTTGAATATCCCGCAACTAATGTGTCCGTATTCCACAGTCTATCCGGACGTTAATACATTGGACAAACTGAACAAAAAGAGACAGATTTTGGGAACTTTGGTGGCGTTCGTTCGAAGCTCTGCTCCCCCTCCGTCCGAAGCGCAACGACCCTTAGTTGGGGGTCCGAAGTTGTCAACTCCGTTCGGATTGTCCGTGGGACACTACCGACCGCGAGACAAGGAATAACTCGGACAGTTCCAAAAAAGAACCTATCCCTTGATCTGCAAAGCATCTTTCTTTCAACTTTGAAAAGAAATTGCCCAATCAATCTGTGCTGCAGGTACCGTACCGAAATTCAACCTCTCAATCTTCGTCTGGCTGAGTGGTGGGACTTCGACTCCCTCTCACCCTCTGAAGGACGTCGTTTCCCGCCGCTCCAATATTTCGGTGTTCTCGGGCAACTCCAAAGGAGCCTCGCACCCGGCGCCCCGGCTGGGAGAAGGAGGACCATTGGGCATGGGAACCCACCTCATCGGCATCGGTCGGTCGGTCCTCTTCGGTCGGTTTCCTCGGCGACCCTAGCAACGCGCACTTGCATCATCGCCCGATGGAGGAAGGCGGATGAGGGACGGGAGGCGGCAAGAGGCACTGCGCTCTTTTCGCTTCAGCCTTGCAGAAGACGAAAGATCCAAAAGGCTCGACAGACACTCTGCTCTCGGACGGGGTCCCTTTACCGACACGATGGGCTTTGACAAGAGACGGAAGACCAGCTGACAGCGGCGGGATGGTGGGAACAGACCTCAGCTTCTGCCAAGTCAAGGCAAGGTCATCAAGATACCTGGGACCTGTTCCTGGCCTGGCGTTATCTCCCATCCTCCAGGCTGCCCTCGTCGAAAGGATGCTAAGCCCTGAGCTGACATTCCCATCCATCACGATGGCCTATCACCAGAACAGACTCGTAGGGCTGGGCTTAGGAATTGGAAGCTGACGTGGGCACCTTCCAAGGGTTTGAACTGGGGTGACACGACACCACAACTTCCAAAGATCCCAAAATCCCAATAGCTTCGAACCAACTGGAACCTCACACAAGCGTAGCCGCCCGCGCCCGCCCGCCATCCCGCATATCCTTGGTACGACCGTTACTCAAAGATTGTGGCGCTCTCGTCATCCACCCACACCCACACACACGCAACACCATATGCCGGCCTCGGTCGAGCGAGAGAATGCGTCTCTGCAGAACGCCGTGCATCGCCCTCTGCACATCTGCACCTGTGCGGATATGGGGTTTTAGTCCAAAGAAACGAAACGAAACCCCTCCCCATCCCTTCGCGATCTCGGGAACAAAAATCTATTTGCAATCACGCTTTTCCCCCCCTCGCGACGCGAACGGATGACGAGCTGACAAGCGAGGCAAGGCGAGGTACGGCGCGGCACGGTACAAGGTAAGGCAAGGTAAGGCATCTTGGGACCTTTCTGCCCATGTAAGACACGAGACGAGTCAATTACATCAACCTACATTTGGGTTCCCAATGGGCGACGAGAGAGAGAGGGGGAACAAGCGGCGGGAAGGACACGCCTTACGACCTGCTGAAAGCTCCATGCTTGTCAGACGAAATGGCCCATCCCTTAACGGGCTTCACATTGACTTGCCCGCATCCGCATATGCAACCTTTCGAGATGATACGAGGATTGTAGGCAATCTAGGGTTGGGGGGTCCTGTTTCTTGCTAAGACCGATGAGGTGGAAAGACGCGATCAATAAATTCAGCAAATGTTGGATGCCTACGCGTGCAGGACCCAAAAGAGATCTTTGGTATTCAGGAACTTCAGTGGTCAAGGATCATTGAAATCCAGGCCCTTCTCAGGATCTAGAGAAGAGGCAACGAAGTGGCAAGATGTCAGATTCTCTCCGATTGCGGTAATATTGAGTCTTTAAGCAGACAAGAGGAATCACGGCTGAGTCTGAATCCCCATCCATGTAGAATCCTTTTTACTCCAAACCCACAAGCGAAACCCACAATGTCATTGCTATTTCCACTTTCCAAAGTCCCAATATCCATATCCAATTTCTTCACGATGGATTGGGAAAGAAAAAAAAAAGACGTTAACATGTCTGCCCGCAACTAGTATACTTTCCCACCCACCAGCCCTAGCTGTCGTCATTGCTTATTCTGCATGACCGACCGAGGTGGTCAGCTTTCGAGACATGGTGCCCTGTTGGGCTGCGTGGGCTGCAAGCCTGTAAAGCCCCACGGCGGGTGCATTCCCCAAATCTCAGTCATCTCTCGTCAGGTCTTGGAACCTCAGAAGTCCTCATCGACAAGCGAACGAGTAGGAGGGTCTTCCGCTGCGCCCCAAGCACGCAGGTCTCGGAAAATGCAAAGGGTGCGCGGGCGATCCCAGAAGGAATCCCGGTAATGCGGGCCTCGGTATTAGAGCCCCGGTTTGGGGGAGATGCTAAGATGCGGATCCATTTGTTTGGTTTACGTGTTTCTCTGGGCGCCTTTTTCTCTCTCTTTTCGTACCAAGTACCCAATCGTTGTAGATGTTCCTCACAACCCTGGCAGAGGAGCAGCGGAGAAGGCACAATAAGTTGTTAATGTGCGACACCTTCGTAAGACCTCGGTCGTGTCGGCCGGCCGGCCGGCTGGCCGGCCATAACTTCGTTTTTGGGTTGTGTCACAACCATAGAGAGTTGTCACACAATCAAAAGACAACCTGTCACCAAGCTGTCTCCAATTCAACGGAAACATTGACAGGAGTCAAGTTGGCAGAAGAAATGGCGTCAGACTTCTCCTTGACACTACCAAAATAGGCAACCCCCCTTCAAGTTTCCATTGCCACACCGTATCATGTGGTGTCGCTGATGGCAGCATTGTCAATCTCTTGGGATGACAGGCCCCGTCTCTCTAGACTCTACCGTGTCGAGGCGTGTCTGCCTTGTCCCGCGGGGGCACTTGGCACCACGCGCGCTCGCAAGGAGAAGTCAAAAACGGGCAGACAATCGCGCTTGTCGACAGTCTCTCCAGGGTCCCAACCCTGACGGGTTTTGCGAGCCGAGTACGCGCGCCGACGTTTGACATGACCCACGTAATGAGCGGATTATCGTGATCGATCAGAAAAAAAGCCAATTACTTCTAACTTTGACCCTTTTGCAATGCTCACCAATCCTCAACTCCCTTGGCGGTGCTTGGTCGATTCATATGCCGTCCATCTCTAGCCTCGATATAAGTTAAGTGCTTGCAGAATTGCTCGAAATCCGTCGTTTGAAGTCGTCCACGCTACTGCGGATGTCTGCACGCTCGGCCCAGAACACATCTTCTTCCCTCTCGCTCGTGGACTGAGGCTCTTGATGGATTCTTTTTGATAAACTGTGTTATCCGTCACTGCGGGTCTGGAACAAGTCCACTGTGGATGGCATGGACGTCAACTTTTGGACGTGCAGAACGAGCGCTGGCAACGACAAGACGACGTTATCAGTGAGGTCGCCGACTCATGCATCCAACGACTTCCCTTCCTGCGATGCTCTGCGATGTAGCACGCACCATCAGGATACCGTAGCGTATTCGGACGTACAATCCTCGCAAAGACAGGGCAGACACAGCAGAATGCCAGGCGTTGGCGGCCTGGTAGCAGGGATAGATCCGTGTTGTTTCGTTTCAGCTGAAGTCCTTGCCTGGTAGCATCTGATCAGTGCCCACCCTCGTGTCTTTCAGAGTATTCCCCTGCTAGGAAGGTCAAGCACAGAACACAGCCATCAACGGCGTCCAAAGTGTTTCGACGTCTCTTGCAATTGCCCTATACGGCCTGCGATTGTGTCGTGATCGTAACTGGAGACAAGTGGCGGCTGTCACAACTGTCTGCTGCCCTGCCAACAACTTGATGGTGTACAGCTGTCTTGTCTAGGAAGTCATTTGACAGAAAGGGAAACACCCGTCTGAGCGGCTCGTAGAATAAACGATCCATTTCCTCTTTGGGATACTAGACCACGAAAAGGGCTTGGTGATAGCGACTCGGGTCGCCTGAAGCAAAGCCGTGGAGCCCGGGAAACTCGGTTCAGTGGACTGCAAGGCGCTTTTGCTAGGCACAAGTGGGTTAAAAGTAGGCTCGAGCAACTGACCAAGTCGATTAGCTTAGGTTGATCGTAACCTGACACGCCGGCGAGGAGACTGAGGGTGATTAGTGGGTCAGATTATTTGTAGAAAGAAGGAATTATGTGGCTGGAAAATGTCGAGAAGTGTGGCTCTGCGCCCAATGACGATTTGACGGCATATCAACGGTCGCAATAATTTCGGCGGCATAGGTGCCAATTGAAGAAGCCACCGGTCTTACGGGAGTCAAGATCGGCGCCGGGCTGATGTTGGGCGTCAGGATGGCCAAGTTCCCGCCGATGGTTTGTGGAAAGGTGAAGCCGTTGTGCCGAGTCCACCGGATACATGGTCCAGCTCCACGTCAGCTGATTGGATGTTGTTGTCTCGTGAGGACGAAGATGGAAAATGTAACTCGGCAGCCGGATCAACAACCTGCAGGACGGGCAAGCCACGTTTGAAGGAGCAGCGGAACGAGATGCGACGAAATATTACGATGCTGCAAGAACCGCAAGCCCAGTACCGTAAGGCGGGATTGGTGACGGTAGTGGCTGGCAATGGTCAAATGGGGCTTCGCAGTCTCGGGCACGAAGAAGACTGCGAACATGAAGGGCAATGAAACGCATCCCAAGAGCGCGAGAGGGCGGGTAAGGACATCATCGGATCTTCGTTATCTGAGAAAACGGGGCTGCCGATTCCTCATCGAGATGCATGCAGCGATGGGCACACATCAGAGCGGCCACGTCGGATACGGGAGAGTCCCCGTGAAATGGACGAGATGACGGCAGTTGAGTTGAGATCATTGGGAACCACATATGCCCGCAGCACTGTTCAGATTGCATGGTTTTGAAAAACGGGAATGGCGGCTTCGTACTTCGTATTGTGCAATCCTAGGTGACGCTGAAACGGTGTCTGACAGAGAGCCAAAGTTTCCGTCTCTATCGCACGTCGAGAGCTCGCATCGCATCAGGCCGAAAATAGGAAACAAGAGTTGGTAGCAGCTTGCCTATCGAGTCGTCTTTCAGGCGTAGGAAGGTCACCGAGAGTGAACAGTGCAATCAGGTAGGTTGGCAAGGAACGGCCGACTCATGAGCGGCTCAATCGCCGCTTGTGTCCCTGTCAAGCGAGCCTAGGGAGGCTGACGGAAGACTCGTTGCCAGGGTTGACCTAGGCCTTCAGGCCTCGCAAAATGCTGGCAATACGAAAATGCCGAGTCACCGTTTCGACCGTCAGTCTGCTGTTCTGAAGGTGGTCCCTGGTTCCTCATTTCATTAGACGACCGTCTGAGCGGTGGTAGACTCTCGCGTCATGGTGCAAGCGCTTCTCTTGGAACAGCGCGAAGAAGAAGGTGAGGCAGCCGTCGTGAGCCCGTGAGCTGCTTGGGCTGTGGAGCGAGATGGTCGGAGAATAACTCCTCCCCCAGGAAGATGCTTGTGAGGTGCTCCATGATTCGCCCGCTCGGTCCAAGGCGGGGGACACGTAGCTTGTCAAGAGGCGCCGAGACCGACATGGAAGAACCTTGCCTGCAGGTGTGCAGTGGTAGGGCGACCAACGACCCTGGTAACCCCAATCGTGTTCCCCCTGGGCGGATCAGTGGATACGGCATCCATCTTCGCGTGCGGTGGGTGGACTATGGATCGTGGTGGGTAGTGATACGGATGGTTGATGCCAGGATAGGGGTCCAGTCGGAATGGAATTCGGTCTCGAATCAATCGTTTGTCGTTCGCAAATAACTCGGGAACGATGGAAACGAGGACAAAAAGACTTTTGTCTGACCAACACAAGCTTGAGCTGGCAAAGACCCAAAGTCGGGAATTATTCCACATTGCTCTCATAGTAGCCACATGCGCCAGTAGGTACTTCTAGCCGCATAGCAGCCGGGAGCGAGATAGGAGCGCGCTAGTAAGGACAGAAATATCCAATCCCATCGCGAGGAGCTTATTTTTAGTGGTTGGTGTCGGCGGATAACTGTCGCCGCTTTCTTTACTTGCTCGTCGAAGTTTTGCGTCCGACCTGGCATTTCTTATTCCTGGAGTGGTGACATGTAGACTTTGGCTAGACTCTCGACTTTGGAATTACTCAGAGTTGAACCAAATTTGAAGACGTCAATAGGCTGATTTATGCTCTCTTGCGAGTTGCTTTTAGGATGCCGTTGGCCTGTGCTGCGACATTGGATCTCTCTTGTCTGGGCCATTGGCTGCAGATGGCAAAGCAACTTTGCAGCGTCTAATGATTATTGTTATTATTCCATATTCGGGTGCAGAAACATGACTCTCGTTGATTTGATGCGCACAGCCAGTGCTGGTCTGTGGAGATGTTTCTCGAAGCCGCTGCCGTCGACGTGGCGTCTGTGGACTCGAGCTGCGCTAACAAGATATTTGAGTACCTATGGAACCACGAGGTAACGCCATTGAGAATGCTTTGTCCTACCTGCCGCCAAGCGAGCGGCCGTAGGAAGCCACGATCAAAGGATTGAAGCTCGGTTGCCTGGCAGGGAGTTGAGCCTCTGGAAGGATCTTTGGAGATACAGAGACGAAATAGAAACAACCGAGTAAGACTGGCTACTGTCAGGTTGAAAATGTAAGTGGACACGACTCAAGACAAGATGGTAAGGCGTGCCGCGTGTCGTGTGTGGAGGGGCCGGGGGGAGGTCCTAGATCTGATCTGACTGTGTGGGTTGATACACCCTACGCCTGCATTGAAATATCGATAGGTAGGAGCAATCCTGAAGGGCCACGAAGGTTTTGTGCATAATGTGCAGCTCGTGGCTCTAGTCTGACCCTGGCTTCCTCCTCCTAGCTCGTAATAATGGCTTTCTTGTTGTCTGGGGTGGGTTCTGATCTGTGTTTCTTGCACCTCTCTTTCCGAGACAAGGTGAGCTGGAGGAAGCTTGGCTAGCTGTCGTGATGGTGTCGAGCATGGGTCAGATCGCTACAGAGTCCAGATAAGCCCTGGATAAGCAAGGAGGAGGCTGAGTGAGGAGATACGGTAATGCATAGGTCTGATACATTACTGGCGGATGGTTTGTTGTTGTTGTTATTGGGTGAAGTCGTCGTTGTGGTTGATCATAATTCCCACAAACTGTGCACGGGTCTCCCCTTCCTGGGTTCTCTCCAATTAAGAGCCCCACTTCAGCCGATGTGTATTATGTCAGCTCATGGCTGAGTAAGTTGCAAATGCACAAGGGGACCCCTTTCCTCTCTATTCTCGGTACGTACTCCTCGCCCACTTCGAGGGGAACTTGGCTCGATACGTACCCTGGGAAGCACGACAGATCAGGACGGCCCGGCTTTCGGGAGTGGGGGGGGGGGGGGTACGTACTGCTGGAACCTCCTCCTCCTTCAACTTCCCACACCCATTGCTCTGTGTATGCTCTCCATTTTCAACTCCATTTCCCTTCTCCAATCCCTCTCACCAATCCCCCTCGCCCACCCACCATCTCTGTCGACTTCATCTCATCTCACACCCTTCGGCGCGGCCGTAACGACACACACCATCTCCCTCATTTCCCCCATCCCCCTTGCTTATCCTTCTTCGCCGTGGACCTTTCCCTGCCTTAGGTGCGACCCTAGCGTTTCCTCCCGTTCTCATGGGTTGTCCCGTCTCCCGTACTATCTGCACCACAAATGAAGGATCGTCGTCAACCCGCAGGGTGATCGTTCACCGTTGATACTATCACCGAACCTTGCAGCATTAGCGCAGCCATCGTCGCCCGAAATCGATTTGTTTCCCTGGCGCAAATACGGCCCCTCTTGCCTCTAGTACCTATTCTGTTGTGTCTATCAACCTTCAACTTCTATTCTTCACCAAGTTCACGTCGAATTACGATGTGCAACGCTTGTCATCAATGACAGCGACATCTGCTTAACCACTTGGTCCATATCGACGCCTGTTTCTCGCTTCTCGGCCAGTCATCACACGTTTGATGCTTTTTCTTGCATACAGATCTGTTGGCTATCGATTCTGACAGCTTCATAACCTTGTCGTGGCTTTTCTCCGACAATATCGTGTCCAAGCACATTGGCTTACGTATCTATCGCCGCACCAAGATTCCCGCGCGGCTTGGTCTTCTCACCTTGAGACCGGCACCATACTGCAATCTTGCTTGGCTGCACTCTTTGCCGCTGATGCTGCTGCCGCTGCAATGCTTGACCAAGAGTCTGATGCTGGACTCTGCGCCAGCGTCTGCGCCAGCGTCTGATACTGCCTTTGCGCAGCCTCAGAAGCAGCATGATGCGGCTACGCAGCGCAGACCACCCCTCGGCTTCAACGGCGGCAGGACCAGGTATTGACAAAACCCCCCTTTGTTTAGTGCTGTCAAATGTCCATTTTAGGAAACAGCGGCGCCATTCCCGCGGGTGGAACTGTGGTAAGGTAAGGCAGGCCACCCCACCCACACACACATACACACACATACACGGTGGATGGGATTGAGGGAGACACACAGGCTCAGCCCAGCCTCCCACACGAACCGTGACGACATGTCTCCCGCTTTTTTTGCCTTTGCCTGGGATCCAATTGTCATGCCAGTTGGCACAGGCCTGTCGAGTGTCGAGGCAGAAACAGATGGCACGCGCCAATGGCCACTCAGTCTTGGTCGATCTGCTCCGTGCCTTGAAACCCGGCAACCCGCAGCATTCAGAGATATCCCGGCCAACCTACTCTTTCAGAAATCCATGCCTCGGCCGGGTCTGGCCAGCAGCGTTCAAGTCGACCGTGGTTGGTATGGCTCTCTCACAGCGGCTACTTCAAGGTCTTCCCTAGCAAATCCGTTGGATATCATGGCCCATGTGTCGATGACTCTCTGTAGACATTTCTTGGCTTCCTTTAACCTTGCTTTTCGTACTCGTTCGGTCGGCAAAGATCATCTCTCCACCCATCCACACGCTTCAGTTAACCTTCTCTGACATTGTCTCTCATCTTCATCTCTTGTCTCGTTCTCTTTCGCTTTCTCTAACCAGCCTGAGAACGTTCATGCTTACTCGGTTGTTGTCATCTTCTCTTCCTCTCTCTCTCGACTCTTGTTACTCGTTGTCTGTCATTCTGTCTAGTCCATCCACAACTGGGTTTACTCGCAAGGTATCCCACCTCCCCGACTACTCCTTCGGGATCATCCCATTTCTTGTCTGTGCCCTGGCGTTTCTGTTTGATCACCCACCCCCTCCCACTCCCACTCTCACGAATTTGTACGCCGTATCCTCACCCGCTCGCCGAACGCTCCCTCCCCTCCATCAAGCCCCCCCATGGCCGTCCTTTCTCTCTCCCCGTCGCCGCCGCCACGGCGCCGCGGCCCCTGTCAAACATAAAGCTTACTCAACTGGGTTAATAAGTACGAACACACTACTCAGGTACCTCGCACCGTTCCCCCGCCGGTCTTGGCCATTTTGTTGTTGGACCTGGCTAGTGTATGGCTCCAATGTACGCAATACGAAAAGCCGTGGTCTGCTTCAAGCAGATGTACACACATACGCATACACAGATCCCTCTTGATCCCATAGAACGCACTACTGTATCCTGTTATGCAACCTGGTGCCTTGCGTCCCTTTGTCCACCTCATCACTATGGTCATTCAAGTCCATGCTATGCCCAGGCTGACCCAAAGTGCCTTGTGTGCGCCGGCCACAGACCCCGTCCACTTGCGGTATCCACTCCAATCATGACTATCTTTTTCCGTACTTCCAAGACCGATTCTATGGCGGCTGAACACACATCGGCGCCGTTTCCTCCCTCTCCTCACAAGTCCCAATGCCTGATACTAAACATACAGAGCCAGCGCCCGGCCACCAAGTAGCCTTGTACCCTTGCTCAAGGATCCATGTTGCACATCTCCATGTGCTCCATTGTCTTGCGTTAAACGACTGTGCGTACTCAGTCTGCTTTTCGTCCTGAAGCAGGCACCGCCTCGGCCTCCCAAGATCCCATCGCCCGTCACCCACACTATTACCAACCCTATCCATCCAAGCTATTCCCATTCTTCTGGGAAGAAGCTGATGCCATGCCCAGACCGCTTCCGTATTCGCCGAGCTGACGGGTCCCATGCAACCCCTGCCCGTCGCGCCCGGCCCTGGTCCATACATTATTCCTTTCACTCCTCGACATTGCTTCCGTGATATATTTCAAAACCGTCCACCCTTTCCGCCTACTTCGCACTGAATCCTGGAGGAACTCTTCGTTCTTACTACTTGTTCATCTTCACCCTTCATCGCTGTTACCAAATTCGTAGACGCAAGTTCGTCCAGAACTCTAATCAGCAGCGTCATTGCCTTATCGAACCCTACGTCTTGGACCATTCCGTCGGGCCCCTTCTTATTACACGGCAACCCCTCCCAACCCAGAGCCTCTTCTTCTACCTCTTCATATTCAATACACGCTTCTAAGTTTACCTGATTGTCTGCACCTTGGATACAACATCGAGTACATAGCACCGCGTGCCTCACCAAATCGACCCCATCGAACTCGACTACTACAGTACCGACAAAGGCTACTCAAGGGGTCACATCATTCGCTTGCAGCTTGATGATAGATCCTGTCTAGTCAAACTCACCTCGAACTCGATCGCTCCAGAGCGATCCAGAAATATCGTCACAATGGTCTTCTGCGCATACTGCGGGAAGTCCTTCACCAGGAAAGAACATCTGGAGAGACATATCCCAAGCCGTATGTTGATTCCTATGCTGGTCATGGTTGACATCGAGTATACACTAACTAGTCTGGTACAGATACCAACGTCAAGCCACACCGCTGCAGTGCTTGCCAGCTTTCTTTCGCACGAAGGTTAGTTTAGCATAGAACATTATCGAGAGACATTCACTCACTTACATACCTATCACAGAGATCTTCTGCAAAGACATCACTCAACATACCATGAGGCGCGGGACCCCATGGAGCCGTTGCCTGGCGGTGTTCCCACAGTAGCTGGCCGGACACCAATCGCTTGTCAAAATTGCGCAAACGCAAAGACCGGCTGTGATAAGAGAGTACCTTGCTCGCGTTGCGCAGAGAAGAACCTGCCTTGCGCAGCAAGATTCGCTCGGAGATCGTCAAAGGCCGCAGTCAGAGCTGCCCAAGCCAGCGCGGCTTTCCAACAGCAAATGATGCCGACTGTGCCCCAACCGCCACAGCCAGCTCAGCCTGTCGCCTTCATGGACCTTGATCCGACTATGCCTAAGCAAGACTCACCTGGGAAGATGTCAACTGGATCTCCAATCGCGACCATGGACCCTCGCATGATGGAGGGCCCTGTGAAGAAGAGCTCACCAGCACAGTCACACCCCAGTTCTGATGACTTTCCATCACCGCACAGCCGCGTAGATGGTCTCGACGAGTTTATGCAGCTCAACAGCGATTTTATCACGCCCGACACGAACTACCAAGATATGATGGTCTGGCCTGAGTATCCTCTGGAGCTCGATATGTATTCCAGTCAGCTACCGATGTCGCGGCCCGACATGTCGATGCCTAGCTTCACAGAACTGAGCGACATGTCTTCAAGCTCAGCATCAGAGCCGATGACTGCGTCGTCTTCGCGAGGATCAATCCACACCCGAAGTACCAGCATCATGTCCACAGCTGACTTTGACACCACAATGAAGCCAGCTGAGCAAGCATTGGGTATGCCGAACGAATCAACGATCCCAGAGTTCGAAGTGGTCATTGCCGCGGAGGACTCTTGGCCGCTCGCTCGATGCAATCCCCCCATCTACTCCGGCACTTGCCCGAGGACGGCGATCGTGCACTTGGAGTGCTTGGAGAGGAAGTCCAAGGAAGACGGTACTTGGAGCTCGCTCGAGAAGTACCTAGAGAACGTTGACTGGGATACCACCGACGCCTCTGTCGTCCCTCTCACATCTCGCACTCGCGATCGCATGCTGGCCATTACGCAGTCGTTCCTCCAAAAAGCGCTAGATATTCACCGGAGCGGACTTAACAACGGGTACTCCAAGACCGGATACGCCACACCCAGCGAATTCAACTTCATCGTTCTGCCACCCACGAAGATCCTCGAGTACTTCCTCCGCAGCTACGTTCGCAGCTTGCAGTACTACTATCCCCTCATTGTCGCAGGCTGTGTTGACCCCAACGAGATGTTGCTCAACAACCAGGCGTCGACATTGCTACTCCTGTTGATGATCGCACAAGGCGCTGCGGCAGTGCCAATGGCGGAGGCGCGGTACCTTGCTGCTGGTCTGACGGAAACCTGTCGCATCTCACTCTTCGATATCATCGAGAAGGATGTCGAGCTGTCTGCGGACCCCGTCGCCTTGAGGTGTGCGCTGCTCTTTACCCTCCAAGGCGCTTGGAGTGGTGACAAGTGGTTGATGGACATCTCGATGGGTCAACGGGGAATGTACCTGTCGGTAAGCAGCCACAATCCTCCAAACGTGCTAAGAATAAGTCCACTGACGTAAAGCAGATGCTCAAACACGCCGGCATGTTGGAGCCTCAACCATCAATGATTCCTACGCTGAACAGCACGACGAGCACCGAGCTTCAATGGCGGGCTTGGTTGCATCGCGAGATGCAGAACAGGCTCGTCTACAACTGGGTCATGTGCGACCAAGAGCTCAGCCTGTTCCATGATACCCCGCCACAGCTGGCCATCACCGACCTACAATGCCCGCTCCCCAGCCCCGAGGCTCTTTGGCTTGCGTCCAACTCGGAGCAGTGGTTCGCAAACGTCCAAAATCTCTACGGTTGCACTGCGAATGTCAACCCGCAGCTTCTGTCTAGCCCTTCCCTCACTCCCTCTCTGTGCGAGCTTTTCCAGGACTTCCTCCACGACAACCTTTCCCGCCGCCAAGCCGGCCTGTCTCCTCAACAGCTTCGCCTTCTCCTTCACCCCCTCCAGTCCCTTCTCTGCCATCTCAGGCAAATGCTCTCTTGCTTCTCCGACGTTCTCTCCACCCGTCGCGCGACTTCAAGGACCGTGACCAAGTCGAGCACCATGCTCCGCCTGGAAGAGGTTCAAGCACTTCTCCAGAAGTGGTACGAGCTCACCATGGTGTACTACAAGAGCAACCCCAACTGCACGACTACGCGCTGCAACCTGGTCCTCTATCACCTCATCTCCCTCAACGCCGTCACCAATTTCCCAGAGATCGAGCGTCTTGCCCGCCGCGACGGCTTCGACGGATCCTACTGGGAGTTGAGCCTGCGCCACAAGCGCTGCGTCTACAACCGCGAGGAGGCCGTCTTCCACTGCGGTCAGGTCATGCGTCTCCTGCGCTCTATGCCCGCCGACCGCCGCCCTTGCTGGTGGGCCGCCGGTGTCTACCGCGCGACTCTCATCCTTTGGGCCGACAGCGTCGCACGCCTCGACCCTAACTTCCAAAAGGCCCAACAGGCTCAGCAGCAGTCCTCGTCACCGTCTTCTCAGCACCAGGGTCAAAGTCCCGAGCATCTTAGCGGCGCTGGCGCCTCTAATGCTGCCGCGGGCGGACAGCACGGCAGCGCAAATGTTGTCGCAATTGACCAGGTCACACCGGAAGACCCGTCCGTCATCTCCTACCTGTGGAGCGGGGGCGATGGAATCGCTGTTCTCACCCGCCGCGACGGCACTACGCTGGGCTTGGACAAGCCTGCGGAGGTCATCAACTACGGCATCATGGCCATTGAAGAAGGCGTTACCTGCCGTGTCGGCGATGGTATTAGGCGCAAGCTTATTACCCTCAATAATAACTGGAACGTGGATGGCCTCGCTAATACAGCCACCGCGTAAGAGGTCATTAGCCTCGTCCATTCTCTGAACATCCTTTCAACCACAAAAAGTATCATCTTCTTGCTATGTTGTTTCTCTCATACACTTGGATATATGGGTCTTGTTGATAACCGTCCTTACCCTGTACAATCTTCTCTTTGCATTTATTCACTCGGCGTTTATGGGTCATGATGATGGGCACATTGGGAGACAACGCATAAATACGACGGATGAAGACACGTCCTTCATCGACGAGTTGGGAAATACGTACGAGGTCACTGGCGTTCTGCAAACAAAGCAGCGATCAGTCTGATGAGCTTTTGGGTATATTTTTCTTGCTTTCCATATCATCTCGTCCATTATCTAGATACCTCAGGCCGTTGGTCATGACATGGAGGGCCTTCACTTCTTAGCGACATGTATTTTAGTCACTTTTACAAATTACAAGCTTTAACTTGGAGACATTTTTCACAACACCGTTCCTGCATCGAATCGGATTGATGAATACCCCTCAACTGCGGATCCGTCATTAGTATGAGTGATCGTTGATTACGCAAGTTCAACAAATGAGATGAAAATCGCATGAGTTGACAAGGCAGTTGACATTGACACCTTCTTTCCTAAATTGGACGCAGGCATGTGATGTGACATATGACAAGAGAGAAATGGAAAGCGGGAACACATTATCCTTGTGATTAATGATGTTCTCGATAAGATTTCTTTCTTGCATGTGAGAACACCCAATGAACTTTTACAATCTCATGTTCCATGTCTCATGTGTTCCTCGAACAGACTTGATCTAGAAATCCCTCCCGACGAGACGGTAAGTCAAACCTTGGAGAGAGGGAGGTGGGGGGAGGGATAGGTGGACGGGTGGACATGTACGAAAAGAACAAGAACAAAACGCTACTATCTTTACTTGGTTGGTCCTTGCCCTGGTTCCAGCACTCTCAGCATCTGTGCGCATCAAACCTTTTCAGACAAAGTACACAGTAGACAGCGATCGGGCCTTCATCCTACGACCCGGCAGACTGGGTGCCATAGGAAATATATGCAGAGAAGGAGGATCGGGTGAAAACTCCGCGGCATTGAGAGGGCCAAGTTCTCTCTCTCTCTCTCTCTCTCTCTCTTGGTTATTTGGCGGCACCGGTGGAACTCGGGAGCATAAGGCCAAGCCAAGACACCAGCGAGACGTTCACTGCCCACCATTACAGACTCGATGCAGGGATGATGGGGAAGACTTGGATGTGGTTGATGGGCTCCTTGTCAATAAGGCCCCCTTCTCCTTCAAATCCCCCTCCCATGTTCGTTCATGGATGGTGAGCACGAGAATGCTCTCGCATTCTCTGAACTGAAGATGGTGGGCGAGGGAGATCTACATGCAGAACATGAACTGTCTTAGTATAGCATCAGGATAGGTGTAAATGGTTCAATCGGAAAAGTTAGTGTACGGGGGGTGAATGTTGTCTCGTGACCACACATACCACTTCAAATGGCACCGGGATCTTCCAAGGAACCTGTCCTGAAAAAGGGGCCGCACGCCTCGACGACCAAAAGCTTACTTCAAGTTCTCAATCGGCCGAAACCTCGCGGGCGATGACTACGCCACAGGCGCCGAAGTTTCGCGGGATGCGTGGGACGTTTGTATGTAGTGCGAGCGGAAATGCGGACGGGGAGATAGAGGGACTAGTATACTCCGTCACGGGGTGACGGACTGATTTTTTCTTCTTACTTGGGAGACTTGAAAGTGTACAATTTCGATCTCGGGTTGCCGCCGCTGGAGCGAGACAGCGTTCTCTTCCCGTCCCCGAGACCGAGGGGAGCGCCTGGATGGTAACGGTTCACGACAGACATGCGAGTTTCCGAAAGAATACTCCGAGTTCGAGTGGGCGGGCTACTAATGAGGGGTCGCACTGTTTCACAACATCGTGGCTAGATTTCGGCTCTTCTTTGATGGAGAAGAGATGACACCGTTTGCGACGGGCGAACAAAAATTACGGGAACGGTTTGAGAACGTATTGGAATATGTTACTTGTGATTAACAAGGCAAAGGGAAGGTCGAGCCACTACGGGCCGATGTTCCTATAGGGCGAGGTCTCTCCTTGCTGACAGGGTTACGATGCCTCCCATGACAGACATCTAGCGTTTTGACAGTCCCTTTTAATGACATGAGGGTGTGCTGAGAAGAAGGTGTTGGTCAATGACAGTGGTGCTAGGGTCGCCAGAGCGGACTTGCTAAGGAATCCGACCCGAGGTCCCCTAAACAAGGCGGCCGAGTCGGAACTCACTCCGGTAAGGGGTCGTCCTTGAGAGGCATAGAGAAGAAGGAGGGGGGAAACGGGAACCGATGATTACTTGCTCGAATCTTGTTTCCAGCAAGTGTGTGTAGTATGAAAAGAGTGACGCACAAACCGAAAGAGAAGAAAAGTCATCTCGAGTTCTGAAAGCCGTTGAGTTTGACGTTCCGATTACGTAGGTACATGAGAGCTGTCTCGGGAGGGTGTGCTTGACGGAGGCCCACAACTTGCCGACGGGCGAGTAGCGGTGCTGGGAACGCGGGGATATCGGATTCTTCGGGAGGTCAGCCCGTTCGGTTTCGGTGTTAGACGATTGGACGGTTTCTGTTTGTTTGTTTGTTTGAACAGGGGGAGTTCGGCGGGGAGATTGCCAAGATCCGCCTTCACACCCGGGATAGTGGAGGGTTCGGCACAAGGCGTGGGTGAGGGGCCGAGCTACCTATCCGAGTTGAAATAAGCTTGTTGGAATTGTTTTGCAGTAGGAACAATGCTGCCTGATTGCCCAGTAATTACTGTAGTCGGTAGTTTTGCTTCTCTGTATGCGCAGAAACAGAGTTTGGCGGCACGCCCGGTCCATTGCTTGTTCGACAACTTCCTCGTCAAGGGACCGTGGTTTACCTAAGCGATAGCGGGCCCGAGATTCGTTCTTTGGGCGTTTGGGATGATTAGTAGAATATCGCGGCAGCGGTGACTTGACGGAGACCGCTTCAGTTCGGCTGTGTCGGGGGCTGATATTATCGGTCTCAGATGATTGTCGAAATCGGGCGTTCACTTCTTATTTTCACTTTGGCTCGGCCTCCTAGATCGGCAACATGCCGGCGCCGAAATGGAGTTTTCTCTTGGGCCGCGCCGCGAAACAACTTTGCAAGCGTTCACAATCATGGCTATCTCGCGTCTCCCATCTTTCCCACATTCTTGCCTCGTTTAGTCTAGCGTTTAGGGGCAGTGCTTGATTTTCTCGACTGGGCTCAGGTAATCGCCCAGCCGCAGATCGTCCGAAGAGAAGCATTGATCGGGGACGTCCCGAGAGCCGAGGCCGCCGAGGCCATGTTCCACGTTGCCCTGTACCTGAGATACTGTGAGGTAGACAGATATCCAATTAGCTTTCAAGCGGAGACATAGTGCTATCTTACGATAACAAAGTATGGCCAAGATCTCTACTTGACGCCGAGGCAATGGCGATTCTCGTCCGAAGGAGACTCAGCGGCTGATTGCCAGATGCAAACCAGGCCGCATATCTGGAGGAACCGGTTTGAAGATTCGAAGCCATGGTCAACATGAAGCAGCAAAACCCGCGCATGAAGTCATTTTTAAAAGCCCAGACCTTACGCTCCACCTTTGCTTCGAGCATGCGTGTCATACTGGAGCTGCCAAACGCCAGTCAAAGCTCTTGACCCGGGACAGCGGCCCTATCTGCCCCTGAATCACGCATTCCCGTTCTAATTGTTGTCCTAATACCGAAGGCAGAAACATACAGGCTTTGAATAAAATGTGCTTGGAAGCCTGATTGAACTGGTGATTGCAGGCCTGTGTGTATGATAAAGCCATGTCAAAGTTTGGTTCTGCGTGCCTGGATCGTCGAACCGGCTCACGGGAAGGAGACTGGTGCATGGAATTCTGTTCGGCGCTGCCAAAGTAGTTATTACTGGTCTCGCCTTTCGCTCCTTCGATAGCTGTGTTGTCGTATCCAAGTCTCGCCATTGCCGGCATTTGTACGCCGAGAACGAAACAATGCGAGAGACCAAATACTTTGGCTTGGACCAGGACATTGACTTGCGAGTCTGCCATCGGGACTAGATTTTCAGCTCACAAGTCTTACAACCAAGGTCGCAAAGCAACACAGAGCCATTGAGTGCATTTGAATCATGGGTTGTCTGGCTATGGAAGTCGGACACTTGCAGGCAAAGCTTTGCTCTCGTTGGTCTGTTCTTACCGACCGCGGACGGGTTATGGCCCATCAGCCACGGAAAATCCTATCGATAAACTGAATTGCCCATCGGATGGTAGATGTCATTCTGCTTCCCCGTTCATCTCTCCTTGTTTCCTGCTAGCATGCCAACTGATCCTGTCGTCTAGCATGCTAGCAGTGGGCTGATTCAGCCGCCGAGACACTTTAGATGACCGCGAGAAAAATGTCACTCAGCTGCTTATCAAACCTTAGCTCTTGTGGGTGTGTAGTATCCAGGTAGTGGTAATAGCTTCGCTGCGCTTTCCGCATCATCTTCTGGAGGCGGCCTATCACGAAAATGCGAAGCATTGATGAGGATGAAACGACTGAAAGCGTTGTTCGTGAGGGAAGGCTTTTCACTTTTTGTGAATTCGTAAAACTTGATAGACATACTTTTCATACCGTGAGACTTCAATGACGAAGGATAAACTTGATCCTCGTCTTGCTCCAAGGACGTCGTCTTCGTTGAAGTCGTTCGTGGGGGACCATCACGGGAAGGTGTGGATACTCCCGTGAGACCCACACACACACTCTCTCTCCGGTTGTTGGTGACTAAGCCATGTCTCTTTTCCATATCACGAATGAAAGCACCTTGCGGTTCCCAACTGAGCTTCTCGATGGAATTCGGAACTTCGCGTTTATGGTGTTCAGCGCGACTTAAATCCGAATGTCTTGAATGATAGCCACAGCAACGGACGGCCGTCCAACGTCACAGGATTTCTCTATGGGATGGATGACTTCCTTTGAGAAAAAGCTGGCACGCTGGACCCCTAAGGACGCAGGTACGTACCTACTTGATTTACGACCGGACCTCCGTTGGGGGTGGGGGCCCCACCGTGGCGGCGTCTCGGCGACGGGCGAGGGGCACCGGTTCCTGGCGCCGCGCGACCGCCCTGACATGGCTTTTGCCCGCAGGGCCGCTAAACGCGACGCTACCACTGCTTAGTCGTCGGATCACCATTGCGGGTTCAGTTGGAGCGGGCATTTTGTACGTGCGAGTGCTACAGCAACCAGGGGCAGAACAGCCGTTGTTGCTCCTTTCATGATCTAAAGATAGTCAAAGGAGAGGAAACGGCAACGAGCAAGGCTAGAGGATGAGGATCTGGTGCCATGTTGTGCTTGTGGCTCCCCGCAACTCGTTTCTGGCGAGTCTCCTCCAACACTCCGGCGGTTGACTCCGGGCATCGAGGGGCTCCGGATCCAGAGTACCGATGAATTTCAATACTCTGTTATGCTGCCAACCAGTGAGGATCTGTAATAGCAACCCGCCAAAACCAAGAGTGATCCAAGAAGTTTCACCCACAAGGCGAGGTCCCATTTGCTACATTGCAACAGCGAAGTAGACACAACGTTCTAGTGCTCAGCTATTGCTGTTGCTAAAGCTTTGGCTTAGACTCAGACTCAGACTTAGACGCACATAGGGTAGTGGCGTCTGATCTGAAGACGACGGGCTGTCCTCCTTGGCCGCCCTTTCGCGAAAGGAAGAAGCGCCGCCGGGGGCGCGAACGCGTGGACCTCCCCCATCCCGATTTTCTTCTAGGTGGCCCTTTGGCTTGCCCTCCCTCAATGTCCCCGGGCCCCGATCCTAGCTGAACCCACCCCCAGATGCAAGGCGTTTCGCTTCCCGGCGGAGGTGCGGCGGGCAACCGGGCGGACATGCGTTCGGTTCTTCGCCTTTAACCACAAAGCGTCAGACTGGGACTACACGCCAAACGTTGTGTTTAATTCCTGTATATAACTTCCTCTCGTCAACCGCCCTTAGCTATTGACTTTTTTGCTTCTATCCTCATCCCATCCTTTCCTTTCCCTTTCTCTTCTCTCGCCATTGACTTATACCACAATGGCTCCTTCCGCAACTGACAACACCGCTGCCCAGCAGCCTGCCGAGTATGACGCGGCGCGTCCCTTCGTCGGCAAGGTCGCTCTGATCACCGGCTCCGGCCGTGGTATCGGACGCGGCATCGCCGTCGAGCTCGGCAAGCGCGGCGCAAACGTCGTCGTCAACTACGCCTCCTCCGCCGGCGCCGCTGAGGAGGTCGTCGCCGAGATTCAAAAGTACGGATCAAAGGCCATCGCCCTCAAGGCCGACATCAGCAAGCCCGCCCAGGTCGTCGACCTCTTTGACCGTGCCGTCGCCCACTTTGGCAAGATGGATTTTGTCATCTCCAACTCTGGCAAGGAGGTCTGGTGCCCCGAGGAGGAGGTTACCGAGGAGCTCTTCCAAAACATCTTTGACCTCAACACCCGTGGTCAGTTCTTCGTCGCACAGCAGGGCCTGAAGCACTGCGGACGTGGAGGTCGCATTCTCCTCACCTCCTCCATCGCTGCGCAGATGGGCGGTATCCCCAACCACGCCCTGTACGCCGGCTCCAAGGCCGCCGTCGAGGGCTTCACCCGCGCCTTCGCCGTCGACTGCGGTGCCAAGGGCATCACTGTCAACGCCATCGCCCCCGGCGGTGTTAAGACCGACATGTACGACGAGAACTCGTGGCACTACGTCCCCAACGGATACAAGGGCATGCCCATCGAGATCATTGATCAGGGCCTGGCCAACATGAACCCTCTCAAGCGCGTCGGTGTTCCCGAAGATGTCGGCAAGGTCGTCGCTTCTCTTTGCCACTCTGACTGCGAGTGGATCAACGGTATGTTTGAATGCATCCTTCACAATATCATAAAACATTTTGCTAACGCCTGCATTAGGTCAAGTCATCAAGGTCACCGGTGGCGGCACATAAGCGCAATAACCTGCGCTTCACAGACATCTCCATCCGTGCGGAGCTGTATTAGTGATACTTAATGTATTGGATCGATGGGCGAGCCGGACGTTTGCGATCCATGGGACTGGGACTTCGGTCGGTTAATACGGGGGCTAGGAGTAGGGGATTTTACATAGTACCTAGGACAGGCGTACGTAGACATGATAATACAATGCGGAGCTTGACTAGAAATTTTAGGAAATGCCTTGAACGTGCAATCAATCCGCAGCTCTCCCACAAATCGAATTGTTGAGGGTTTTGTTAAGCGTGTGACGGCCATTATGATATTCAGAATCTTCATAGCACTGAACCTTTCGGTGCTCGGACATCACAACCTAAGAGTGAGATTTCCAAAACTCCATCTGTAAAGTATCTAACCAGCTCTATCAGCCTCAGTGGCCGCTCTAAGCTCTCTCCAATCACATTCAGACAACGCACGACGCCTACGGCAGACACGGCAACCAAGCTTCAAGCGGCCATCAGTCGCTGGTTCTATTACATTCTCGCCTTGTCCCGCACCCATCGGGCCAGACCGTTCGTCAAGATCGGAAAACTTCAGATAGAAGGCGAGCAGGATCGCGAGATCCCGAGGGTTCAAACATTCTAGGCGGGCGAAGTATCGGATACATGGAGGCCAAAGTACCTCTTGTACACGAGAGGAGGGTCGATCTTCCATGTGCAAATATTACCAAAAGAGCAAAAAGAAAGAGCAAATCCCTGTGTAAGCGTCAGTACGCCAGGGACCAGGTCATTAAAATCAATTAAACCTCTCTAGATTTGGCATCACGATGGTCTATGAGGCCCTGGCGAGTGGTTTACGAGTGTGAGAATTGGGTTTGGGCACGTTCATCCACTTAGTCACCCGCTCCCCCTCTCTCCCCCACAAAGCTAGATACAACGACACCGTAATCATCTCGAAACAAGGAGGATCACGGACTCTCCCAGTAAGCTTCTCACGTTTATCCAGATACACATATACAGGAATCCAGTAGTGTATGAGAGGGGGCGAAGAAACGTATGCTCCTGGAAGCCTTAACGGTCTAAGCCGAACTGCGCGTCAGGGGTAGAGAGAGGCACACGCAAAGGAGGATTGCATTTGCTGACGGTCCTGTAGTGAGTGTGTGCGAATCCGCTGCCAGCACGCATCTTTCAGGCAGCTCCCAGTGCCTTCCCTACTATAAGTAAGCTTGTTATGTGGCATTGCTGGGCTCCCACGGGGGGGCTCTGAACTGGCTTCACAGTGGCGCGATAGCGTCTCGTCAGAGTCGTACCATGCTCAAGCCGACGGCGCATGTTTTGTAAAGGAAGCAAGAATCTCACCCGCTAAGACTCTCGAATCCATCCGGCATTTGCTCTCAAAATGTTACCCAATGCCTTGTGCTCGTCATACTCGCGGAAAAACAACTTTGTACAACGTCAGAAATTTCAGCCACTTGTGCTACGTCTATAGACTGGCAAACGCTGGTTCTAGGAGCCGGTCTAAGCCCCGAATCCCGGCAAATGGGAGACGCGCCGCCTTGAGGCCTAAAGCAGCCCCACTGTTTCCCGAGGGCCGGTGGTGGGTCCCCGTCCGGCACTACGGAACCCCCGATATCACGGTCTGGGATACTGCCAGTACACCGGCACTGGACCGGCTTGTTACCCTTTTGGATAATAATGCGAACACTCGTCTCCTTCAGGCCATGTATCGTGGATACGGGACATAACAAAGCAGAAATGATGATAAACCCATGAGGTGATTACCAATGGCCGCCCCGCCTGGAGCGAGCGCATTTCCGCATCGTCGATTCCGCTTCTGCATCGCTGCTTGCTCACATGATGACAAGAATCTCCGATCGACACTGCAGTCCAGAACGAATATGTCCGTAGATAGCGATTGCCCCCTGCGGCCCTTGTCGGTAGTAGCCTTTCAACGGGCACTTACCGCACCGCTATGCACAACCGTTTCTGTCCCATCCACCGTCTTACTTTCGGCTTTGTTGATTCGCTGACTGGGTAGTCCTCCGTTTGCGGTCCGCAGTAGTACTTTGGAGGCTTCTTCTTAGGTGTTTTGACCTCATGTCGGACAACCTGGGATCTCTGCGCCCCACGCTTCCTAGCACATACAGAGCCAGCCATCCATCGGCCGCGCCACAAATTTTCCGCCTGCTGGTATTCTGGATTCTGGGATTTCGATCCATTGCGGAATATGAGGAGGACCTCCTCTACTCCTTGATCATGACGTCGGCTACAGCGTGTCGTCCCCCTGCTAATGCCATGATACTCTGACATACAGATGGCGACCCACCCCAACCCCCCCCCTGGAGATTGGTAAGATGCACTGTAAGTTACCCCAAAGATAGATTCAATTGATCGACAAGAAGTTGTCGCTACGTAAAACAAAGAGAATATATCGGGTTCATCTACGGTGGCATTTTGATGTACTTAAAAGAACTCTGATCTGTAAGTTACCAAGCATTCAACGATTGGAAGTAGAAGAACCAACTCTTGGTTTAGACATTGGCGCCAAAGCCTGTGTCTGTGATTGTCGGGAACCGACAGAAAGCTTCACCACAAACTCGGAAGCGAGACCAGGTAGCAGTGGCTTCTTCGCCTCGGCCAATTCGGATGCCAGGGTGATGACAGCGGGAAGCTACTTCGAACGCTACCAGACACGATGATAGCCACAAGGTTTGATGCAAGGTAACGCCACTAGAAAATGAAAGCATTGCCCTCGGAGAAGCTCGATACTAGGGCTTGCGTCCAGCCGTCGAATCGGACGAACCATAGACACTGGCAGTCAGCGGTATCACGCAGTGTCAGCCTCGCTACTCGCGAAACTCTGCGGTCGAGGATTCAATCATAATCTGGCTCCAATCGCGACCGCGTGCACTTTGGGCGTAACTCGGCAAAACAGACGTGGCAGCTCTTATCTAGCAAGATGTTTTTCTCACTAGAAGCAGGCCTCGGTGAACACCAAAATATGGATGATCTTGTGGAGATTTCAGGCAGCCAGAACATGGCCTAGAGCTGGGCTACTCCCTGCCCGCAAGCCACTGCTTCCAATATTGAATGCAGAGCCTCCTTTGGGATGGCATGTCGAGTGGGTGTGATGCGGGGCAACATGGTTTGCCACGAGTTGGTGGGGGTTTCTCGATGGCCGATTTTGCGTGGGAGACACAGCAATACCTCTTCACCGTGTGCGTCTTGCGGGCGACAGGTCGGGCGGCAAGAGTAAGCTCGTTCCTGGGTCGGGCGAAGGAGACCTTTCCGTGAGGCACAATGACCACAAGAAATCGTGTATAGTCAAGAGTCCTGACTTGAAAGACGTTAGCTTGCGGAGAACCTTGGATTGAATACGAAGATGCGCAGAGTGAGACATGGTCAAGGAGGGAGAAGGGATCTGAGGTCACACAAACATCGTCCACGGGGCCAGTCTGCGCGAGACAACGTTGACAGAAGAAAGCGGATAAGCAAAACACCGAATCCAGTCTGTCCAAAATCCGCAGAATCTATGATGATCGGTCTGATAATGAAGAGAAACAAAGCTTACAGCGTTGAATCCAACAGACAGCGTTCAATGTCAACCAAGGTGGTACAGAAACTACTGCCTAGAGTCATTGGCATTCAACAGCTTGCATGAGAATCCTAGTCAGTGTATCGCGACTGACAACGCAAGGTGGGATTGGAATGTCTGACAACATCTCGCCCTGTCTTGTGGGCGGTTCATCTTTGGGCCGTTGCGGGGAGGATTGAGCTGGGCTCGGGACCGACCGCACACACACGCCGGGGAATTGGCTGCGATGCAGGCCACTTGGCGCCGTTCATATTCCGAACTTAAGGCTAAGTGTTGATCGCGGACATCGTATCCAGGGTCTTGGATGACCCGGAAGGTAATGAGCAGCGAATGTATGCCAAGGATTCGAAAGCTAAGCCCCGCTGGCGCCTTCACAATGCCGACTGGGGTCCTGATAGGTTGCATTTCGAGATGCGCATCGCGGAGCGTGGCAAGGCCGTGGTGATGAGCTCTTGAGATTTGTGCGACTGACGGCTAGCTTTGGCTCTTCGTGCGAAGGGTAAGGTCATCATGATGTGCGGCCGCGGTTCCTCGGGCGAGTCCCAATTTGCGAGGACAAAAGTTGCTGGGGAAGAAGATGGTGTTGCAGAGAGGACTCAACTGCCCGTCTGAAACCAGTAAGACGAACGGGTCGACGGAAGGGGCCAGCTGGGCCTATGGGGCCGTGAGGGTACCTTCGAAGCCACTACTGAAAGCTGATGACGATGAAGAAGGAGGGTAAGACTGATTGTGGTGTGGGTGGTGCGGGAGAGGAAGAGCAAGGGGTCCTCGGAGTATGGTTGCACACCAATTCACAAACATCACGAAGAAGTGACCATGCATCTGCTCATCCTGCCACTCGACTGTTTGGGCAGAGGAGGAAAGAGGTGGGGGAAACGCAGCAACAGTAACGTCCATGCCTCGTTCCTCCTCAAGATCTACAGCTTCAGCGCCCGAGATATTGATGCTTTCAACGCAACAGCTCATAGGCCCTTTACCTCTTTAGGTGAGAGATAAGGCAAGCAGATATGACTAAGCCTTCCTCCTTGGCAAGGTCCTGGCCGTAGTCCACATAGGTCCAGACTGATGTCTGTTCATCTTCTTACGCATTTTGTGCCATTTTCACCCCACCGGCCTTTGCATTCTCGACGTCTTCTCGTTACATCTCGTCCAACCAATCTCGAACACTGTCAGCACAACGATGGCCTGATTTCATGAGAGGTCTTTGCTGCAAACCTCCTCGTCCGACGCAAAGATTGGAACCTAGCCAAACATCGCCCCTTCTAACAAGTATGGCCTTGTGCACGCCGTTGTTCGCTCTTGTGAGTACATGGATTTTCAATTACAGCCAACGGCTGATTCACCTTTGCATAAGGCGGCCATACCTTGCTTCCCCACTGCATGCAAATTGCATGGATCATTGTGGGCTGATTCATCTCCAGGTTGACGCTACTTCGCATCATCACTACCAGTGGCATTTCTTGCAATTGTACCTATGCTCCAAACTCGCCTGTGTACGGAAGCAAGTTTTGAAGTACCCAAGTCATTTGAGCCCAGCCGAACTCCTCTTGAGCAGAATGAAGGAGCTCAGAAGTGAGATTCTTTCAAAAGGTCAACTCAAACATTTCTTCCCCGGACTACGATCGACGTAGGAAACGTTGAGTCCATGTCTGACCTTATCAACAACCGAGAACCAAAGCCAGTGCCTTGCCAATGTCTCCCGCAGTCTGACAAGTGGACCGGCCGCATGTAGCTAATGCCTGGCGTTGTCTCTCTCTCTCTCTCTCTCTCAATACTTCACATGTCGAATTCGACCATTGGTCCAACCCATCGAGTTGCCAGGACCTTGTACTACACAGACAGGACTGATGACTGATAGATCCAAAGATCTTCTCTTAGTTTCAATGATGTTCAACCATTTTCCATTCACGTTGTAGAAGAAAAGAGAACAAAGCGCTGAAGCCTCCATTTCGTCAACACGGTTTCTGGCCGTTGTTTGACGTTGAGACGCTTACCAAATGGGGCAATTAAGAATCCAAGGCACCGTTCATCACAGCCATGAAGCAACAAGGTTTGGGGATGCGGGAGGCTGCTTCGTTGACAAGCACCTCCGGATCGACCTGTGAGCGGCCTTTTCCCAGTTGACAAGTGGGGAAGACAATCTTTTCAACGCCAGACAAGGGGCCAGAAGGGTGGCTGCGTCTGGCGTCGGCAGTCGTTGGAAATTTGAATCAACGACATGAAGCGCAACTACCAACCGTTCGCAAGTTTCTCTTCGAAATTGCCTATTTAGGCAACTCAGAAGCTTCTTTTCCGACTACCATCCCAGCATTTTGATGGACGAACGCCTCCCACAGAACAGCAAAGTTGCCGTTTCGCCCTTGATGGTTCGCACCATCACAGACCTTTTCGAGGCACCGACTCATTGAGAATCTGGGCAGATTTCACTCGTCTGAATGGCAACAACCCTTTTGCATGTGAAATGCAAATATGCATAGATCTCACAGAGTCTTTCCTACAGCTAGCACTTCAGGCTGACACTTCACTGACTCCATCCTACACGATCCATTCTCAAAAGCTCCCACTAGGGTCGCCAAATTTATCTGTCACGCAAGATTCCAGTTTGTCCTCCACGACTTGAAACGGAATTTCGATCATTAGGATCACTCCAAATCCATTCGAGCGCTCGCATAATCTTGCACTGATCTCAAAAATGAGGTCAGCCGTTCCCTCACCTATCGGAACCAGCTTCCGCGGCCTTCATCAGCACCTCCCCGCCACTCCCCGTCAACCGGTTGAAACCTCTCTCCACGAGAGTTCCTGCAGGATGAAGGCATCCGACATATTGGTCGATCAGCCCCTGGGGGCCCAAACGGAGCTGGAAGTCCATGAAACGGGTTTACCACTGGCTTATTCCCATCCACGTGTGCTCGGCAGTACTCTGCCCATACTTCTATTCTGGATTTGCCCCCGGAAAGATATTTCCTTTTGGAATCCCAAGAATCTGGTTGGAGAACTGACCGGAAACAAGAGGCTGATGCGCCTAGAGGGGCCCAAAGCCAAAGAACCCTTGGGACTGCATGACAAGATGACCTTCAAAGCACGACAGGGCTCGGTTCTTGAAAGCTAATTAACCCGTCTCTTAACCACGCCGTTGCCTCACGCCCATGCAGGTCAGAACTTCAATCCTCCCATCATCACTACCCGTGCTTCCTGTTCTTCCGGGAGACTGGTTTGACACGTTCATCAGTCAGCAAAAGCACTGCATCACAAGATGAACATCGAGTGTAGCCCGTGCCTTTGCTCGTTTTTCTCCATTTTCATCTGTCACCAGCTTTCTCAGCCTCGGCACATGCGTCAGGTTTGTGATCTCAAATCGTCCGAGACCTCGCCTCAAGATACGCGTACTCCACTCCTCAGCCTCGAACTCCAAACGGGAGACTTTCACACAATGTGTAGCTCTGTGTCAGCCACGTATTTTGGCAAAGAGAGGATTCCTGGCGACATCCCGGAAGCACGGCTTGTCACACCGTGACTATCATGCCTTCTTCTCAGCTGGACCTGCTCAAGATAGCTTCAGGCCGAAACGTCACGCAGGATGTTTTGTGTTTCCCTGGCTTTGCTCCGAATTCGAATCTTGAACCTGCGTCGGGGAATTATTCGTCTTTTGATTCCTCATTGCCTGTCGTGGCCAAGTTTGTGTGTGATGGCAATTGGCCAAGCCACTGGGGCTCAGTGTCCAACATCATGAGCCCGCCACTCTGAAGCTGCCCCCCCTCGCCCAAGAAGCCCTTTAGAAGGTAAAGTGAAGGTGGGCAGTCAGAGAGGAATCTGGCCAAGACTCAGATCTCATTGGACAAGGCTGCGTTTACTCCCGCGTGTGCGCGCATAAGATAAGCCACGATTCCTTACGTCCTTCCTCGGACATCTCCAAACCGTCCGTGTTATGAAGCATCATCTCGTCATGTCAGCCACCGATCGCAAGCCTAGGAAGACACACACACACACACACACACACACACATACACACAGAGAGAGATGGGGATAGAGAGAGAGAGAGGGAGAGGTATGTCCACTTGCTATCCGCACACACATCGGCACCAGGCACAAGGCACAAGTGTCGCCGCGAGCCCAAAGATTGGTTACATGGAACGGAAGGGACGGGAAAGGTGCAGGAAGAAAAATGAGAAGAAACGGCGCCAGTGACGTGGTGGACGAGCGGCTTAACGGACGGATGAATTTTTTTGGTTCCGGGGTGAGAATGCGAGTGGTGAGGTGAGTCGAGGTGAGGATGAGGTGAGAGAGAGAGAGAGAGAGTGTGTGTGTGTGTGTCTGGTGTAAGAGAAGGAGGAGCGGGACCTCTGAAGGGGTGCCTGCGGCGGGGGTGGGGGGGAAAGAGGGGGGGGGGAATCAATCGGCCAGTGCCGAGAGTTGTGTTAGTGAGTGTGTGAGAGTGGGCATTTTTGGATAGCCCGGCAAGGCTAATGCAACCACTTCGACACTTTTCCGCAGAGCAACACAGAAAAGACTCATGCAACCACCCTGACTTGCCTGACTAAAACGCACGTGGTGTGGGCGAGAGAGAGAGAGCAAGTCCCAAGTGTCAAAGTCTACCTACCCAGCCTCCTCCTTCCTTCCTCAGGTTCCTCCTTCCCGCTGCTCCTACCATGGTTTGCCTCCGCCCCCTCGATCCCTGTCTGACTTCGCATAGCCCTCGCATACCGCACCCGCATATCTTTGTTAGACCATGGACGATGCCTAGAGACTAGAGACTGAGAGTGAGTAAGAGACTACGTATGCGTAAGAGAAGCGAGAGAGAGAGAGAAGTCGAATGAACCCCACTTCTGTCTCGGATTCTGAATTGCGATCGAGGCTTGCCTTGCGTCAGATCTAGTTGCATGTATCAAGGCACCATGTATGAGAAGGAAGAATGTCAAATGTTTTTCTTGGTACAGGCACGATGATGACATTTGATTTCATGAGCCCTGTGACAATGACCGACATCTCCGTATTAACTAGCTACTTGGATGATACTGACTCTTGCCGTCCGAAGAAAACGAAAAGGCGTCGAAGCGCTGGACGGCATAATTCATGATGCTCCTTCCGGATGAACTCCGTAACACATTTGCCCCAAGTGATGAGAAGAAACATGAAGAAATTTCGACTAGACATGGTTGGGGAAAGAAAAGGAAATTCCAAAAAGAATTAGTTGTCTGAAGATTTGTTTAGTATTTCCCATTTGTGAAAACAGAGACTATCTGAGTTGGGAGACTCGTACACACACGATCATCCCTTTTGCCCTGCCCCCCCCCGCCGTCCAATCCGAGGTTCTATCCGGTCTCCCCTCTCACCCTTCTGATAGTTGCGCCCAAAGCGAGTGAAGTTGCTTCCGCAGAAGAGCAGTAAAAAGTCAAGAAGAGATGAACCAGAAAAAAACGCCTTCATTGCGCCATTCCTCCGTTGGAGAGCCCATTGAAAAAGAAAACCGGTAGTATTTCAGCAAAACGCCTGACAAAAATGTACAAGAGTCGATTCCACAAGTCTCAAAACTGGCTCTCTCTCTCTCTCTCTCTCTCTTTCTCTCTCTCCTTCTCTCGTGTAAATAAACGCCCCAATCTTCGAAGAGAAGAAGGGTGAAAAAAAAAGTAGTGTATGCTCATATCGGTCATATCAATTGAGTTGCCGCTCATCCGTGGCCTCGCTCTGGTGTATTCCAAATTTTTGTACTTTTCTCTCGCCTCCTCTGGTGGCTTTTGCTTTTACGATTTTGAGTTTCTGGTTTTGGTCCGAACTGTTGCTCCGTGACTAAGCGTAACTCATGTCGCCTTTACGATGGCTGACGACTTCGAGCGTCGTGCCAAGGTTGTGGCCGAGGTAGCCAATCATGGCCTTGCTGACTTCGGGATCCTCTGACAGGTCAGCGCAGACCTCACGGAACTGCGCGTAGACCTCCTCCAGCTTGCGAAGCTCGCGGTTCAGAATCTCGAGCTCGAGCCACCTGCCGTCCTCGCCGCCCAGCGTGTAGGCGCCGAGGCTGACGCCGAGTCCGCCGCCGGGGCTGAGCTGGTTAACCGCGGGCATCATGCCGTTCTCAAAGTACGTGTGCGTGGCGTTCTTGTAGAAGCTTGTAATCTTGCCAATGACGGTTGCCAGAAGCATCGCCGCCGTATGGGTGCCGGAGCGGCTCATGCATCTGTTGCAGGAGAGCATGGCGGCGCATCCCTCGACAGCCTTGCGGTTGAGGGAGAGAACGAGGTCGAACGGTGGCGCTTGAGGGGACGAGGCGTTGTGCAGGGCCTGGAGGGACTGTAGGAGCACCGTGAAGCATGTGCAAGAGCCTCCACCTCCTGACGAGGAAGACTTGTGCCTCACAGCTGGGCGCATATTGGGTGTTGTTGAGGGGCTCGGAAAGTACGCAGCGGCCGCCATGTTGTTTGGGTTCTGCATGGTCGTATACGCCATCATATCATGTTGTGTTGGGTCTCCCCAGGGTGTCATGTGGGCTGCCATGGCCATGTCCATGGACTGAGAGCGGCCGTGATGGGTGGCCATGTGTGCGGTGGACATTGTCATATCGGGATATGGAGCTGCAGAAAAGTCGGTGGGTGGTGTCCAGGGCATTCCGCCTCCGTACATGTCTGCTGTCGGATCTTGGTGGTCTCTGGGGGTTGTGTCGTCGACGCCGAGCATGGCGAGCCCAGAAGAGATCGAGGGATTTCTG